CAGTAGTTCTCTCCTCTTCTGTGAGCCATTAGGATTTGCTCCCTCCTCTGTCTCCTTGCTGTTGTGTTAAGCCTCGAGCCCTTGCATTTATTTATTTTTTATCTTGACCCCAAAATTCAGTGGTTTGAGTCTGGCCTTTGCTTTTGGCTGGGTGCTGTCTGTCCCTTTGTCTTCCCCATCCAAATCTCCTGCAAAATTATAGGTAGATGTGTGAGGATCTCAGTAACCTGTTAACTCTGATCCCATCAAAACTTGGACCTTCCTCATACCTTTTTCCTGCTTCCACATCCCAAAATTCCCATTAATTCTCCATTCAGGCCACTCTCAATATTTGTTATGTGATCTCTCGAGAGGCTCCTGGGATCTTTCTCCTTAGGATTTTGTGATGTCCCTGATGATGCTCCAAGAGCACTCATAAGTAGATGCCCCTGTGGATTCTCTGCTGGCTAATATAGAGTTGTGCTCAGCCTTCAGAGGGAGCTGCAAAGAGGATATCCTTCCTTTACCCAGCTGGCTGTTTTCAGTATTAAAATATTTCTTATCCTCTATCCGAATGGGCTGAAATTGTCAAGATTTTGCTGCATTGTGGGATCTGTTTGGTTGCGTGATGCTTGATGCAGCAGTGGGTGTAGGGACGTGAGTTTGTGTGGATTATCTGGGAAGGCTGTGCGTGCCCAGATGCAGAGCTGTCATGTAGGTTTGTCGTCTGTATGGGACAGGGATAGCTGTTTGGGGATGGAGTTAGCCTCTGGCACCGGGGATCTGTGGATGGCAGAAGCATGGGGACCAGCTGGAGGTACAGGCAGGCACCAGCCAGATGAGACTGCAAACCCACTGGGTCCCATCCCTTTTAGACAGACCTTGCTGAGTGGGGTTATTTATTTATCCCCAAATGCGCTCTTAAAAAATGGAAAAAGAGTTTATTACAAGCATATACACAGGAAGAATAAACGGAGAGGAACAGCCCAGCCTCTGGCACTGCTGCAAGTTTGCAAGACCTCCTTTTTTTTTCCCCCTCTTGCATCTTGCCAGGCTTCCCACAGCTCTGTCATCTGGTCCAGGTGTGGGAAAGGGAGAACCTGCTCCATCGACTTTACAGAGTTTGGAGGCAATTTGTTCAAGGAACTGTAAAACCTGGAGAAGTTGCCCCTATAAATTATTTACCAGAGGCAGTAAAAGATCAAGGAAATTGCTGGGATTCCTCGCAAAACCCTGAGGTTTATGGGGTCATTTGCCTGCCCCTACCAGGTTTCTCTAAAGTGCTCTATAGTGGTTTAGGAGGTCTTTGACAAGGCAGATGGCAGCCAGTGTCTGCAAAGATGAGCTGAAACCTGCCAGATTGAAGTTTGCTAATATTTAATGTATAAAACGAGCGGTGAAGTGTCACCGAAGTGAACTGGTGGCTCTGAGTGACCTGAGCTGCCCTGGTGTGCTGGTTTCACCCTGAAGGGCAGCTGAGCTCCACCACAACCCCTTTTAATTCCCCTTCCTCGAAGGGGAAATATGATGGGGGGAAAAAAAGCTCATGGGATGAGATAAGGATAATTTAATGAATGGGAAAATAAAAGAGAGGGGGGAAAAATACAAGCAAAGAATGCATGGAAGGAAAGAGATTATACTTCCCATAAATGAGTTATGTTTGGCCACATCTTGGGAAACAGGGCCTCGATATGTGTAGGGTTTTTTTGGGGAGAATGGAGGTTTTCACACCATTGGTGTGATACTGATGCTGTCCCAGCTACGAGCACAGAGCACCACGCTACAGAGGATGCTGTGGGGAAAGGGACTCCATCCCAGGCAGACCTGGGTTGCAAATGGCAGTCCTCCATTGGCCTTGGCCAACCCCAAATATCCTATCCCAAAAGATGGACTGGCCTTGGCCAACCCCAAATATCCCATCCTAAAAGATGGAGTGGCCTTGGCCAACCCCAAATATCCCATATCAAAAGATGGGGTGGCCTTGGCCAACCCCAAATATCCCATCCCAAAAGATGGGGTGGCCTTGGCCAACCCCAAATATCCCATCCCAAATGATGGAGTGCATGATCAGAGGAAAGCCAGGTGTGATCTTGGCCTGCTGGTGGGCTGTGGGTGGAGGGAGATGCAATGGAAGCTGCAGAGCATCCCTTTACGTTCATATAAATGGCCCTGTCTTGCCTACAACCTGTATTTTATTTAGGATCACAGCAGGATTTTGGAAAAAAAAAAATAAAAAAGGAAAAAAAAAAACACAGGAAGGGGAAAAGCAAGATAGAAAACTACTAATTTTCCTTTCAACATCAGAGAATAACGCCCTTGAGTTGGGGATCATCTGGAACCTGGAGGTGCTGCAGTCATCCATCAAGGGCCCACGCTGGCGGCACAGCAGCAGGGTTGGGTGGGTTTTCACAGCTGCAGCTCACTGCTGGAAGGCAGAGCACAGCTTTAGCTGAAATGTCAAAAGCCCGTGCAATAAAAATTTAAAAAGCTCAACGCAGTCAAAGATTTGCCATGTGGAAGTTCAACATGTATGCACAAACGCATGTATGAATTCATGTCTGCATGTGAAATCTGTGGGATCTGGGTTGTGAAGCCTTTTGCATCCTTTTCCTCACCTCTGCAATGTGATTTGAAGGCACAGCTATTCTGAACCAAAGCCTTTCTGCACCTACAGGGTGTTCGCATCTGCAGACATCAGCATTTGCTCTCTGAAGGCCCGGGGCTCGCTGTGTTTTTTCTTTGTTTCTACAAAGCCTCCTAGGATTTATCCCTTATATGATTGTTTTCCCATGGCTGGGTAAGGCTATGTTAATATGCATTTCTTACTGTATTTGTTCAGTGCTGAAACATTAAACAGTATCAGGGAAAACAGCGAAGAATCACATATCAGATGTTTGTCTGCAAAAATGTGCTTTGCCTTAGCCACCCAAAGTGGCTGCAGAAACTCAGAATTATTTTTTTTGCTTTTTTTTTTTTTTATTATTATTATTTCCTGCATACATGTGAACTTGGACAGCACATGTTGAAGATTCAAATGTGCTTTTAGTTCTGGTCTTTGCCCCTTGCTGGCTCCCCATCGCTCTCAGGGCACCCAGGCCCAGCTCCGTGCCGTGGCCAGCAGTGCAGATCCTCTGGGTGAACCTGCTGTAGGATGATGTTGTCAGGTGCATTGTCATAACACAGGCATCCTAGAGGAGTTTCCTTATTCTCCGTTAAGAATAGACCAATATTTTCTTGGAATTACAAAGTACTGGGGAGATTGGTCAGCATTTAAGCTTTTCTGATTTTTTTTTTTCATGTTTTGGGCTCAGTCTATCCCAAGGACTCAAGCAGCAGGGATGTTTCCTGTACATGAATATGAAATATTTATGAAAAACAATGGCTTTAAACTAAAAGAGGGAAGATTTAGATTAGAGGTTAGGAGGAAATTCTTCACTCAGAGGGTGGTGAGGCCCTGGCACAGGTTGCTCAGAGAATCTGTGGATGCCCCATCCCTGGAGGTGTTCAAAACCAGGTTGGACGAGACCCTGGGCAACCTGACCTAGTGGGTGCCCATGGCAGGGGGCTGGAACTGGGTGGGCTTTGAGGTCCCTTTCAACCCAAACCATCCCATGATTCTAACTGGGGAGCCTTTCCCATATAAACCAGTAAGACCATTAGGGCAGGCTTCGGTCTCAGCCATTGTGATGGACATCTGCTCTTGAAGGACCTACATTAGCTATCTCAGTGCATACTACGTGGCATTTCTGACGTTATTTTAGGCACAGATATTCCCAGAATAGATTGTTGAGTTTACAAACTAATATTCTTCACCTGGATTATATTTATGGGTAGAAGCTGTAGGGATATGAAGGACAGGAGGAAGAGAAGAAGGGAGGAGGGAGGAAATGAAAGAAGAACTTTTGGAAGAACGTGAAAATAAAGGTCTCTGCAGGAACATTTCTGGAGGGATGTACATTTGTAATAGTATTAACACAGAGCTCAGAAATGCATTCAGAGTGCCTTCATGCTCTAAGCTGGGTTTGCTGATGTTCCTGGACACCCTATGGAGCAGAGGATTAAATGGGAAGGGAAAAGGGGATCCTTTGGCATTGCAAGAAGGATGCTGGAGCTGAGGGGTGATGGGGTGACCTCACCAAAGCTGTCAACATGACTCTTGCAGAAGAGCTGGGGGTAAAACACAGTTCTCTTAGATCTTAGCTCTGCACTTGTGCTGCAATACAGGAAGGAAAGGAAAAATATGACCCTGGAAAAGAGCTAGGCTGGATGAAGTCATTGAGCTCTGAATTTCCACCCTGGAAGTGGTCCATGTCTCCCTGTGAAATCTGCTCAGTCCCAGCCAAGCAGGTGAGGCTCAGACCAGGAGAAGGACTTTTTATTGTCCGTTTCAAGAGAATAAAACCTCTTCTGGCAACATCACTTCTGCTTCATGGAGAGAAGTCGCTGCCTTGCTGGGGGAGACTTCTGTAGCCTAATGAGCTGTCAGCAGTCATCTGGGGAGCCACTAAACCATCTGTGAGTAGCAACCAAAGCTTTCAGCCCCCTTTGGATCCATGATGAAGGGCTGGATTTCCAAGGAGGCCACGTGCAAGGCAGTTAATCCTAGATTTAGGGACCTGAAGGTTGGTCACAAAGCAGACTAATAAAGACTTGAGTGCGGGTGGCTGCTGTCTGCAGCAATCTCCTAGCGATGCTCGTGGGCTGATCCCGCACGATGGAGGCAGCAGATGTTTCCTTCTTCCATTGCAGCAGTAATATTCACATTTAGGCTTAATTGAATATGGTCATTATTGCCTGAAGAAGGGTACTTTTAGGGAAAGGTGCTGGAAAACTGAAGCTGAGCTCTCCCTGCAGCCAGCCTCAGCAAAGAGATGGAGGAGTGAGAGGGTTTATGGAATTTAATGCTGATTCCCCAAGCCAAGATGAGCTTTGGGAGCTAGAGGAAAGCTTCCCTTGCCACAGGCAGGCAGGTAGAGCATCCCATTCGGATGGCATACCTTAAAACATCTTTTCTCCTGCAGATGAATGACTGTCCAGGCTGTGTGCTGACTCCAGGAACCGAGGAGCGGGTTCTTATCAAGGGAAAAGAAAATGCTGTGTGCCCAGCTCCTTGCCCTAGCAGCGGCTGTGTCGCATTACAGAGCCATGGCCATTCATGAAGGTATGTGGCAAGTGGGCTACCATGAATGCAGCAGCTGGGGAGGATGCTGAGACACACTGGGGAGGGAAAGAAAAGAGAAAAAAAAAATGCATTTTCTAAGCAGTTATTTCTCTGATGTCACATCAAGGTGAGCTGTAGTGCTGATACCTTTGACTTTTGCATTAGGTCCTTTTTTTTTTTTATTATTTTTGAATCCTCCTGCTGCTATTTAGAGAGGCAAGGCAGTGTGAGGGCTCACCTCTTCCCTGGTTCCCCATTGCCTGTGCAAGCCCACAGAGTTTTTGGGAATGAGGGGCTGGAACCAAAAAGACCCTGGAGAAAAGCCTTGTCCAGTTAAAGCATGATCCATCCCATGTCTGCGGAGCTTTGGGGTCCTGCAGGAGGGGGAGGCTCCTTGCAAGGTCCCAGGAATGCTGTGGGGCTGGCTGCAAGCCAAAGGGTCCAAATCCTTCCTCTTCGAATCCCTCTGCAGCAATAACCCCCCCAGGCTTTGGGGCTGTGAATTCACCTGGCGTAAATTCAGCAAATTCAACAAGGAGTTAATGGAGGCTTTGGCACCAGCTCCAGAATTAACTTGATTAAGTTCCTGTCCATCAATTAAGCCAATATAGTCAACTATAATGCTATTTAATTTGAAGCTGGGAACAGTGCAATAAATCAACGTTTACAGATGTCTCTGGCAAACCTGTGATTGATGAAACGTGGTAATTTTGGAGGTGCATGGAAAATTTCAAATAAAATCATATCCCCCTGTGATTAATATAGCTGTCTGTGTTGGTATTTTCTCCAGAAGGTACCCATCCAAATATGCTTAACATCACATGTTCCTAATGACAGCTTCAGGTACCTGATCCAAGCAGCAGACGCATGTGGGTTTCATTGCCCAGCCGGGCCCCTCTGGAAAAGGTGCTGAGCACCTGGCTCAGCATCTCACAGGATGGGCTCTGGTTGCCCCTTTATAGAGAAAAGGGCACCAGCCTTCCCATTTTGATCCCATAGAGCTCCTGCAGCTCACTGTTGTCTTTTTCCTTGCCATCCCTGGGTGCAAACAAGGGCAGGAGCAGTTGTGCAGGGTGAGCGAGGCTCCCATGGACCAGGCACAGGATGGAGGAGGCTCCTGGGGCTATGGGATGTGGAGGGGTAACAAAGGGACCTCTGATACCGACAGTATTTTCAGCAGGTTTTCCAGATCAGGTCCAAAAATGCAAGTTTTCCAGGAAAAGCTGTGTGCACTGCCTTGAGCAGCTCCAAGAGGTGGGTGATTTTGGGAGAGCTGTTGGAAAGTGTTCTCCATCTCATCCAGCACTTGTTAGGATTTTCTGGTGATAATACAAGGACTGGCATTGCCTTCCCTTAAAATCCTTCTGGGGTAGCAGGGACATCAAGGTCCAAGCTAAGGCAAAGGGGTAGATCCAAGAGCAGCAGCAGCTGGGAACAGAGCTTATGGTGACCTGCTGCTAGCAGCGGAGCTGCCTCCAAGCCAGCCCTGACATCCCAGCTGAAAAGCACTTACAGAGGGTTGAGAAGGAAAGGGAGATCTCAAAAGAGCGCTCTAGAAAGGGAAATTGAAATAATTATCTCCCATTTTTGTCAGGGGAAAGTGCTTTGTGTTCACAGCTGGGTGAGTTAAACCAGAAAGAGCCAGTCATTACTTTTCCTGCAGTAAAGAATTGTTAAGTTGTAAAGAGCTCAGGATCAGGAGGCACAAAAGGAAAATGAAGGAACCAAAAACCTTAGGCAGCAAAGACCTTTGGGGAGCCATCTGTTTGCTGACAGTAAGTGATCCTCTTTCCTGCTGCTTGGCCAAAGGGGATCAATCAGGGACACAGCAGCAATGAAGGAGATCACAAAACCTGCATCTTTCCAAGCCCTTTGGGGAACCTGCTCATAGGATTGGGGTAAAAGGCAGGTAAATTGAAGAGGCTGAGCTAAAGCAACCTTTCCATCGCAGCAGAACCATGAGAAACCCAGCCATCTCTGCAGCAAACCCTGAAATCTCTGCAGCAAACTGGAGCAAATGCTCCAGCCTGGTTGGGTGTGTGTTGGGTCTCCAAACCTGCACTGGAAGTCCAGAGAAACAGTGACACAAAATGAGAAAAAATGTGAAGAGGTTGAGCCCAGTCCTGGTGAACAAGCCTGAATACAAGTCTACCTCCAGCAGTCAACTTTTTGGCAGCTTTACAATAATAAATCAGTATCTACCTGCAGTGGAGAGAAAAGCCAAAGAAAATACAAATTTTGAACTTCCCCTTAAGAGACTTCATTATTTTAACCAACCTTAAAAGCTATCAGATTTCTGCCCTTGAAATATATTTATCGGATTCCTAAAGAAAGTGAAATTAAATTAAAAGAGGCTGAACAGCGTAAAGGGAAATATGCCTTGATGTTCATTAAACAAATTTCCCCATACACCTGCCCCTTCGGTGCCAGCTGCCATGGATAGCTCTGGCTTGCACCGAAAGCCCTCTCCCATTGCTCATTCTCTGCACGTGACATTTTTTCCATGCTCAGGGCTGCTGACAGCTTGGGAAGAGGAGGGTGTTGCAGATCTGAGTGCATGGGGTTGTCCATGCAAGACTGGAGGACCTGGTTCTTTTAGGACTGGAAAAGTGTGCGTGGCCCCATGTCTGAGTTGTGTGCCTCATGATGGCTCTGAGACCTTAATGACAAGAATCCCCGGGTGGTTAATAGGGTGACAGAGCTGCCACATTGCCAATTTTCAGGTTGTGCATGTTGTGGGTGTCAGCTTCTGGGCATACGAAAACCCTAGAGGTCCCCATGCTGCCAGTGTGGTCTACCACCTTGATGGACCTGGGTCCTGGTGTTTGTGCTTCAAATGGGGAACTTCACAGGGTGGAAACAGCAAAATGGGGATTTAGGGAGAAATTAGAGAGAATCAAGCAGCCTGTTGCTCTGAGAGACCCATGCTTACCTACTTCACTGGGCTGAAACATGGTCTCTCTCCCTTAGCTATAATATCTCAGGGGTTCACGTGGCTCAGAGGGGTTTATCTCCTGGCTGGTTCCACGATGTGAGCTGAGCTCTCCTCCTTCAGTGTGCAGGACAGCAGAGGTGGCCGACGTTTTGTTCCTCGTGGGGCAGTCCCAGGGTGCGGAGACGGAGAGCACGCGGCTGCTCAAGGACTTTGTCAGCAGCATGGCTCGCTCCTTTGAGAACGTGGTGATGGGCAAAGGAGGCGTCCGGCTGGCAGTGGCACTCTATGGAGAGAAACCAAGGTGGGTCAATCCATCCTCTACCACCAATACATGAGTTTCAGTAGCCCTACACCTCTAAATGGGGACCGTTTTTGATAAGCAACCATCTCCCTTCCCATCCTTCCATCTCTTCCCTTGGTCTTGCTGCTTGGTTGAACTCTTGGAAGAGCAAAGCAAGAGTTCAGCAAGAGTTCAACCTCAGCAATGTCACCAGAGTCTAGAGGGGCTTGGCCATGGGGAACTCTTCCAGGGTGGGGAAGGTAGCATTTAATGCAGCCACAAAAAAACCTCCCTCCTGTCCAATTTTAGATACTATTTTTAAAGTAATAAGGCTCTGGGGTTCCCCTGACCACCGTGAAGAGGATTCCTTGACTAGCTGTGAGCCTAGTGTGACCACCTAAGTGTCATCACTGTTGTTGGTCATTACCATTAAAGATGCAAACTTGCTGTGATGACAGCATTTTCTTGCCCTTTATCCCCTCATATTCCCCCATCTCTCACCCCCAGGATGAGTATTGAACTGACGGATTATGTGACCATCGAGGAAATACTGGTGGCAATTCAGGAGCTCTCCTTCAAAAGAAGCAACCTAAAAACGGGAGCTGCCCTGGCGTTTGCAGCTCATGCCATGTCTCGCCCAGCCACACTGCGAGAGGATGCAGCAAAGGTAAGCGACATTCTGTGACAACATCCCTGGTATAATCCTCAGCAGGGATCAGACCTCTGACTTCTCCACCTGCTGGCACGAATGGGCCAGTTGGGTTGTGGTCCTCCCATCTGCTTTTTGACATGGAGTTGGGGAACCTCATTTAGGAGCCCATTCAGCTTCAGGTCTGTGATGGAGAGGGACAGGCACGCGCAGATTTTCAAAGGGCTGGCTCAAATTATGGAGATGCTCATGTTTCTCCGTGGCCTGTGGAGTGCTCTGGTCCCAGATGTCTCCAGCTAAGTACCCAAATTCTTACTGCTCAAGCTACCTGAGCAGGCTTAGGATGTGATTTAGACAAGGAGACAAGTCTTGGTAGCATCAGTTCCTCCTAGGTGCTGTTGTTAACAGTCTGCATGCACCTGATCCATTTGGGGACAGTGGCAGCCCAACCAGCATCTTATTCAAAAAGCAGGCACGTGGCAGTGTCCCTGCCTTTTGGGCATGAGTTTTGGGCCATCCTGCAGCTTCCTCTTCAAACCCCTCGTGTTGTGCTCGTTCATTCTCTGGCTCTGACTCCAACTCTTGTAGGTAGTCGTTTTGATCACGGATGGGAAATCCAGCGACTCGGTTGAAGACAAAGCCCACGTCCTGCAGGATCGGGGAGTGACGGTGTTTGCTGTAGGTACGTATGGACACAAAAAGCTACGTAGAGCATGGCACCAACTACTGTGTGTGAACCACCACACGGTTTACAAACCAGGGAAGGTTCCAGATGCACAACAGCACCCGCCTCTAAACACTGCGCCCATCCCTAGGCTCAGCCACCAGCAACTACTGCACGAAGGAGAAAAAAACATCTGTGCTGTGCTTGGATATTTGTTGTTGTTGTCAATCGCTGATTTATGCAGCGGAAATCTGCGGTTTTGCATCTGTCAAAACTACTTGTGAATTCAGGAGCAGTTCAATAAATAGTTCCGTAAAAGTCAAAATGTTTTGATGTGGCATTTTCAAAAATGAAATGGTTTTACTTTTGAAGGTTTCTCTTAATCGGGTTTAGAGGCTGACTTCAAGTGTCCATCAGAACGATTCCACGGGAAAGGAAAAATATCAGCCCCTTCTGCCCCCAAGTTAAATACAGCCATTTATTACAAGCCAAACCCTTCATTTCACCAAGTATTTTGGGGAGAAAAAGGAGGTGGTGGTGGTGATCCATTAGGGAGAGCAAGCAGGTGAGTTTGGACCAATGCAAGCTGAAAATTAAGATTCATTTCTTTTTTCCTTTTCTGATTCAACCACTGGAAGATGCAGCAATTTTCACACAGCCTCCCAAAGTCCCTTTGACTAATCCCAAAGCATCCCATTAGTGCCGAGTCCCCAGGGGCAATCTCTAACACGCCTCTGGAGGAAAAATTGGCTTCTTTTCCCTAATGGAAGAGGCTTCATCAGCTCCACCACTGGAGACTGAGTCTCCATTCCTTGTTTCAGCCTTCACTGTGGGCAGCATGACCATAAAGCCAGCATAAAGCACAAAGGGCAGCACATTGCTCCCTCTTGCTCTTCCAAGACCTTTGCCAATGCCTGACCCACCCCACTGATGTCTCTGGTGTTCTCCTTTCCCCTTCTTTTCTTTGCCTAGGAATTAAGGATGCTGACAAGCAGGAACTGAAGACAATAGCTTCTGAGCCCACAGCAGAGCACGTGGTTTACGTTGACGATTTCCACCTGCTCCACAGCGTGGCCCCCAAGCTCTCCCGAAGGCTCTGCTTCACTGCCTCAGAGCCACCACGGCCCATCAAGCAGACTGTGCAAGGTAATTTTGGGGTTCTCCCTTTATCCTATTTTCCTCCTGCTCAAACCAGCCACTTCCAAGCCCCTGGATGTGCCAGCTATGCCATGGAGATGGACCTCCCACATCCCTTCTGGTCCCATCACAAGGGAGTTTTATGGGTTGGATGACCCTCGAGGAGCAGCCAGCTCCTTGGAGCACCTGTTGCTTAGGGGCAGAGGTCCTGTGTATTTTGTTTGTGTCTGTATTGCCGTGGTTTATCTGGTAATATGGGATCCCGATGCTCTCGCTGCCTATTTGGGCATTGGGGCAGCAGTTCTGCCCCTCTGGATTTTCATGATGGGTCTCCCGTGGTGAATTCTGGCAGCACAGCTCAGTGTCAGAAGGAATTTCATCCTCAAAAGAGATGCAAAAAGGAGCCAAAGAGATGTCCAAAGAGATCTGGATCTCCCCAAAGACATACAGGCGTTGCAGCAAACACAAAAGTGGTGGTAATGAATTTCTCCCTCTTTCATGGCACACAAACTTAAAAAGTTTAAATCGCAGGACAGACCTTGGGAGAACTTTATCCAAGTCCTTAGAAGGTCTTTTTTTTGTTTGTTTGGTTGGTTGGTTTCTCTGTGGATCTGCATCTCTTCAGGGCTTCCTGTGATGCTTCATGGAGAGTTTGAGCTTTCTGGCAGAACCATCTCTGCTGGCAGGAAGGAGAACGGCAGAAAGGAGCTGATGCTCTCTGCGTTAAGCAGGTGTTCACAGGGCAAGTGTAGCCAGAAACAGTTTTGTTTTCCCTTCTTGTGCTGTCAAGCAATTTGTCAAAAGAAAAACAGCTTGCATGGTTCTGGACTGGAAACAGAGGCTTTCTCTGCATTGGATATGGAGACTCCATTGACAAAAGGCTTGCACATCGTGGTCCAAACCAAAGACCTTTCTTTTCTCTTTTAGCAGCTGAGAAGATCGTTGGCCCTCGGGATCTGCACGTCAGTGAGCACAGCCACAGCTCGCTGCAGCTCACGTGGATGCCAGCTACAGGGAGGGTGACGGGGTACCAGGTCCACTTGCATCCCTTGTTGCCTTCTGGGCAGCCAGTTTTGGAGGACCAGCGGCAGGTAGAGTCGCTTTCCTGTCTTGCAGAGCCCCAGTTGTGGGTCTCAGTGTTCGAGATTAATCCTCTTTTGGGGTTGTTGATGGCACAGCCTGGTTTGGAGATGGCACCATGTCCCTCAGCCACCCCGGTCACAGCCCAGAGCATTGCCATAAACTGCTGGAGCTGCTTGTTTGAAGGGAAGCTCTGTAGGGAGACCATCAGGTCTGCTGGTGTGTCAATTGGAAAGGAGGAATGGAAGGAGAATATGGCACAAACTGTCACAAGCTCCTTTAGGATCAATAAGAACAGGTTAATAGGAACTGCTCCTTTCTTTCCTTACCTCTGTGATACCACCTCTCAAATAAGTCCAGCCAGCTTCCATAATAGCAGCTCCTGTTCCTCTTGCTGCCAAGTCTGTTCACCTTAGCAAGGTTTCTGCGTGTTTTGGTTTGGGATTTGCCATGTCCTTGTGAGAGGGGTGATGCCACATGTGCCAGCTCACTCCAGGTCAGCTGGGTCACTGCATGGAGTGTGAAATCAGGATTGAAGGATGGAAGACGTATGCCTAAGAGCTCTGATTTCTAATAAGAGAACAAACCTATGAAAGCGTAAAGTATTATGGTTAAGATTATTGATTTTATTAATTTTTAAGATTGCATTTAACAAGAATGATCTTCAGTGCTTCTGAATCTCATAAGAACACAGTAAGAATACAAAAGTTAGGTCTACTTCTCTTGCCCTCAGGCTACATTGAAATCTCCCTATATGAGCTTTTCCAACCTAAGTGATTCTGTGAAAATGGTTCTAAAAGAAACTCTCTTTGTCAAAAAGTAGTTGCTTTTCTTCCGTTGTCTTTGAAGTGAGTATTGGGAAACAGTTTCACCATTGTGCATGCTCTTGTTTTCATGGAGTTTCTTCTGAGCTATCCCATGAAACCCACCCTTGGCACTGTCCCGTGTCAGTGGCATGTCCCATGTGAACCCAGATATCATTTGAGGATTGCAATGTACAGAAAATCCATTAGTGCATTTGAAGAGGCTCCTGCTGATGGAAGCCCCTTGCTCTAGAGGAGAAGCCTTGTATTCCTAACCTGCTGTGAACACGGGGGGGTTCGACCATCACAGAGGTGTAACGATGTCCTTTGTCCCCCTGTGTGACAGATCATGGTGGATGGTGACAAACACACCGTGCTGGTTCCTGATCTGAAACCCAACACCAAATACGTCTTCACGGTGAGAGCTGTCTACACAGATGCCCTTGGGGAATCAGCAGCTGTCAAGGGGAAGACAAGTGAGTATCTCTTCTGCAGGCACCCCCGCATGTCACTTGTCCATGTGGGCACAGGAAGAGAACCACCCAAAAACCATAGGTGCAAGGAGGGAGGGATGAAAGGGTAGGAGGAACATCACCTATACAATGGTATATTTGGTCCCTGGGACAATGTGCAGCATCTTGAGCGGGTGCAGAGTAACCCACACAGCTCCTGAAAGCACAGGGTAGAGCTCACACCATCTCATTTAATAATAACCAGTGGGATTTAACGAATTTAGACTGGGATTCAGTTAACATACCTCCCATGTACTTGGGATGCAGGAAGCATTCAGAGACCATGGGTTTGGAAACACAAACACTGGGGTTCTCAAGAGAGATATATTCTAAACACCTTGTTTTGGAAGTGGGACTGTCCAAAAGGTTTGGGTTGGCACTACATACATGTACACACTTAGAGTTTCACTACCCACAAGGAGAACACCAAGGTGGTACGATCGTGGCTTTTAGGAAATGCGCCAAGTGGTGATCTCTGATCCCATGAAATGATCTGGACTTCATGAAATGATCTGGACCAGATCGTGATTTTGGCCCAGAAATCTCTGCACTACTCTCCGGGGCTTTAAGGGATAAAGGGGCACAGTAATTCCACTTTTCTCCCTGTTTTGCATGAAGCACCAAGTCTGCTTTGCCCAAGGCATTTTGAAAAGAATTATTCCTTTTTCCTTTCCTTTTGTTTCTTCTCCCCATCCCCACAATGTCTAAATTGCTTGTTTTCTTGGGGGAAGATCTCCGACAGGATGAATAAATAAAGAGCCTCAACGAAGTTGATTCATATGTACTTGCCACAAAGAAGATGGAATGGCTTTGTGGGTAGAAATAAAGTCATTTGATCTCTCCTGCTATTATCCCCAACATGAAGGCAGAGGTAGAAGCCATAAATCTGTCTGCCATGGCTGACTGGATCAAAATGGGCTCCTCTTTGTAAGAGCCACATCCATGGGCTCAAGTAATGTTTGATTCCTGTGTTCTTGCTCAACCTGCCTGAAACCACTGCAGTTTTATCTGCTCACGAGGCAATGCCCTCGTGATAGATGTATGGTTTGATATTTCAAAGCTTACGAGACTATTCAAAGAGGAAGCCCCAAGGCACATTGACGGGGGGGGTTCAGCTCACTTTTCAAGTGGACAAGGGTGTGATAGAGGGGGAAGTTTACTTTTGAGGATATTTTTGCTACAATAGGGTGAATTGGCACTGCTTACTGTTGTGTCTCTTTGAAGACAAAAATATTTCCAAAGTCTTTGATGTGGGGCTTTATTAAAGCCCTGTCTTATCCAGTTTCTGCACTATTTTTGTACCCCAAAGCACCTGTGCCTCCAGTCACTAATTTCCGGGTGATAGAAGAAGGACTTTTTAGCTTGAAGGTTGCTTGGACACCTCCCCTGGGCAAGCTGGAAGGCTACAAGATCTACATCCCCAGAGGTGAGTTCATTTTTCTTGGCGTTTGCTTTAAAAGGAGCAGCGAGCTGAGGGCAGGAAAAGTGCCTTTTTGTCCAAGGAATACTGCACCACAATGCTCCTGGCATTACTCTGGAAGGAGGCCAGGTTAGCTTCTTCCAGACATTGTGGTTCCTCTGGGATGGAAGAAGAGAGTTCTTTGAAGGACCTTCTTTGGCAGGACAAGGTGGGGATGATGCTGTGGATGCCCTGTACCCAGTTGCACCATCATATCCAGATCTTCCCTGGATGTTTTTCATACTCAGGTATCCCTTTTCTCTTTGTCTTGCAGCCAACAGACCAGGAATGACCTACGAGCAAGTTCTGCGGGGCGATGTCTCCTCCCACGTGCTGGATAACCTGCAGGAGGACAGAGAGTACAGCGTCAGCATCTACGCCGTGTACCCCCAGGGGCCAAGCCAGCCCGTGGCTGCTGTGGGGAGAACATGTAAGAGGTTTGACTCCTTGGCTGCCCCCTTCTTGCCCTGAGCATTGCTTTCAAACCCTTTGCTGTTGATAAGCACCTTATAGTTGGTGGGGACGGCAGCTACACATGCATCAAAAGAGCAGTGCTCCACGCACCCTTCCTAAATCTGTTTTTGAGCCGTGCTCTTCCCCCATCACGTGCATTGATCCTTGAATACCACCATGCTGCTGGGGTGGAAAGGTGGGAGATCTGCCAGAGGCTCACTCACCCCTCTCTTTTTCACCCACACTGCAGAAAACAAGCAAGGTTGGTGCCTTAGAGGTACTGATCCAGTGGCCACAGATTTGAGTGTTTTCACCAGTGCTTTTACAAGAAACCTTCAAGCTTTTAGGCAAAGCAGCAACCCTTAGAAATCCCTCTCCTGTTGACAGACAGGTTGGAGGGACAGTGATAGAAGGAAGGCAGCCACCCAAATCCTCTGCTGATCAGTAGGTGCTTTGAAAGATTTGTTCCCTGTCCTTCCAGTGAAGCTCCTGCCCGTGAAAAGCATCTTGCTGCAGAATGAGACCACTGACACACTGCAGGCGAGGTGGAGCCCCGTCCGGGGAGCAACAGGCTACAGGCTCACCTGGACATCAGCAGGTAGAAACAAGGGAGCGGGGTGCAGGTGTTGGTGGTCAGGGAGATGGGGAGGCTGGAGCTGGATGCACTTCGTGCCAGCTGGGCAACAAAAGTCTGGAGGGACCCAGGTTCTTTGGGTCTGTTGCATCAAGACCTGAATTTGGCCTCCAGCATCCCATATCCCCCTGAGAATGCGTCCTCATTCTCAGATTTTAACGTTTGAAAACAGATCTGCACTAGCAGCTGGAGCCTCTCCCCTGCCCTGAACCCAAACATATTTTCATTGCTGGTGTGGGGGAGTAGAAGTTAAAAAATCAGGCCTGATGGCGTATTTTGGTCTTCGGAGATGGATGTCTCTGTGGTTCAAAGAGGAGATGGGCGTCGAGACACCTGGGCTCCATCACAGGCTTTGAAAAAAATAGCACTTTCTCCTCTGGCTCAGCTCCCCTGCTAATGAAATAAGGAGATATCTCCCACGGGGGGTTAGCTGGAGAACAGCTCCAAAGGTCATCAGAAGGGAAAAATCTTTACGGGAAGGATGTAACACTGCTTTTATTGCTTTGTAGTGAATGGTTCTCTGGAAAAAAAAAATAATAATAAAAATTCAAGGCACACCCCAAAACTCAGCTGTTTAGCCAATCTTTGCTTAATGTCCCAGATAGAAATGGAGTACATGTGCCTCTCCTGCCACATCTTGAGGGGAAAATGAGGGATGTCCTCTGCTGAAGGAGCAACAGCACATCACCTCTGCTCTGGGTTTTGTGGTACCTGCGCAGCTCTTTCACTGAATACTGATTCACCCCAAATCTAGAGGTGACAAAAATCCCAAGGGACAGCCCACCCTCATGACTGTGGGGTCCTTCTCCCACGCTCCATCCCATCCCATCCCATCCCATCCCATCCCATCCCATCCCATCCCCCTGTGTGCAGGCGCACTGGGATCGCACACCTGCTGTCCGTCCCCATGCAGCCATCCCAGGTGCTGGAGGATGTGGATTTTTCTTCTCTGACAGAGAATAGATAAAAATAAATGAACGCCTGATACGGAGAGAAGGTCCATGGAGTGGGGAGGGAGGTGGGAAAGGGGGATGGGGCGCAGGGTGCTGGTGGAAGCAGAAGATGGGGACATGGCACCCTCCAGTGACCAAACTGTAAATGGCAGCCCCCCCCCAAATCCCAACGTGCTGCTGCCTGCACCTCTCTGCCTCTCTAAAAAGGGGGGTCTGATCCCCAAGGGTTAGGTTTTAACTCTTTTCTGTCCGTGCTCCCCTCTGCAGTGATGCTGAGAGGTTCTGTTGAGCGTTTTCTAGTCCGTGATACAAAAAATAGGATTAACATGGAGAAAATCTTTTGTGGCATCCCTTGTCTCCTGTGTCCAGCAGGGAAGGCAGGATGGCTCCAGCAGCATGTCACCCAGAGCTGGGCAGCGTGTGGACCCTCTTAAAGGACTGCTCCCAGCCCCACGTACCTCCATTTCTGTGTTTCTACCTCATTTATTTTCTTTGGCCTGCAAAGCCCTAAGCCACCTTGATCGGTTGGTGATCACCGAGGTCTGCCCAAAATGGTTGTGGGTTATTTCTGCCTGTTTATACATTATCTCCTCAACCAAGATGTGAGCTAAGCACCATCCCTACTGTCTTTGGCTTGAGGACCTCATGGACACACGTGCAGGCCAGGAGGACAAAATCTTTAATCTCAGGCAACCGAGATAGTCCTTGAGTGTCTGTGTGATTGCCCACCACCCTTCCAAATTGGGGGTCCTCCTTGAGGGACCTCACCCATCGTTTCCCTTTGCAGAGGGTAGCATCCAGGATGTGAACCTCAGCAACACCTACACCTACTACATGATCCAGGGGCTGCAGCCCGGCACAGAATACACCGTCACCATCAACCCCATCTTCGGAGATGTCGAGGGGCCGGTAGTAAATGCAAAAGCGACCACAGGTGGGTGCCCTGCAGCAAGGTGTGAGCAAGAGAAACAGTCCAAGAGGACATGGATGGGGTGAGGATGTGCTGGGAGCACGGAGTTGGTGCCATTTGTGGTCACCACCCTGCCTGTTTGGTGCAGAGAGCTGTCTGGGGGTCACTTAGAAGCTGTGGGGACCTTGATGCAGCTGGGCATCTCTGCTCTCTTGCAGTGGCTTCAAGCACCGTGCAGATGCTGAAAGTGAGTGAAATATCCATCAGTGGTGCTCTGGTCTCCTGGGACTCGGTTGCTGGGGCCACTGGGTACCGAGTGGCTTGGGGTCCTACACCGGGTAAGATCCTGCTCTCCTCCAGCCTGTATCACCCACACCAGCTCCTGACTAGAACTGTGAGAAACTAAAGGCAAACTAAAAACATCTTCCCCACAGACACCCTCTTCTGTGTCCTCCCCAACAAGTTGCACAGGGGAATGAGGGCTGTGGTCAGTCCCTGATGCTTCGTCCCCACCACTCCCTCATGGTCCCTCTCTGCCCCTGCTCCATGTGGGGTCCCTCCTGAACTGATGCTTCAGGGTCTTCAAGAGCTGCTCCCACACGGCTCCATCCCACGGGGTCCATCCCTCAGGAGCAAACTGCTCCAGCACGGGGCCCCCACGGGCTGCAGCTCCGTCCCGGGGCCTACTCCTGCGGGGGCTCTCCATGGGCCGCAGCCTCCTCCAGGCCACATCCACCTGCTCCACCGGGGGCTCCTCCACCCATGGGGGGGCTGCAGCGTGGAGATCTGCTCCGTGTGGGACCCATGGGTGCAAGGGGACAGCCTGCTCCACCAGGGGCCTCTCCACAGGCCACAGGGGAACTGCTGCTGCCTGCATGGAGCACCTCCTGCCCTCCTCACCTTGGGGCTGCAGGGCTGGTGCTCATCCCTTTCTCCCAGCTGCTGTAATGCAGCAGGGTTTTCCCCTTCATTTTTCCCTTTCCTTTCCTCCCAAAGGCCCAACCAATGCCACTCAACTCAGCTCTGGCCAACACCAGGTCCCTTTGGAGCTGGCTGGAGCTGGCTCTGATCTGCCATGGGGTAGCTGCTGGGCTCTGCTCAGAGAGGCTACCCCTGCAGCCCCCCCCAACCAAAACCTTGCCACATAAACCTAATACATCTGGTTTGATCCTTTTGGTTCCTCTTGGCTAGTTCAGTTGCTTCGTAGTCATTCAAGCCCTAATTCAAATACACAACCACACTCTTATGCCCCAGCACATGCAGATGTCCTCCAGCAGCACTTCAGCTGAGACAGAGATGGACTGGCTGGGGAAGACACGGCATTCTCCAGACTCTCTAGTTTTATCCTATTCTATTTTATTTTCCCTCTCTTGCAAAGAATTCTTTGGCAAAGACCGGCCTCGGCAGCTGTCTCTCAACAAGTCGACCACAGCCTACAGGCTCCGCAACCTGGCCCATGACACCGAGTACGTGATTTCCCTCTATGTGCTCTTTGGCTCAGTGGAAGGACCAGGCATCACAACCTCAGCCAGGACATGTGAGTATGGGCAAAGCACTCAAATAACCACTGCAGCACACAACCCTTGTGTGGCTGGTTCAGCCTGGTGTATCCCTGCAAAGCTTTACACTGTGCCTCCAGTACCTCACTGCCGTCACCTTTCCCTCATGTCAGGGGCTCCATGGTGGTCCTTTGCCCTGCTGACCTGATGGGTGAGAGCAGAAATCCCAAAGGCTCTGGGTTTTCTGCCTGGGAGTCTTCAAATGCAAACTGGAGTCAGCATGCTCTTCAGTAGATATGTTCATGTGCCTTGGGCTTGGACAAAGCTTCAAATATGAGCCACCAAATCTGCGTTCACCGAACTTTCAGGCATCCCAAAACCCATACCAATAGCCAAAGTACTCCACACTGCCAAATAGTTCAGCTGGAAGAGAAGAGACCTTGATAAACTCTGCTACAGGGAGATGCAGGGAGAGGAACATCCCAACACGGTCCTTGGTGCCTGGTGGACCCTGTTAGGATGCCTGTTAGAGGCAGCTGTCTCCTGCCTCAAAGAATGAGGACCCCAAATGTCTGTGCTGGGAGCCCAGGTTGCTTGGACAAGAGGCAGCAGATGCAAATTCTTCACCTAAAATAGGGAAAGACGGTGATCCAGTTGGTAGCCAGAGATTGCCCCTCAATGGTGAACCATTGTATGTCCACCTCTGTTGCTGCAGCTTGAGGGGGGCAATGTGGTAATGCTGAGCATGGTGAGCACCATCTAATGTTGTCTTCATCTTGCAGCTCCTCTTGGCTACGTCTCCAATTTCAAGGTGACATCCTACACCAACACAAGCCTGTCTTTGGCGTGGAGTGCCACAGCAGCTGCCACCAAATTCAAAGTCACATGGAGCCCCGTGGGAGCAGGCAATGGTGAGCAGAGACAGGGTGCACATGCATGTTCCTGGCAGAGACCCACGTTGGTGGCCATGGTGATGGAAGACCCCTTTCCAAACTTCTTATCTAGTGCCTGGGGTAGGAAAAAGATCTCATTACTACGAAACACAGCCTTGAGCCTGCACCTATGGGTGATAAATCTTTTCCTTTTTGTATTCATGCTCTTCTACATTATGAAACCAATCCCCAAAGCTCTGAAACCACAGTACAGCAAGTAATCGCTATTTCCTTTCCCTTCTTTCACAGAAAACCAGGTTGCCAAGACTCAGTACCTGGGCAGTAGGGTGTTAGCTCACCGTATCGACCACTTGCTGCCTGACACCCAGTATAAAGTCAGCATTCAGGGCTGTCTTCAGCAAGACCGAGGGGCCAGAGGTGACTCTGACTCACCGCACAGGTATGTCCTGGTGGAACAGACATCCTTGTGTTGGGACATCAGGGCTGGATTCATGGTCCTGGCCCTTCACTCTTGGGCTGTTCCTTCTGACATCTGCCCTGCTTTTGGCTGGGATAGAGTTAATTTTCCTCCTAGTAGCTGGTAGGGTGCTGTGTTTGGATTTAGGATGAGAATAATGCTGATAACATGCTGATGGTTTAGGTGTTGCAGAGCAGTGCTTACATTAAGCCAAGGACTTTCAGCTTCTCATACTGCCCTGGCAGCAAGGAGGCTGAGGGTGTAGCAGGAGCTGGGAGGGGACAGACCCAGGACAGCTGACCCCAACTGGCCAAAGAGATATCCCACATCATATGGCATCACACTGAACAATTAACATGGGGTGGCTGGCCAGGGTGGGGGGTTTCTGTTGCTCGGGGACAAGCTGGGAATCATTTGGTGAGTGGGGAGCAATTGTGTTGTGCGTTGCTTGCCTTGTTTATTCTTTTTCTTGATTTTCTTTCTTTCCTTTCCTTTTCCTTTTTTCTTTTTTATTAAACTGTCCTTATCTCAACCCAGAAGTTCTTGCACTTTTCAATTTTATCTCCACCCCACTGTAGGGGTGGGGGGGGACTGAGCAAACAGCTGTGTGATATTTAACTGTCTACCAGTTTAAACCCCAACAACATCTCATCCTGGTTCATTTCGGCAGCATCTCTCGCAGACTCCAACCCCATCCAGACCGTCCAAGATCTGAAGATTACATGACACTGGTGTAAATAGTTTGAAGCTGTCTTGGAAGAGGCTTCCAGGGGTAACTCACTATAAGATATCCTGGGTACCATTCAGCGGTAAGCATCCTCCTCTCTTGGATGCAGTATGAGGACAGAGCACAAAGGTCCTCAGAAAACAGGAGCTTAGCTCAGCTCAGTTCTTTTCCCACAGATGATCAGGGTGGATGGGGACTATAATGTCTGGGGACAGGCTGAAGCCCTGAAACTTGGCCATGTTTTAGTTTGCAAAGTAGATATTGGTCAGATTTAGGCATAGCTGGATTTGGAGAATCAGGGAAGCTGTGTATGTGATGCCTTTGTGACCAGATCCCTCAGCTGCCCATACCTTGGTTCTCCTGTATGCAAAATGAGCTTATAACATCCTCCCTGGTCATTTTCCATAAGATCTGTGTGCAGAAACTGCTGTAACAATAACTGTCAACAGCAAACGCCCTGCCATTTCTATGTAGTATTGTGTGGTGTTTTTTTTTTGGTGTGGCTGCAATTTTTGTTAGGTGGCTTGGAAACCTCACAGCTGGTTGAAGCAGAGACCATCTCGTTCATGATCCCCAGACTGAAGGAGGGCACCACCTACACCATCTGCGTGTCTGCAGTGATTGGGGGCCAGGAGGGAAGCCCCACACTCCTTATAGCCAAAACCTGTGAGTATAGGGACCACCGAGGGGGGACAAGGGCAGTGCCAAGATTTCCAATGGTTATTTGCTAAAATGCCACCAATTCCCACTAGCAAAGGATCATATCTGCCTCAGCTTTCTGGAAAATACTTAAAGTGCTGCAGGGACTCCTTCATCTCATCAGAAACACAATAGCTAAGAGGTAAAAAGGCTCTGAAAACTGATCACAGGCTAAGGGATATTACTAATAAGGGATATTTAAGGGATATTTACCCTGGGGCAGATATCATCAGATATTCAGCAGCAGCTGGAGCTGTGGACAAGTGGAGCAGAGATGTGCTTCATGCTGATCATTTCTATCTTGGACTTTTTGCCTTTCATTTCAGTGGGGCCTGGATCAGAGTCTCCCAAAAGAGATGCATCTCTTTCATTTCAGCACAGTCAAGCTCTTGGTAGGAGCTTCTACCCTCCTTAAGTTTGAATTATTTTTCTTTTCCAACAGTGGATTTACCCAAAGTGACCGAATTCACGGTGCAGGAAGCTGCAGAAACCAGTGTTTTGCTGACTTGGGCGGCTGTTCCTGATGCATCCACGTACCTATTAACGTGGCGCTTGTCCTCAGGTAACCATTTTGAGTGGGGAAAGGAAGACGGTTTGTAATTTGGAACCCTCCATCTTGAGTTGCCCCATCACCCAGGAGGATCTGAGGATGGACCATGGCCAAGTCTGGCTTACCTTGTGGTGTGTTCAATTCAGTACTTGGTCTTAAAGCCATCTGATGCAGCAAAAGATGCAAGGGGTGGGTAATAAAGGGGAAATTTCTTTCCAACACCAGCCTTAAGTGGCTGTAGATTCCTTCTAGTATCATGACTATTATTTCCAAGTGCTTCCCAGTTTGGCCAGGGTTAAATGATGCTGTTGTTGATGGCATCACTGCTGACCCCATCTGGACATGAAAACAGAGGTTTGACTCTGCAGGTATTCCATGAACCATATCCATTAATCTCAGTTTCATTTGAGTGAAAAATAGAGGGAAAAAAGAAAACTGTGTCATTGAGGAGGTTCACAAGATGATCGATGTGACCATTGCAAAATCCTCAAAGGAAGAAAAAGGAGAAGTAAAAATTGCTTAGGGAAAAAAAAAAAAAAAAAAAAAAAAAAAAAAAAAAAAAAAAAAAAGCCTGATTGGCATTATCATTTTCTCTTCCTCTAGAGGCCCTGCTACTCCAGCAGGAAGAGTTGCAGTGAATCAAAAAAAGGCTGTTTTTGTCATCCATAAAGCCTTAATTCTTATCCTTTTAAGACCTTTACTATATAGTAAAGAACTTTTAAGTCTTTCCTAATCGTTGCTCACAGTTTTTAGTGTATGGCTTGTTTTCTTTTTCAGTTGATTTGGCCTTACTGAATTTTACTGTTTTAAGGTACCAGCTATATATATTTTTTTTCTGTAGTGGGCTTAAACCTCTTTGGATATAGCAAGTTTCCTGTCATTGTTGCTTCAGCCACTAACTTTTTTGTTAGAGATCAGTTCATCTTCACAAGTCAATAAGGAAAACGTGTGATGCAATTCCCCTGTGCTCCCTGCGGTGCTTTTTGAGTTACCAGGTCATCAGCTTTAATTTTTCTAATTCCAAGGACGTTTTGGTATTGGCAGCTTAAGACTTGCAGCATATGTCACTCAGGATGAAGTCTCCTGTGATAACATCATTTTTTTGCTCTACATATTATAGGTAAGTGATTAGGGAACTGAACATTCAGCTCTCTAGGGTGACTTAAGTGATCTAATGCAACTGTTCCTCTCCTGTGCCATGCTGTTAAAATATCGATCTGTAAGTATTCAAAAATCATTGGTTTCAGAGTTGTCAGGGGCTCAGAAATGGATAATACCACATCTGACAGTCCCACTGTGCCCTCACTCAATCGATCCTTCTGAAATAGGTTTATAACTATTGATTTTACATTACAATCAGATGAATCTTGCCACCGAGTTTCAATAGTACCAACAAGATCAAATTTATGCTCATAAGTAATTCCAATTTCTCTTGTTTAATTATCCAGGCTGCCAGCATGAGTGTATAAAGGCAATTAAGAATTTTGTCTTTTTTTTTTCTTTTTCTTTTTCTTTTTTTCTCTGCCTGCCTTGATTAATTTTCTTCTCAGCAACTTGCTTTTTTGCTAAATGAATTCTCATTCATTGCCCATTTCCCTTGCTCCCTTTTCAAGCTCACTTAATGCCCTCCTCCCTACCTGCCTACCCTCACCAGCCTGCCCTGTAAAAGACTGGGTCCTCTTCTACTCAGCTGGAGGTCATCCCAGCTGTAGATCTCCTTCTCATTTTACATAAAACCAACCCCATACATTTCAGCAGGGCTCCATCCAGAGCCAGTCTTCATCCCCCGTGTGTCATAAGGGACCTTGGAGAAGTTCACCTAGATCTTGCCTTCCTCTCTCTTCTTTCTAGCTTCTCTTGACTGTTCTTAGACCACCAAAGCCACTTTTTTTGCATCCACTCAGTCAACATCCAGAAGCTTGTTAATCGTGCAATTGCTCCTTGACCCTCATATCTCTTGTCCCTTGCAAAGCATCGGTTCACTCTTCTTAGAAAACTGTCTTCAGCAAAGACCATCTGCCTTCTCCAACGGTTGCAGACCTCTTCCTGCATGTGCTTGGCAGCCTTGTGCTGTGCATCCCATCCTGGGTACAATCCAGGTGTCTCCTGCCTCTGTCCACCAACAAAGTCTTCTGCTTGTCCAGAGCATGAACACGGTAACCAAACACTTTCTGATGGTGGGAAACATCATGAGAAACAGAGGGTTTTAGTGCTACACAGTGGCACAGAGAAAAATGAAAAGTAGCTAAATTTACCTTTTTGGGGGTATTAAGCAGGGGTGAGGAGTGGGCTGCTTTAGATCCGTGTCTCAGCAGAGCTGTCAGCTTATGTTCCTCTTCAGGCAAATCTCTTCAGGCAGAATAACAAGTCGTCTATGATAATTATTATCTTGAGTTGCCTACCCAAATGGAGAGGAATAGAAGATTTTCAAATTGCAAGAGGGAATAATATATATATATATAAATATATATATATTTAAAGGAAGAAAACATCCCTTCCAAAATTTGTTCTGGGGTAATGAAGAACATTCAATACAGTTGAAACAAGTTATTTACAACAATTTAATGTATTTCCCTAGAAACCAACGTTCTTTTCTTTTAAGAGAAAATGCTATTTCAGAATGAAAAGGTACAAGTTTCACTTTGAGCAATGTCAAAACTCATCATTCAGTATTTCCAAAATAACACACTTTTAAAATGTCAAAACATTGTTATGACATTTTCACAGATTTTTCCTATCACTTTGAAGCAAAACTATCTATTGTATGCAGTCAGTTTTCTCAAGTTATGTTTATTTCCATTTTACAGCAAGCTTTCTATTCATTAACAAAAAGAATCCTGTTTCTATACGTGCCAGCCTTTGCAAACCATAATTAATGTTCCTTCATTGGACGGTCACAGAGCTCAGTACCTGGACCAAATGCCCTCTCTAAACATTTGCACAAACATCAGGCTTTATTCCATCCCTCTCAACTTCAGAGAGATGCAAACTACCTTATTTCAGCTGGTTTAGGGCCTGACCATTGCAGCTTGCAAATCCATTTTACCATGCCCAAAACTCATCTGCTTCTCAAGCTCCTGTTTGCCAAAGGTGATGTCAGTAGCAGATGGGGTGCTCCTGACATTGGATTTTCTTGAGCTCCTCTGCCTCTCAGTTAATGCATGTTTCTTTCTTTTTTCCAGATTCTGATCTTTCCCTGGAACTGTTATCAGCAGCTTCAAGATCATACCGAGTGACAGGACTGAGCTCCAAGGAGACGTATTTGTTTTCCATAAGGCCAGTCTTTGGAAATACTGAGGGACCAGAGACAACACTCATTGCACAAACAGGTATGAAGGCAGGAAGGTTATGTTGTAGTTTTTCCTAGGTAGCTGCTATTGAGGCTAATTTCTTGTCTTCTCTACCCTTGTGGTGTTTTACACCATAACTAAGAGGGGGTTAACAAATATCTTTTCCTCTTTTGCCTCTTGCTGCAGGACCTCACACAGATTCACCTGCACTGGTCTCTCCCGTGACTTCTGCAAAATTGGCTGCAATGAGATCCCCAACCACAGCTCCTAGCAATGTGAGGACCACTCCTCTCCCACTAGCCACGGCTACAACATTAGCACCAACCCCAGACACCCTGCCAGCAACCACCACAGTGTCTGCACCGCTGAAGACTCTCCCTGGGCCAAGTGAGTGTGCATCTGTGTGTGATTTGATGATGATGATGAAGGGGGTCAAAGCACCAGGTCTTCTCTGATCTCAGGAGACAAATGCTCTTAGCTCTATCCTGGGGGGTGAAGGTGCTGCTTACTCACTCAATGACACTTGGCATCACAGAAGACGCCCATGCCTGGATTTGTTTTATTGTTCTCAGCACAAAGAAACATGCTGCTCCTTTAGGACCACACAGCTCACAGAGATTCTCTCTTCCTTCCGCAGTCTGTGGCAAGTTCAAAGCAGATGTTGGGTTCTTGGTGGATGAGTCCTCAAGTATTGGCCAGAGCAATTTCAACAAAGTGAAGGATTTCCTCTTCCGAATCGTTTCCTATTTCCCTAAGATTGGGTCAGAAGGGACACAGGCAAGAATCTGTTCTTCTGTTTCCTGAACATGTTTTCCTTCCAAATGTTTGCCTGTTGCTCACCTCTGCAATGACAGCAGTCTGCTCACTCACGTTGAGGTTCAGAGAGGATAAGCACTTTGCCTAAAAGTAATTTAGTTCAGGAGGGATGCATGCTGCCATGGGAGATGCAGCACCAGGAGATGCTCCCACCCAGCCGTGAGCTGCCAGAAGTGTATTTCCCTCTGGTTCTGTGCTCTATCTACCAGCCTATGAAGAGATTTCTGATGCCCTAGAGAGCAGAAAATTGCACTTTGCCCATGCTGAAGCACCTGAATTGTGCCCTATGTGTCATCTGCCAGCCTGACAGATGTTTTTGTGCCTGTTTTTAGTCTGTAAGAAACTCAGCCTCATTCCACTTCTGTTGCAATGCAACTCTTTGTGTTATCAAGGAGATTTCTTGAGTGATGGCACCTTTGCTTTGTGCCTGATCCCTCCTCATTTCTTCTCTCCCCTATCTCCCTTTTCTTTGCCAGGTTGCTGTCGCACAGTACAGCGAGGAGCCCAGGGCAGCCTTCCACTTCAACCAGCACCAGGACCGCAACAGCGCCCTAAAAGCCATCAAGGAGCTGCACTACACTGGAGGCAACACAAAAACAGGTGTGCAAGTGCAAGCCCACATGTGGGGTAGAAAGTTATGGTCCAAAGTTCTGTAAAATCTGACAACAGACAGTTGAATTTGGTTTTATTCCCAGCGATGGCCTGTCCAACCAGCCTGGTGTCCTTTATCCGTGTCCTAGTTTTGCTACTGGGTTTCTCTTTGTTTTTTTATAACCTTGCCTACACTTAAGGGAGGTTTTTATACCTGGCTTGGAGATCAAGCCCATAAACATTAGATAAGGATAGTTGATGCTGAAGCATCCTTATTACCCACTCAATGCACATTCTAATCAGTAAATGCCAATGGTTATTGCCTTGTTACCCTAACAACAAAACAATGTACCTGGTCCTATTTTTACGGAGTGTCATCACGTAAATGTCCTTTGGTTTCCCTCTGTTGTACAAATAACACGGCTCTTCATCAGCTCAGCATCTCAGAAATGCAGACACTTGTCTTACAGAGTTAAAAACCCAAAGAGCACTTTCCACCTACTCATTCCCAGAAGGATGGTGGGGTATTCCTCCTTCCCCCAAAGTACATGAGCAGTAATCTTAAACTGAAGATAGTTTTAACTTTATCATTTTTAAGTGGCCCACCTAAATAAAGTCAACGTAAGGGGAAGCATTGAGGAACCCATATATGTTAAATGAAGGCTTGTATACCTCATCCTGGCTTAGTGGTATTGGCTAGCAACACAGAGAAATTGGGCTGGTCAGAATACAAGAATTTGGACAGGAATGGTTAGAGAAAATGGGTGTGAAACAGGTCAGATTGCAAATTCTTAGGTAAACTTTCTTTTGGTCCCTTTTTTTTTTTTTTTGTGGAGTTTATGTCAATGAAGGCATTTTACTGCTCATAGGAGACTTTCTGTGCTTTTTGGAGTTTCTTAACCATTTTAGCTTGGGGGAGAGTTCTTTAGGAAACTCTCCTGGTCTTTCTAAAGAAATTTGGAAATGGGAGTTCTGTGTTTGTTGTTGTTGTTGTTTGGTTTGTTTTGTTAGTTTGTTTGTTGTTTTTTTTTGTTGTTGTTGTTGTTTTTTTTCCCCCTAAAATGTAGGGGAAAAAACGTTTCAAATTTCCTAAACATCTTTTTTCCTTTTTCAAAACAGAAACTGCTGAAATCAGCCTGAACCATTTCAGACAATCTGATTTACTGCTGTCTTCCCTCAAAAAGCATTAGGCCATGCTAGGGTCTATAATCTATTTATGGGACCACACAGCATAACTTTTTTCCCCCGTGCATGGAAGAGACCCCACAGGTCCCCCCTGTAGACCGTGTTAGGAAACCTACAGAAGTGTTATTCTGTAGGTTTACATCTTGCCTTTCTATGTTTGCCCAGGTCGTGGTATAACCTACATGCTAAAGGAAATATTTCAGTCCTCCAGAGGGATGAGACCTGAGTTCCCTCACATGCTGGTGCTCGTGACTGATGGGCGATCCCAGGACGATGTGTTGCCACCAGCCAGAGTAGCTCATGCTTTGGGTAAGAATTGCCCTATTGTGTTTCCCTAGGGCCTTGGTTCTCCTTCATGTACAGAGGAGACTGAATTTCCAGAGGGTTGAAGGTTACATCACTCGTGCATTTTGAGTGCACCGTTTGCTTTCTTCACTTCTTCATCCTTTCTTCTTCCTGTTCCTAGTTCGAGTGTCTTGGTTTTGCTATAACTCACACACACTGCTGTCAGTGAGTTCTCTCAGGACAAGTCAAGTGAGGGTTTGGACACTGATCTCAGACATTTCTGCTTCCACTGAGAGAGCGATGTGTTTCAGGAATCCGCATCATTGCTGTGGGTGTCTCAGGAGCCGACCCTGCTGAGCTCAACAGCATCTTGCTGCAGCAGAACCTCCAGAATGTTTTCTACGTCAGCACATTTGATGACTTCCCCCAGATCCTCCGAGAGCTGATAGAAGTTATTTGCTCTGATCCTCAGCCTTCAGGGGCCCAGTTGCCTAGTGGGGAGGTGAGCTGCTTCATCCCCTCCTCTAACTCTGGTCTTTGGAAAGGATGTGAGCTTGTCTGCAGTTATCTCCAACAGTGATATGATTATTTCAATGAAAAGGTTGGTGGTGTAAAAGCACAGTAACCTCTTGAGACATGTTGAGGTAGAATTTTTGATGTTTGGCCCCAAAACCTGGAGGATCACTAATCTAACTTGAACTCCATGATGCAGGTTGCAACACATGAGGCCACCAAGCAGCTGCCATTTGATGGCACGGAGAGCAAGCTACACCCTCCTGCCCCATCGTCAGCTCAACCACACCTCCAAAAAGGAGAGGAGGCTTGTGGTCCCTGGTGCCTGAAGGTAAGAATTCGTTCAGTGATTCGGGGAAATGTATTTCAGAAAAACATCTTGCTCACTGCTCTGGACAGGTGATCAGGTTCTCCATCCTTTTCTCCAAATTTCAGTGCAAACTGAAGACACTATAAATAATATATAGAATCATAGAATCAGCTAGGTTGGCAAAGACCTTCAAGATCACCACGTCCAACCATCAACCTGACCTACTGAGTGTCACTACTAACCCATGTCCCTTAGTGAGGAAATGAGTCAGTCTCCTAGGTGGTCAGCCTTGCTTCTGTTGCATAAGACAAGGGGTGTGCTAGTCAGTGCTTTGTGGTCAGTCTGTTTTGTGTTTGGTGGATAATGATTTTCTGATCATCTCTTCTATTTTTCTTTTCCTTTCAAGAGCTTCAGGGGCTCACCAACTCGTGGAGGCTACGACTCATATGGATTTGTTATGAAGGGAGAGAAAGGAGAGAGGGTGAGTCCATTTTCACGAACCATCCACTTGGTTAATCAATATACAACTAAATTATTAGTAACAATGAAGAAATCTAGCAAAGAATCATCCTCAGATCTTTTATGCTGGTGTTTTGATATATGCTGCTTCAAGCTGGCTTTGAAAATCAGGCAAAAAGAAAAAGATGTATATGTGCTGGCAATGGAGGATTCCCTGAAGCAGTGCAGGAAGCTAGTGCTGCATTAAAATGTTTGGATTTGCAGGTCTGGAGCCATAACTTGCATACTATTACTTTCTACATGTTTAGGGCCTGCCTGGGAAGGATGGCATTCCAGGGCTGCCAGGTAGGCCGGGGAGGACAGGTCCTCCTGGTCCCCCAGGGCTCATGGTATGTATTTGTTTTAACAAACTCAGTCAAAGTGGCATTTAATGGAGCAGTCAGCATGGCTCTCAAGTCACCCTCTCTCCTGTTTTGCAGGGACTCCCTGGCATCCAAGGTGATATCGTAAGTATATTGAATGCAGCAAATGTCATCAATGCAGCAGGACCCCAAAGCTTTGCTACTTAAGCTTTTCAAAGGCCAGTTGTGCTGAGCAGGACAGGAGGCCCTAAGTGGCACATTCTACCCTTCTGTCACCAAACAGCTCCAGACCAAGACAAGGAAAATGTTAGCTCTTTTTTTTTTTTTTCTTTTCTTTTTCTGGGTTCTATGTCTCCAGGACTCCCACTTCTAGCTGTGAACTGGAGTCAGCCACTCAGATTTCCTCCTGCTCAGAGATCTGGCCAAAAACGCAATACAACACAGGCATATTTCTAGCCAAGTAACCCTCAGTGAATCAGACCTCTGCAGAAAAAAGGCCAAGGACTGTGAACTCTGCCTTCAGTGATATACCTGTCCTGCTGCATAATCACCAGCAGCATCATAGCTCACAGACTTCCTATATGAAAATTGTTTATGCAACTATTCATACCAATGCTTGGAAAATATGTGTAGCCAGATGAGCCCTTGGCCCTGTGGATGACACATACATGATTCTCATCATTGTTGGGACCAAAACCCACTTCTAGGGATCTCTTCACATGACTACTTAAAAACTGAATGAAGTTTTATAAGAGGTCGGTCTGTGACTTAAACATCCCACAACGATATCTTGTGGGTGCTTTGTTTTTTAATGCTGTGTGATTTATCTTTAATTCCAGGGAGCTCCTGGCTATCCAGGACCAGTGGGGCCAAAAGGAGACCGGGTGAGTTTCATTCCTGGGATTCACTGGGAAAAAAAAGAAAAGAAAAAAAAAAAAAGTCTTGCTCTGTTCTCTTATTTCTAAGCATTTGCACAGTGACCTGTGATTTCATATTCATAATATATGATTATGAAGTTCTGAACTATTCATAACTAGCCCTCCTACACCACTAGTTTTTTGTTTAGGGGTTTGTCCTTCAGCTTTGCTAGGAGGCATTTAAAGTCTCCGTGGAGAAAACTGCTCAGTTATTATTGCAGGTCCTTGGGACATTTCTTTTTTTTTTTTTAGAAACAGGTTGGGTCATTCTGCATTTTGGAGAGTTTCGCCTATGAAGAAGCCTTTTTACACGCTTTTAAGACACAGAAAGATAAGGCTTCAAGACCAGTTGTAGGCAGTTCCTAGGAGCAGTCCTCCTGTCCCTCCATCATCCCCAAATGCACATTCCTCCTTCCTTGCATGGACCCAAGCTGTCTGTATGGCTACACAGTGCCCTGGATCAGAGAACAGATCCTGCTGAAAGCCAACCCCCCTTTCTTTCCCCCAGAATTAATTTCTTGCCATGACAGTGAGCAGAAGTCATGGCATGACCTCGTGGTTTCTAGTACCTCTAAAAGAGTTTCTGAAACCAAGTGGTTTGGTTTTGCAGTGTAGGGAGGTGCATGCCTTGGTTTAAAATTTACTTATTGCCTCTAAATCACAAAACTGTCTGTTTTTGCCTGGACATCCCAGCACAGCTGAATGTGTGTCCTCCTCTTCTTGCATACAGGGCGAACCAGGCTATGTCCTGGGAGGAGTGGAGGTGATTCCCGGCCGAAACGGGCAGCCTGGCCCCCCTGTGAGTATTGTACCCCAGCTGTGCTGGACTCTTGGGCCTCTGTGGCACTGACAGAGCAGCAAAAGGAGCTGTGAGAGAGCCCACATCCCTCTCTCCCCTCTCTTTTTTGTTGTTGCAGGGACAGAAAGGACAGCCAGGGGTTCCTGGGGTAGCAGGACCTCCAGGTTTACCAGGCTTACCAGGGCCACAGGGGCCACCAGGCATCTCCATCAAGGTGAGCAAAGTTATTTGCAGCATGGTTTGGATGCTGTGCCACAGAGAGAGGGAACCTGGCATAGCCCAGGGTCCCTAGACACTCTGTTCACTCAAGGGCCCTAAAAACACATATTTCTTCTCTCTGTCATGGGATTCTCTCATCAAGTTATAAAAGGACTCTCTCTCCAAAATGGCTTTGCCTGTCACCAGGACCCTGCTGTTCAACACAGCGGGAATCAATGACGGAGCCTGAAAAGGTTGCAGGCAACTTTCTCTGACATGGGACCAGATTCAGTGGTCTCTAAGACTTTTACATCTCCAGGTCCATACGAAGGTTGTTCAGTGGCTGGAGTGAAATCCTTGGGATCACTTCTGCTGTGCACAGCTCAAATAGGACTGACAGTTGTTGCCAAATGTCCCCTTACACTGGGGGATGTAAAAATGTCTCAGCAGAAAACAAGAGACCTCAATTCCACTCCTGTCTGCCCTAAGGGGGGTTTTGCAAGTTGAGGAGTCTGAAGCATGAAAGATAACAGACACCTCTACTAAATCTCTGCTTTCCCTTGGAGGTAGGGGTTTTGGTCTCTGGGGTTGTCAGCCTGCAGGAGCTTTTGGCCACGACCTAAATTTAGAGAGGAATCCCTCTCTAAATTACCACGCTGCACTAATACTCCTTGTCATTTTTGTTTCAGGGTGAACCAGGGGATTCGGGTATCAGAGTAAGTACCTGAGACTGATTTTCACTTTACCAGGTGATGACAAGCTTTTATTATTATTGTTGTCGTTATTATTATTATTATTATTATTATTATTATTATTATTATTATTATTTCTAAGCTGCCCAATAGGCTCTGTTTTCAATACTTACCAGATGCCCATCAACACCCAAAAGGGTTGCTGGGACAGATGGTGAGACTGTCCTGTGCTTCACATAGGGCCCTCGTGGGAGGAGCGGCCTCAAAGGGGACCGAGGAGGCACGGGAGAGCCGGTGAGTTGCCCATCAAAGGCCAGTGGCTGCAGAAATTTCCCTGGCCATGGTGGGAAGGGGCTGTTGGCCTGGGGACACCTGCTGCCACTTGGGTGGGTGTAGAGGGACAATGTCTGCTGCCAGCTCTTATCAGCTGTCACTCTGAGATGCTTTGCTCTGCTGATGAGGGCTGGCAGATTAAGCATGGCCAGTTAAACATTTCTCACTTTGTCAGCTTCATCCTGCTGACCCATCACTCACCAATAGCCAAAAGGAAAATGTTAGAAAGTCAACAAAGTCACAAGATCACAGCCACTGATTTTGCTAAAAGCAAGGACATGTTCATCCTCATGGCACAGAGCAAAGCAGTAGGAATTGTGTCCATCACCATGCTTGCCATGATGACAAACCCTTGGGTATAGTCAATTATGTTGGCAGATGATAGCAAATATTGCTTGATGAAGGTTACTCCAAAGTGGCAGTGATTCCACCTTGAATACCTCCTGATCCCATCAGCCATGGAGCAGCTGAGTGCAACCCTGCTCCTTCCAACATCCCAAATCCAACCCCTGCCCCTGTCTGAGGAGGGCAGAGGAGTCTTAGGTAGGTTCAGAGGAGGGCATGACGGTGGATTAAGAGGGCATGACGGTGGATCAAAAGTGTAGGACAGTAAATGAACAGAGCTGGTGGCAGATTTGAGACAACCAAAAGGATGGTCTTTTACACAAGAAGTCCCACAAGGATATTTGCAGTATTGGAAGGGAAAAAAAAAGAAAGTAGTCCATGGAGGGCTACTAAGGATAATTAAGCCTTGTCTGGTTTGGGAAGTCCCTGCATTACAAATGATTCAAGCCTGAGAGATTACTCAGGGACTCTAAGCATATCTTGTTTTCACACCCTTCCCAAGGTGCCTATTGCTATCCATCATCCTACAGAAGTGCGTTTTTTGTAACCTTTACCCTACTGCAGAGCTATATCCCATAGACCAGACATTTCCTTTTTTCAGTCTTTACCACTTCTACATCAGCAGCATTACTGGCATCACCCTCTTCCAGCAACACAGCCTTGAAGTGCCACTGCAGAAGGCACCCACTGCCAAATCAACACGAGCACCCAACCTCTATCTTCCCATATAACAAGCAAAAACATCTGATTTTCTTTTCCTGAGTGAGGACAATGATCCATAGCCTATTTTGGGGAGAGCAGGAAGGGGAGACATTTTGGATATAAATAAACATCTCTGTAAATGCTCAGTTGCAAAGAAACCAATAAGCCAGACTCGTCAGGAAACACATTTCTCTGTTTGTGTTTCTGCAGACTTAATAAATCTTCTCTGTAGTACAATGGGTAACAAACAGTTTGGAAGAAAAAGATTTGATTATGTCTCTTCTTTTTCCAGGGGAAACCTGGCTTGCCAGGCCCTGTAGGACTGGATGGTGTTCCTGGACTGCCTGGACCACGTGGAGAAAAGGTCATTACTCATACCAGATGCTTGCAGGATCAATCATCCCAAGGGGGAGCTGAGAATATCTGAGGCAAAGTAATATCAGGGTAGAATAACTGCAATTAGTGGAGGCATGTGGGGATTTTCCCCCATTACCCTCCACTCCCTGCTCATATATGTTCAAGTTCGTGCATGGTGGAGTAGATGCTCCACCTCCATCCAAGCCCTTGTATTCCTCCCAGTCTTTTTGCTTCCACCCAGTGGAAGATCTCTGCAGTTCCTGCTGTCAGGAATGGTTTTTCCCCCCAAGCCCTGCATGCTTTCTGTCCCCTGGATGGGGCTGCTCCTCTGAATCCCCCATCCTGCTTCAAATAGTCACTGAAAATATCCACAGACCCTTGTTTTCAATTCTCTCCTCCCAGTCGTTGTTTGCACCTTGCACTGGCTGGGCATTTATTTTAGTTAAATGGCTACAGAGCAAATTTCTCCCCTCCTCCTTTGCAGGGTGGTTAGGACCAGAGCTTGGAAGCAGGTTGCAGTGTAGGATGTATCTTGCTTTGCAGTCTAGGTGTTCAGCTCTCCTGAGCACAATGCTGTGCTTACCTTGCAGGGGATGGCTGGAACTGGCATTCCTGGCACTGCTGGCTCGAAGGGGGAAGAAGGAGAGCAGGTGGGTGGCCTTTCTGCAGTGACACCTCTGCTGAAGTCCCCTTAGAGGGCTCAGAGTCTCCTCCAGGACCTCCCCTCTAGCTTCTCCTTGGTGGGTACAACCCATGGTTTTGAAGGAAAGGGACAAAGAAGGGAAGACTTGGGCTTTTAAAGCTTGAGTTTTCACTGTTTCATTTTTTATTTTTTATTTTTTATTTTTTTTTAGGGGGCGATGGGCCCTCCAGGAGTACCAGGTCCAAAGGTGGGTACTGAAACGCTGAACCTGAGTCACTGTGCTTGATACTCAGGTGCCAAGGTGCATCCAGTGTTACCCATCATCACTGGATGTAGGAACATTGATCCCTTCCTTGAAAGCAAGGAAAGGGAATAAATAATTCTTTGCATCAGCAGTCATTGACCTATGGAAGTCATTGCTGTGGGATGTTGCAGAGAGCTGGAATGGCAGCGAGAGGCACTATCTCAATAATATAATAAATGCTATGTTTTTGTGGCTAGTGAGAACCTACAGAACTGTAACAGCCACTGTTAAACGTGTTTTGGGAGGAACATGAACTCTCATGCACCAGGGTTAATCCCAGCTCTGATGGGATGAGGAGGGATGAAGATGTGAGGAGCAGATGGTCTGACATCTGCATTTCAGGCACCTTCCTCTGAACCATCAGGAGACTTTCTCCTGAGCTGGGAGCAAAGTCTCTAAATTCAGTTTTGAGTGTTTTTTTGCATCTTCCTGAAGCATCCAGCTTCAGCTCACGCTGGAAGTTGACACTAGAGCAAGACTGCAGTCCTGGGCACCAAATTTTCAGCAATTTTCAATTTTCATCTCAGGAGATCTGAATTTCCCTGGCACAGGAAGCACAAGGCATGGGCTTAGGTGGTACAAAAGCCATCTCAGCACCATCCCAGGTTGGTACAGCTCTTGGAAGAGCAACCACATAGGATCGGGTTGCACTGCTCTCTGCACATCCCCTTCTCCAGGTAACTCAGGTTATACTCGGAGTGACTGCTGATGGCCAAATGAATATGAGCCACTGATTTATTTCAGGTCTGATAAAGTCCAAAAAAAAAGTCTATATTGACCCCAAGATAAAATATTGTCATACTTCTAGGAGAGGTGAAAAATAAAGGAAAAAATAATATTAATGGAAGCATTTCATTTGGCCTGAAACAAAATATTTTGCTTTCCTTTGCAGTGTTTTTTCTTTTTTTTATCCCCCCCCCTTTTTTTTTTTCTCTTAACTAAATAAAATGGAGATGGATCTTAAATCCATGAGGCCTTTACAAGTGGTAACAGCCAGTTTGCTGCTCATGTGTTGTTCTTCATGAGAGAAAAGACCTCCTTGAACTGCACTGACCTGTGAAACGTGGGTCTGTGGCCAGGTATTTCAATGAGAAAGTGCAAATTTTGGCAGGGTGCTCACCAGTGGGGTAATTGGTGATGTTGGCCATACACTTATGAGCTCTTTCTGAGATGAAATCAGAGGGTGCAGAAGGCAACCACTGCTGCTCTCCTTCATCCAGGGTGAACCAGGACCACCTGGGAGTGGAGAACCAATTGAGCCAAGGGTGTGCCTCCAAATTAATCAAATCAGAAGGAAGTTTTTCAAATTGAAGATTTTAATAAATACATAAGTTAATAAACTTATATGTAAATATAATTTACTTATATGTAAATATATGTAAATATAAGCTCCAGACCTGCACGTTTTCTGTGCAGTTAACTTCAGCTTTTCCAAGAGGCTGTCTCATCTTGAGCTCTCGAGCTCCTTGGGAGGAAACAGTCTGATCAAGCTCAGGATGGTCTATATATATACCTATAATAATATATGCTTATGTATATTATATTATGTAGTAAATGGTCATGATATAACTATCTAGTATACAGTAACTGTATATTATAATATACATGCAGTTTGGTATTGGGCATTATATTTAAAGTATAGATAATAGCATGCTTGATTATACAACGTCTTAATTATAAACACAAATTGTAAATAATAGAGGTATTTAAAATAATATACAATGCATAAATGTATGGACTACATATATAATTTATGATATATCCCATATGTGAGATATATATATATATATATATGAAAATCTTGATTTTCCTTTAATTTTTTACTTGCTTTCCCATGGCTTTCACAACCTCCAGTGGAAGGAACATGCTCAGCACGCTCTACTGCAGCATGTGAGCTTTCAGGCTGATCCTGCTCCGCCAGCGGAGCCTAATCTTAACAAAAACATCTTCTGTTTTTCAGGGTAACAAAGGGCAAGGTGGTGTTAAAGGGGAAAAGGTGAGACCGGGCAGCACTGGATAGCAGAGCAGGAGGGAATCAGCCCTGGCTCCATATTCAGGCTCAGAACAGAGCAGCTGAGATATCAGGTTGGGGATCCAGGGAGGGAATTTGAGGTCCCCCCAAAGGCTTCTTGCAATCTGGATGTAGATGACCAGGCCATGTAGCTATGTGCTGTGTAACCACAGGGTTCAGGAGCTTCTTGCTGCTGAAGGAGCCTTTGTGCATGGGATAGACCTTACATCAGTGGGAAATACCCTAGGCAGTTTGCAACAAGCAAACAACCCTTGATTGCTCTTTGCCAGTCCATCCTGTGCATCGACAGATTTATTTTACTGAGCTTGATTTCAATTTTGCTGCTTGAACAAGTGCTCCCCCAGCCGATTATAAACTCAACGATCAAAAGAGACGGTGGATTTTTTTTCTTTTTTTTCTAAGAATAACTACAATAGTGAAAAGTGGAAATAGCTGTCAGTCTTTCTCGAGTCATTGGCCTGGAGTGGATATATGGGCTGTGTCCTGAGCCTCTTGTTTGACTGACCAGGCTCAGGAGGGTGCTGCAGCCCCTTCTATAGGAGAGGAGTGTGGATCCTGGGACAGGCACTGATGGTGGAAGGATGTCCAGGGCCTGGCAGTGATGGACCAGTCGTTGTTACCTCGAGGTTATATGCTTTATTAGGTCCCTAAGGTGCTTCCAGCTCTGAGCAGGGTCCCAGGGCTGGATTAGACAAAGCACTGACCTGATCTGATTGCTCCCACAATCTCAGGGCTGTCTCCTGTCTCTTTGCTTTTCTCTTACAGGGACTCCCAGGACCTCCAGGGCCAAAGGGAGACCAAGTAAGTCAAACAGTAAGAGGGCATGTTTGGCTAGCTCAAGGGATGGTATCCCAAATTTCCCCAGCTTGTACGGCATGTGCAGATCTTGGAGGTGCTTAGGGGGGGCTACACAGAGAAGAAGCCAGCAGGGAGTCGCTTGAGCATCCCTGAAAGCTCAGAATCTCATTTCTGATTTTTCTCTTCATCTTCTGAACAGGGTTTTGAGCTGATTTAAGGAGGAGATTTATTTTTTTCATTGTCCCAGGTTGTTCATTTTATGTCATCTTGCTTTGCAGGGGAACCCAGGATTTCCAGGTGCTCCAGCTATGGGGGTAACTATGAGTGGATTACAGCCCTTCTTGTGCCATACAGCATCACCAACAGTGGTGCCAGTAGACCAACGACCAAGAGATGCATCCCACTGAAGTGTGGGATGAACTAAGGGACTTTATCCCTAGCCCTCCAACCAGCCATGTCTTCTTCTCCCTTGCTCCACTTCTTTTTTCCTACCCCTGTGCCACAGTTGCCCACTGGCTCCTCAGAGGAGCACAAGGATAAAGCCTCTCCCCTGCTCAAGCCTGTGTTCTGGACTTGTTCCCTTGTTCATGCTGCTCTGGTTCCTGCTGAAGAGACACCGCTGATGTCTCTTTTTTTGATTATTTGCCTTGTTCTCAAGGGGAAACAGGTTCCTCCAGCATCCTGTTCATGTCCTTCTAAATGCTAGGGCAGCTTTCAGGATAAATTTTGGCAGTGGCCACCTCTGTGCACTTCACAGCATTTCTGCAAGGGCTGTGGGAGCAGCTGGAAGTTGCACCGAGGGCTGAGACCCACCACCAGGACACACCGATGCATCCTGGAGGATGCTTGAATGAGCATCTAGGTGCCCTAGATTTCCTTCTGAGCAAAACCAACAGAATTGTTTTGGAGACACAAGGTAGGAAGACAGCTCCATGGTCCCAAAATCCAACTCAGGGCTGCTCTGCAGAGTCATAGCACGGCCTTTAACATTTATTTTTGTCCAAAGGTCAGTCCTTCGGTTTTTAAGTTTTTTGTTAGAAAAGGCTACAGCAGATATCTGTCAACTACCCCTCACTTATGAATGATATTTCGGTCTTATCCCTGGAGCCAAAATCTACTGAGGTTGGTGGGATCCCTCCACAAGCTTCACTGGGCTTGGCATTGGTCTTGGAGCCCTTCCTGGTGTTTTCTGTCCCAATGTAGGCAATGCATTTCCTATCCCATAACAAGGCTGAGATTCTCCTGCCTTGGAAGTGGTAGCATGAATAGACCCTCCTTTGAAAGGTAGGTCCTTTCCCAAATAAGAGAGAATTTCTGTGATTTCTTTTTATCCTCAGGTTTTGGGACCACCAGGCAAGAAGGGTATGAGGGTAAGTCCATTAATTAGCACTGCTTGAAACTTAGATGAAACTTTGACTAAGAAAAGCGAGGGCTGGACAATTTACTGCCTGAATCATATATCCCTCATGAAGGGATGGGGAGGAGAGGTTGGAAAATTAGCAACAGCCTTGCCCTGCTGGTATTTCTTTTGCTTTTATTAACATTTTGTACCCGTCATTCTCTTTCTAGCTCCAGTCTGTGGGGAAATTTTCTATTTCCATGTGATAGTTTTAGAAGGTAGAGTTCATGGAAGACTCATCCCACTCACAGAAGCTAGTTTCCAGCCAAGGGAGGCATTGACACCAAGTCAAACAATAGCAGCGGCTGGAAGAGACTTCTGGAAGTCACCAGTCCCACCTTCTGCTCAAAACAGGGACAACTTCAAAACTGGGTCAGGTTCCCCAGGACCTTGCACTAAGCACCTCGAAGGATGGAGAGTTTCCCACCTTTTAGGACCCCACCTCCAGAATTTGGCCTCCCCTTGACTGGAGGAAATTAAATTTCTCGTATCAGGGAGGTCTCTGAGACAGAGCTGTTCCATGATTGATGTCCATATTCTACATCTGTTTTGTAGAGCAACACACATAGCTCACTTTTCCAATCTAGTCTTCATGGCCTGGTACATGGCCTGGAGTAGCTTTTTTTTTTTTTTTCTTTATTCTTTATAGTTTATTGTCAATCTGCAGAGAAATTAAAGATCTCCCTTATCCTTGTAAGGAGTATTCACTGCAGGAGAAACTCCTCTGGGTTTCTGACTCCTGATATTCATGAAATACCCTCCAGACCTCCCTCACCCCTTGGATCTAATGAGTTTTGCCCTTTTCTCTGGGCCTGGGTGTTTGTGCCACCTCCCTTCTTTGGTTTTATTCTCCAGATTGCTTCATGTGGGTTAGCAAAAATTTCTCTCTTCTTTTAGGCTAGCTGCAGTTAGGTAGTGGCCTGGGACCTTCATTTTTTGTGCTTGACACCACTATAAGAGCACACACAGCATCTTACAGTTGTGTGAAGTTACATACAACATCAGCCACGTGGATGGATGGATGGATGGATGGATGGATGGATGGATGGATGGATGGATGATGGATGGATGGATGGATGGATGGATGGATGGATTTCCCAAGGGAATGGTTTTCAGAGTGGGTTGAAATTACACAATGCAGCTCTAGCCAAGCCACATGAACAGAGCTTGGCTTTCCTGCATGACATTACTTGCTTTGGGGTTGTCTTTCTACACAGGGAGATATCGGACCAACAGGGGCCCTGGGACCACGAGGAGACAAAGGAATACAAGGAGACAAGGAGAGAAGGTAATGCACTTGTTCTTCTCAGCACATGCTTTGTGGGTGGAAGGATTTTATTCACCACTTGCCTTCCTGTGTCAGACACTCCTGTGCTCTAAGCCCAGGGGAAACCTGTGCTCACATGGAGAAGTCGAAAGCTGCTTGCAAAGAAGTCAGTGAGGGATGAGGAGTTACCGGTGCTTGGCTCACCTGGCTGCCTGGGGTTGGCGAAAATTCTTGGGATCTGCTCTGGCCTTTCCTGCCATCTTATTTATGAGCTTGGAATTGCTCCTGGAAGACACCGTGTCCCTGTTTGCATCCTGCTTAGCACCAAACAGGGCACTAGCAACAAAATCTCATCCGTTATAGCAGGGACAAGAAGCAGTCTGACCCTTGAGGGGCTACAAAATAGCGGTGGGACAGAGACAGGTGTCTGTGGTTATGGCACAGAATATATCATGAAGAGCCAAGTGGGCTCATGTCTCCAATCTCTAAAACCAGGACAGGGAAACTGAGGCACTTGCTGGCTTCACCAAATAGTGCTTTTCGAAAATTAGCATCTCCTAGAGGTGGCAAGCAGCGTGGTGAGGAGGCAGAGGGATGTGGCAAGATGGGGAACGTGGAGCCAGAGAGGAAAAGCTCTTCGGTGATGCAGTGAGATATTCATTGGCTTTGTTTTTGTGATATTTTTTTTTCAGGGAAGCCCAGGTTTTGGCATTCCTGGTCAGCCCTGGGCTGAAGGGAGACCCGGGGGACAGGGTAAGTGGAGCAACACACAAGGTGTAAAAGAGAGGGCTAACAGACAAACTGGGAGGTTCAGAGGCAATCTCTCAGCTGCTCCCATGGGGGTCTTTGCACCTGACTTTGGAAGACAATGCTCCTCCAAAATGTAGGGAGAGGATCTCTCCTAAATCTGGAGTAAGCTCAGGAAGTCAAAGCTCAGCTGGTGATGCTGCAAGAAAGAAAGCCAAGGAAGCCCCATTCCCAGTGGTTTTGTGGCCTGAGGGCAAGCCTGAGCTTTATCTTCCTGACTTTTGTGTTTAAGGCACTCCCACGTGTGTTCACTGATGGCTAGTAAAGGTTAATGCCTTCACGTTTCCTCCTGCGAAGGTATTAATTATCTCTTTCACTTTAATGCAGTCAAAACGTGCAAAAAATAGCATATTTGAGATCCCCACCCCTCTGTCAAAGTCATTTGTGGAATTAATGATTTCAGAAATGAGAAAAAACGTGCATCTAGACAATGTCTGCTTGTAGCAGCCCCTCTTAGGATCAGATTTTTTCCCCTTCTTTGCATCATACTAGGCTGTTTCAGCTGCTACCACCTCCTTAGGGCAGCATTGCAGCACTGAGTCTGATGCTTACACCCTGTAGATAACACAGAGGACCCTCATCTGAAATTTTTCTACCTCTGTCATTCTCGCCGTGTGACTAACGGTCTGTATTTCTGCAGGGAAATGTAGGTTTGTCTGGGAAACCGGGTCAAAAGGTGAGTATTTGATGCAGTGACTGCAGCATGTAAAGCACCATCTCCTGTGACTGATGTCTGACACCCAAAGCAGCTTGAGTCAGTGTGGTTTTATCTTTGCCGTGGGGCTAGTGTCAAAATTTCGGGAGTGTTCAGAAGCTGAAAGGTCTGAACAGGTCCTGTTCTGCTGGAGTCTCCAGGTGACATGCAGAGCCCTGCACAGAGAAATGTTGAAAAAATGCAGGAAGTGGGGCTCAAAACTCCTGCAAAACCTGTCTTGTAGGAAGCAATTGTATGGCCATAATGCCCGGCATGCTCCTTGAACCTGCCCCATAATATCTTAAATGTGAGGACTACGAAATACAGAAGAGAAGCATAACAAATGTCTTATTTTCTTTAGGGGGAAATAGGTCTGAAGGGAGAGAAAGGTGAACCAGGAGTACCTGGGAAACCAGGCGAGACCGGACTAAGAGGTAAAGATGTAAGTAGAAGCTCACAATCCAGGCAGACGGTCGTGCTGAACCCCTTTAATCCACCGCTCAGTGCCAAGCTCTCAACCCCACGTTACGCCCTTGCAGCAGAAAGTAGGAACAAGTGATGAGATGGGACCAGTCTGAAGCAAATATCTTATATGGGGCTGGATGGGAAACAACAGTGGTCAACAACACGAGTCCAGGCCTCTAATTAGCCATGCTGGCTTGCTGTTTGAGGGATCCACCTTCCTCCTTGCTCTGTCCTTTCACAGCAAACAAGAACATAGACCCTATTGGGGTGAGCTTCAGGTTATGTTTTGGGGTGAGGTCTCTTCACGCATGGTCAGGGCGGTGCAAGTGCCTGGCACCATGGTGTTTATGTTACACGGTATGGATGCAGCATCTTTTTTTTACCTCTTATTCAACATTGTGCTTTTTTGTTGGTTGTTTTTTTTGGTCTGGTTTGGGTTGGTTTGGATTTTGTAATTGAGCCTGTCTGCCACGCAGGAACCCTCATGGTGTGTAGTCACACCAGCCCTGAAGGGCTTGCTGTGTTTTTTAGGGTACAGCAGCAGCTCCCTCTTATAACCAATCAAGGTGGCCTTTCCCAAGAGCTTCACAGCTCGCTGGCTTCAGATAAACCTCTCCTACAAGCAGTTTTCAGACTTTTCTTCAGTTCCAAGGGCTGAGCTGACCCCTGAGCATCAGGTGGAATAGGATCACCAAGAGAAGGCTTAAATAAAAAATAAAAAAAAATAAAAAAAAATAAAAAAGCTGTATTTCTGATCCCAAAGCACTGCACAATCCCCCTGACTTCAGAGTCATGGTGATTTCAGAATCAGACCAAGAGCTCTTATCCTGAGCAGGAAATTAGAGTAAAACAACTTGCTTGCAAGACAAAATGTAACCTGGCATTTTTGCATTGTGTTTTAGGGAGAACCAGGGAAGAAAGGCACCTCCGGAACAAAGGTAACAAAAACTTTTAGTGCCCTCAGACAAGGCATTGTATGAGTTAGTTAAAAAGAATCTGCAACACTAATCCCTTTGTTTTGAAGCTGACCCCTGTTTGTTTTATTTCCCGTTGCCTTGTCCTTGGGTTAGATGAGGCTGTGAAGAACCCTCTCCATATTTCCCATGACTTTTCTTTCTTTTATTTCAGCTTTGGTTTCATCTTCCAAAGCTAAAGGCTGAAAAACAAAGGCCAAAAAAGAATCAATGTGTGTTTTCTTTGGGAGATAGACTTTTATGCTGTGCAGCAGAAACCAGGTTGTGACAAATCATAGTAGGGTTTGGTGGAAATAATCCAGTTTCCCCCATAAGTATGAATAGGTTGTTTTCATCATCAATCCCATTTATCCCAGCTCTAAGGCTGCTCTGAAACATCACCCCTAGTCAAGAGCTGATATTTCACATCACCATAAGCCTGCCTTTGTACCAACTTTCCAAGTATTAAGCAATGCCCAAGAGGTGCCCTTACCTTCTTTTAGGACCACTGGGATAGTAGTTGACTTGTTTCTCCCCCTTTAAACTGTTTCCTTCAGGGTGTAAATGGAGTAAAATTAGTATCACCAAGGAAGGTTCAATGCAACCGAAAGAAGGTATTTTAAAGCTCCTACTCCTCTCTTTTAGGGAGAAGCTGGTGCCCCTGGAGAACCAGGAGAAAGAGGAATGAGGGTAATAATTGAAATTATAATGATTTTCTGCCCAGGTGAGTTTTCTGCTCTGCTACCACCTGGGCCCCCTGCTCTGTCCAGGAGGAAAGGAGTTCCTTCTCCAGCCCAGCAAGAATCCTCATTCAGAAGTTTCCATGTGCAACTATTTATTCCCTGGGTGAAAAATCCTGGGGGGAAGCATTTTACTTGTTTGCTTTACGTTCTGAAGCTCCTTGGCAGGCTCTATTTCTGACTGATTGCTTCTCTGAATCCTTTCTTGTAGGGCCCACTTGGACTCCCAGGACGACCTGGAGAGCAGGGCATAAAAGGCGACACAGGACAACCTGGAAAGGACGTAAGGAATGCCCAAAGCAGCAGCTGAGAGAGGAAGGACTTGGGATAGTGCACTGCCAGTCAAAGACAGAACTGTATTTTTTCTGCCTTATGGTGTGCAAGGCACAGAAAGCTCCCTCCCTTTCTCCTGGGGAGGGATTTCCTCTTCAAAAGGAGGATTAGGGCTCTTTCTCCCTTCTTGTTTGACTAGCTGGAGCACGAGTTAAATAGCAGGACTGTGCACCAGGGGGTGCTGAGCATGCAAACCTTCCCCAGCCCCATGCTGCTGGAAACAAAACGCTCAGCCCTGTCTCAGTCTGGTGAGGAGGGAAGGGAAAGGATGTGCTTGTGTTCTGTCTGATCTCCCTCTAATAGCTTAAGAAAACACTGGCTGGCATAAGCTACATTTGTCAGAGGGACAGAGGTCTCAAAGGCAAGGCATTTCTACAAATTTTGGTAAAATGAGCATCTGGCTGGGGGAGAGAAAATCCCTAACGAGCCTACCCACTGGAGAAGAGGTAATAACCTCACCCCTTATTAAATATCAGAGATCCCCTCTACAGGAGCGATGTTGAATTCCAGATTTCATTAGCTCAGTTGCTCTAGGAAGGGCTTGTTAGTCCACTAGATGCTGAGCTAGCAAAAAGATGCTGAGCCCCCGTCATCTCCCATGGCTTCTTCTCATCCTGCCTCTCTCTCCCTCTCCTAGGGAATCACTGGAGAGAAGGGAGACAAGGGCGATTCTGTAGGTTTGCACGTTCCCATTTATAACCTTGCATGAAAGAGTCTGTTTGGAGGCTGAAATGCGGAATTGCACCACTCACTTTTTTTTGGGGGGGGGGTTATGGGGATGTTGTATCTCCCTAGGGTAAGCCTGGTCTGCCTGGGACTCCTGGAAGCATTGTGAGTAACATCTTCTTCTACTGACTTCCACATTTGATCAGGAAAGGGATATGTCGAGATTTATCATGAATCCTGGGTGCCACAGGGGACACACTGCCAGAAATTATTGCTTTCTGCAGTGTGTGCTGTACAGAGGATTTCCCTCCTAGCAGCACCCTGAATCTCTGACCTGTGAGCACAAAGATGCTACACTGGTATCCCGTTGGTTTGAGCCCAGACATAACAGGATCACATTGCTGGTTAATTTTAGAGAAAGCTGCTGGCTTCGGACCCATGGTTAAGGGCTACCTGGGACAAAAGGCACGTGGAGGTGAGAGCTCACATCAAAGACATCTTCCTTCACCCCGTTTCTTCCATTTTTTGTAGTTGTCTTCTCTGGAAAACACCATCACCCTGAAAGGTGAAAAGGTAAGGTCTCCTTCTTGCTGAAGAAACTTTGCCTTGAAGCTGAATATGTGATTATTTTAGATATGTCATATGTTCTGTAATTTCTTTACTTTTATAAGTCCAAGTCTGCAAAGACAGCCTGAAACTTGCAGGTTCCTTAAGCAAATTCTTGCTGTTCCCACCTCCAGCAGCAAAGCTACTCCAAACTCCACGTATCGCTGTTGATGATGCTGGGGCAAGGTGAAATACAATTCTTCCCAGTCCTCTTGTGCTTTCAGGGAAAACAAGAGAGAATATTTCAGCCCAGAAATTGGGAGGATATAATAAGACACAGAGATATCAGTGATAGGATGCAGCAAAGCCAGAGTCATTCCATCCTATCACCAGCCCTCTGAAAAAGATCACTGAAAATATCACCCAGCCCCTCATGACCTGGTGCCAATCTGCCTAAATTCTATCTGGGGAATGCCCAAATAGTGATCAAGAGCAAAGCAGCTCCTTGCCCCCTCCTGCCCTGCTTATTTATGGTCTGTTTAGCAAGCAAATGGCAAAGCTGCCTGCAAACCATAATGCCATGTGCAGCCCCAGTGCAGGAACAGAGGTGGGGTCATGGAGCAATTTGAGTAATCAAAAAGCCCAATACGATGAAAAATGTATTTAATGCATTTAAATCCCTCCGTTTAACGAAGTTTGTGAGATGGTCATTTATTTTATGCACCATGCAGCTGGGGTCAGGAGAGGAGAGGAGGCAGCCAGGGGGGAGGCAGGGCAGCCACAGCATTGATTTCTGCCAAATTTCGATGTCTGCCAAATTTCACTGAGAGGAAAGGTTTGTTCAGAGAGAGGCGGAGTGTTTACCTAGATGGCTGCTTTGTAGGCAAGTCTGGGCTTTCCAGTTCACCTACAGGACTTGGTCACAGGCAAAGACTGGGAGATCAAGAGCCACAGGCAGCATCACTGTGGGTCTGTCCCCTCCCCAAACCCTACATGAGATATTCAGGTTTTGCTTCATTGGCCAAGCTGTGATGGCAAAGAAATCCAGGTGAATTTTAGTTTGTGAGGAGGAGTAATACCATTATTAGCCCAAGTAGATATGAGGGGAAAAGGATAAACAGAAAAGCTCTTAGGGATGTGAACCTGTCTTAAGGACCTAGGTAGCATACTTCAAGTGAAGAGCAGAGTTGCTCCAAATTTACCTTAATTACGTGAATTAGTAAGGTAGTTACAAGAAAAGTCTGGTTGGTCCATGCGGAAAAGACAGGGATGTTGTTCGGATGAGGCCGGCACAGGCCAGTAGGTGGGAAATGCCATAAAGCTCAATGAAACCACTGTGAATTTTAGAGGGGCCGAAGAACTAACACGTTCCTGCTGGCTTGCAGGGGGATCGCGGGAAGGATGGTTTGAAAGGTGAAAGAGGACCTCCAGGCCCAAAGGTAGGTGCTTGAATGCGTGGAGGCATCTTTGTGTTTGGGAGGGGAAGAGAACCCATCTCAGATCTCTTCTTACCCCCAAAACATTGGGTTTTTCAAAGCAGGCGTTATGAGCAGGGCTCGTAAGCTTGTGGTCATCGTGATGTAAGCCCTACAACCCAATTTCGTAAATATATGACATGTAGGAGGGAAGGTGCTGTTCAGGAGCTGGGCGGGATACATTTCTAAAATGCTTGGGGTATTTGCTTTCTTTCCTCCCCTCCTGTAATTTGAAGATCACATCAGAAAGGAATGGAAAGAGAAAATGCTTCTGCTACAACACGCATCTAGAGATCTTTAGAGGTGGGACCAACTGCTCCACTAACAAAGAGGAAAATGGTGAAGGAAGAAGCATCAGTGGGTGCAGGTAGATGTCCTGAGGTACCCAGTTTATCCAGCACATCCCCACGATGTGGCTTCTTTGCCCCAGCACACCTTGGCATGGAGATGCAGCACCACTGAGGCCTTCCTGACGCCCTTCATTCCACCGGAATCTGTCAGTGCAGAAACCAGATTTCAGTGAAATGAAGCCCGTCAGAGAGGCAGGTCAGCCCCTGGGCCCATCAGATGCTCCTCGCCCCATCACGGGGCTTCCCAAGCTGTTGCAGCTCATCCAGCATTTCATCCATGGCAGTGGCTCATGATCTCTCACCTGGAGACCCACGTCATGTTGGTCAAGGAGAGACAGAAATCCCATCCCTGGGACTTAAACCCATCAGAGATATTTGACCCAGACTGTGCGTGGTGCTGTGGAGGGCCACCAGGACCACAGCCACCCCTAGAAGGGACCACGGTCCCTGGGAGCGCCTTGGCCACCCCCTGCCTTGCTGCCACAACCACACGACTTCCAACCATGGCACTGGCAGTACCGGTGGCATTGAGGGGCCACCTGCACTTAGGTTTTTATGTCTTGTGCATGGGTGAGAAATGGAGAAGGAGTAGATTCAGTCTGTGGCAAGGAGGATTGCCTTCAGAGCAACGGGTCACCCTCTCATTGCATTTATACATGCCAAGTGGAAATGTGGGAGCTTGTTAAATATTTTTATTTTTTCAAAAAAACCCACCTCTTTGGTGATGCTCAAGTCAAACTCTGGTCCAGCCTGACCCTAAAAACACAGCCATTGCCTGCATCTGATGGAGGAGCAAAGGAGCCCATGCAGCAGGGTGGGATTCGAACCCCTCTGAGAGCCAACAGAGCTTTGTCTGGGGTCACGGAGCCAGATGGTGGCAGACTTCTGCCCATTCCTGATGCTGGTTGGTATAACTTAATTAATTGTTGTTATTTGTTTGAAGGGAGAGCCCGGTCCACCAGGAAAAGGAGTGGAAATGAAGGTAATGACAATAAAAAATGTGGAGTGTATTAATGTTGGCAACACCTCCCTCTCTACCCGGGTTTGGGATGGCAGAGGGGACCCCATGCATGCCCCCAGGCTTAGCCATCACCACCTGTGCAGCCAGCTTCCCAGGTTGGAAAGGGGAGGAAAAATATCATCATGTTCAGCCCTTCGGGAAATTCCATTTTCTCCTCTCCCTGCTGTGTTTCCCAGGGCACTGGAGTCAGGCTGGGGGCATTTCTTCTGCTCTTTGGGGCTGGGCTTTAGTCGTGTCCTTACCTTTCTTTCTTCTGGCAGGATCTGGAGAGACTTTTTGAAGAAAATGGTATTAAGGTAGGTAACACCTTGACCTTCCTTTTGACAAGGTGATTGCAATTAAGCTTTTCCATCTATCCACTCTGGAGTTGATGTGTATGAGGCATCCACAATTTCTCTGGGCAATGCCAAATCCCCATTCAGAGCTTGGTGCTGCCGCCTGGGTTGGTTTGTGGAGTGTCCTGCAGCAGCGCTGGGTCTGCACAGACAGGAAGAGGAGACCCCCAGGTTCCTCTGGGTGCTTTGGCCATGTTTTACATCTTGTTTAGTGCAAAAGTCAGTTTGGGTTGCCCCTTTGCTTATAGCACAAATAATTGTGACTTATCACTGCAATACAGCCATGCTAGGTCGGTGGCCTCCCTCTCCAGTCTCAAGGTAGCCACCAAGCTCAGGAATTGTGATGAACCTCGGCTATAAGTATCTACTAATTAGGCCTTTATTGTTGAGCTCATTGCCCTCAGCTCCTTTTTGTGAGCTCCGGAGATGTGACCAAGGGAGGTGAGGAACTGACTTATTCAATCGGGTGTAGGGGATCTTATTTACAGTGGGGAGATCCCCTGCGTAAGCACCATTGATCAGATCCTAGATGCCCAAACCTTAAGCACATATGTTTAAGTCAACTGTTGGCTGTCAGGGCCAGATCACAGAATCACAAAATCATTAAGGTTGGAAAAGCCCTCCAAGATCATCTGGTCCAACCATCCCCCTACCACCAATGTCACCCGCTAAACCATGTCCCTAAGCACCACGTCCAACCTTTCCTTGAGTACCAATGCCTAACTAATGCCCCGTGAGCTGACTGGAAACGCATCAGCAATCTTTTTGGGGTGGCTTTTCTTGGACTGTTGTGTCTTGGGGATGGGAGGGTGACAGCAGGCCATTGCCTGAATGGTCCGTGCTGTTGGCAGCTGGCATTGCTGAAGGATCTCTCCAACGTGCTGCTACGGGATGGGCTGGATGGGCTGATTCAGCAGTTGGGCAGCTCCAGGACAAGCAAAGCCTCCAGGAGAAAGCAGACACTTGCACAGACAGCTAAGCATGGTGTGAGTATTCATCATCCTCAGGGGAGACCTAGAAGGAAATGAATCAGTGAAGGCTTCAGGGTCACCTCTGTCATCAAGCAGGCTACGGTGACTTGCAGCCAGCTTAGTCTGGAAGGGGCTGGGGGCTCTCACCAGGATTTTGGAACTATGGGTTAAGCTGTTGAGATTGCAAAACACCTGGTTTATGGGGAAATGAAAGAATCAGCTCCTGATATTTGGTGGTGGTAGCTAGAAGCCATCATCTGAAGCTGTCAGCTTCCTCATGCCCTGAGGGGCTGGGCATTGCTGGACTGATGGGGATCAAAGCAGAAGAAAGAATAAGAAAAGACTAAAAGGGTGGCCTCAAAAGTGAGAGGGAGCCCAGGGACATAGAATTAATTGGGAAACAAGGCCTGGAAATGACAAGCAGGGCCTGGCTGCCTGCTCACTCCACCCTGGCACAGGAAGGCCAGGAGGTGGGACAGGGCATGCCAGGGTGGTGGGCAAAATAAGCCATCAGGACCCATCTTTTTGCATTTGTGGTTCCTGGGAGCTCAGGTTTGACCTGGCCACAGCAAACCACTTTTTTTGAGGTTGCAGGATTCACTGAAGTTTGATACTTCTCGTGATGCCCTGGCCAGCAGCGAGGTGACAGAAGAAGCACAGAGCCTGGCAGCGGAGCCTCCGTTTAGGGTGCTGGTGTCTGAAGGACCCCCTAAGGTGACAAAAACAGCAGAGCTGATGAAATGGAGTCACATAGATCTGTACTCTTGTCCACCCAGTCTGTTGCAGCGATAATAGAGCTCGCACATCCGATGTGTGCCAGATGCCTGGGAGCTCCCAGTCCATGCTTATCCTCCTGCTGATTCCTCATCCTCCCTTGTAGAGGCTGTAATTTAGGTGTGTCTCCTACCCCAGCAGGGATGGATCCGATCCTGCTCTCAGACTGGGCTGAGATTGCCCAAGGAACAGTTCCTGCCATGACTCCACAGCCCTCATTTGCTTGAGTAACCAGGCTAATTGCTAGAGATAATCTAGTCACCTACATCCTCTGCAATTTCAAGTAACAGATTGTGGTTGTGGGAATTACAAATTTTAGTGATAAGACTTAATCTCCATCCTGGACCCGAGTTCCTGTGTGTTACAGCACACCTCCAGGAATAAATTCAGAAGGCTGTATCCAGGCCACCTCTCATAGCTGTTGATTGAGTCCTGGCTCTTAATTTGCCCACACTAGACAGTCCTGATAAGAGAGAGCCCAGGAAACAGTAACAGCAGCCGAGGTGAGGCTTTTTAATCCTCTTTTACGACAGTCAAGAAGTGACTCACTCTCCACAAACACTTGTTGGTCACTGGTAGGAAATGTTGTCTGTATCTGGAGCACAGGAGATGTGGGAGCATTTGGAGCCAGATCTGATGATTTTATCTTCTTCTGTGGTTGGTTCAGTGATGACCCAGTTGCTCAGGCTTAGGTCAAGACAGGCTCATCCCCCCTCTGTCCAGGCTCTTCCTGTGATCTTGGGTGAGATATCTTACTTTTCCAGATCGTTGCAACCTGGATGACTGTCTTTTAGGGTCTTGAGGGGAATGAAGTGCTCACCAGTAAATGTGTTTGCACCAGAGGGCTCAAGAGACTGAAAATAGACATGTGCCAGCAAGCCTGGAGCCAGCAACATTGGGATTTGGGGTATGGAGACACCAAAGCTGGCTCTGTTGGGTTTCTTAGGGACAGCATCTGGAAATTGGTCACACCATGTGCTAGATGGCCTTTGTAAGATAGGGTGTGCTACGCAGTCTGTGCTGAAAGAAGCCACAGGACTTTGTGGTGTACTCGGTGATATGCCAGAGATGTGCTCCAAGAGACACAGCTTTTCAGATACCAGCATGGACTTATGAAAATAACCGAGTTTTGCTCATCTTTGTGGGTCAGGGCGCTCCACAAATGTTGTCACTGTCTCTGCCACCATGAATGGGGGCTTGGAGTATGCTTATATGGCCTGGACCACTTAGCCAGGGCAGGGTGAGAAGGGGCTGCTCACCTCCTGGTGAGAGCCTTGGTTTGGGATCCAGGTGAGAAGAGGCAAAACATTTGCCCTGAGCTCACTTATATTGTTGTGGGAGCACCATTCCTCCTCTCTGCCAGCCTAAATCTGGCTGAAAGGGTTGGGGACCCTCTCTTCTCACCTGGACCACCCTGTTTAGGATGGACCTCAACGAAAAAGCAGGGAGCAAAGGGGGCTCCCTTTTTGGACATGCCCCAGCCCAAAGCCATTAGCACTTCCCAAGTAAGGTGCAAGAGAGATCATGGTAACTTGGCTCTCCAGCCTTGTCCTGCTGTCTGTGGGCACGTTATTGAATAAATGGTGTGTTGCTGATGAAAGCAGTGTGTTGTGGATGAGGTCTTGGCTTGGAAAAAGAAGTAACTGCTTTTGTTCTCCCCAGGGTCCATCTGCTGGTGAGTACCAGCCCCTGGGGAACACTCCCGAGTCCTTGGAGGAGAGAAAGAAGGAGAGAGACTCGAAAGGGACAAACACTTCTCTCAGCAGTGTATGTAAATGCCTGTTCAGTGACTTTTAATTACGTTCCTATTTGTGCTGATTTAATAGGCGCAATGGGATTACATTTTGAAGAGCTTGAGTGGACAAACCCTTGCGATTCTGTGCATTCAGCCTCTATTTTGCTGCAGTGAAAAGCTAATTTAGGGAGAGGATAAGGAGTTCTGCATGAATCGGTTTCAGAGTTTCAAAAAGTCTTTGCTTTCCAACTTCCACTCTGGTAATCAGTAAGATTTGTGTTGTCAATCATCCAGCATCCCCTGCAGAGCTTGCCTGTGCCCCACACACACCCCAAAGATGATCTGCAAGGAAACCAATCCACGGAGCTTCTTGAGTCCTTGGAGGAGAAAGCACAAGGACAACCCCAAGAGGACACCAGCCATGTATGTATTCCCCAGCAGCTCTGGGTGCTAGACCAGTGTGGAGACAAGTGATAGACTGGAAGGGACTGGGATGCTCATCTCTCACACAGTGCTTTGAGATCCCCAGGGGAGACAACTGCTTGGACATAGGACCTTGGCAGGAGGCTGATGGCTTCATGGCTGATGGCCTTGTCCTCTGTATATGGGCAGAGAAGTGGGACCACCCCCCACCCAGAGCCCTTGGAAAATTTTTTTGGTGGTTAATTACCCACTTTGATGGAAAAAAAAGGCCGATTTCAACAAGAGTGAACTGTAATTTACCAAGCCTTCGTGGGGCAGCTGAGCCAAGGTGCCTATCCCAGAGGAAACATGGTGTAGGGTGACCCACTTTAACTCTTCCTCCAAGGTCTGCAAGACATTCACCTCTTAGAAACCTCAGGAGATGAGTTATTGCTCCTCAGCTGAGGGGCGGTAGCACAGAAAGAGGTTCCTTCCATAGCCAGGAGGTGCAGCAGCCTTCCAAGGGCACATGCACATCCCCTCTAAGTCACACCACAGCATTTGCAGCAAAGCCAGAGGGCACATCCAGGCTGGCAGCAGCAGTGTCACAGCTCAGAGGATGGGCACTAACCTGGGGTGCTGCTGCAGTGTGGTTGTCTGAGCCCTAACATCCCAACTCCCTCTTTATTTCTGCCCTCCTGGGCATGTATTTTCTTCTGTGAGCCCTAACACGCTCAATGACTTGGACCAAACCCAGCACCCTTCATTCTTCACAGCATTTTAACCCTAAAAGCAAAGTCGAGCTTGGCTGGGGGACCCTTCCCCAGCACCACGCACGGAGTGGCACCAGCCCCGGTGATGGAGAGGGGGCAAATGCACTCACCCAGTGCTGCTTCTGCACTTTTCCACCCGATGTTTTCCTGTGTGATGGAATGAAGGCTATTTCTGAAAACGCTTGGAGGCAGGATGCCCACAACCTGAGTGGAAAAATCCCTTGGATATTTGCTTTCAGCCACAAGCACAGCTTCTGCTAGGAGCAGCATCAGCAAGGATATTTCTAGGAACAGCGATGGGGGAGGTAGCCCAAAGTGGGGAGACCCTGTCAGGAGGAAATCTCGCTCTGATGTGAGTCTGCTGGAAACTTGCCTCTGCTCCATCCCTTCAGCTGTCTCCTGCCTTGCAAATTGCCACGGCGCTGACTCACGAAGCTGGAGCAATCGCTGTGGCAGCAGCCACGAGAGGGCTCCCGGCACAAGCACACGCACACGAACGCTCACACACGCGTGTCTGTGTGCAAGCTGCAGCCCTGCAGACTGTGCAATGAGCATCCCTCAGCTGCTATCACAGGGCAGGGATTTAGGAGCTCACGGAGCCTGTTTCCAGCCCACATCCCACATTTTGTATTGCTTCTCTTCCTGGATGCGCCGTTTCCCTTTGCTGGCCATGGTTTAAGCTGGAGAGAAATTTGGAAAAGCAGAGGACGGACACCAAACCCCTCACTTCTCACTCGATTGGGTATAGGACCACAGCTGAGGTAGGAGCTTTGTGATGCCCCGCTCTTAAAAGCAGGTTAAGCTCAGTCCCTAGGGACCTACACCCTGGAACTGGGGCATCCCAAATCTGTACTTCCATTCAAAGCTGTGGACTTCAGCTCTGCTCCTCATGGTTTCACGCATGCCCCCCGCATGGAGTGATTTAATAAATCAGATCCATCACAGGCACAGCATTTTCCTCCTTGATGAAAAGGGAGTGACCCCTCTTTGTCTGGTTTCAGGGAACTCAATGCATCCATGTGCCCAAATGCCATGGCTATGGTGCTAGGAAAGAAGAGGGATTTGAGGCAAAGAAAAGTTTTACTGTCCTCAGCAATCAGGGATGTAATCATTTTTTTAAGCCCTGCATCCCAAGGATGAAAAGCAGTCTTTGCATCCCATTTGAGATTCCACTTCCATTTTTTTAAAGCCAATGGGAGGTGAGGAGCACAGCCACAAAACTGCAGGCTCATTTACCACCAGAGACATAAGATCAGGTGGTTTTTTTAGCCAAAAGTTCACACTTTGGGTTTATAGGGATGATCCCCTGCCCCACTTTTCCCCTCCATCCTCTGGAGGAGGAAGAAGCATGGGTGGAAGGCAGGGAGCCAGGAGCAGCCCCTCTCCCCCCAGCACGGATCCCTGTGCGCATCGCAGGGTGATGCAAAGAGAGCGAAATGGAGCCGCTTGTTTCCCCGTCAGCAGCAGCTGTAATCACGAATTTTACCTGTTAAAAGGTTCATGGGGCCCTGGAGAAAAGCATTCTGTAATAGCCCAAGAGCTTCATCTCAGAGGTGCAATTTCTGGCTGGCAGGAGTTAATGGGGGAAGCAAATTAACTGGCATAAAGAGGCAGGATGAGCCCCAGTACACGTGCCCATGCCAGAAGCAGTGCCCAGTTGCTCTTTCCATGGATGAGCCACTTCTTTGGCACTATGGGACTGGTCTGGTTAATTCCTGCCCCCTCCATCTCCCAACCTCCCTGCAGTTCAACTTACTCATTTTCGGGGTTAATTCAGATAAATGGCGTTGACTGTCTCCATGTGGATAAACCCAAAGTCACTTAATTTTTTGTACCTGATATCTTCATTCTTTGCTGTTTCTGTCTTTCCTGTTCCTATTTCTTTGCAGGATATTTTCTTCCTCCTCCTTTTATTTTAATTTCTCTCTTTCCTGTCCTAATTGTGTCTGTTCTTTTCCTCCTCCTTTTCTCCTTCGTCTCTTTCTATTTTTTATTTTTTTTATTTTTTTACACTGCCACCTGCCATCAGCAAATCACTGCTTTAGAAAGCAGCAGCCTCTCCACTTTTCCGTGAGGTGCCTTATTGCTGGCATCTCAGAGCTGGAAACTGCTAAAATTGCGGAGGAATAGCAGAAAGGAGGAGAGTTATTACCCCCAGCAATTTCCCACCACCCCTGGAAATGGCAGCTTTATGAGATCGCCTGCACACGGGTCGCCATCCGAACCTCAGCGAGGTCTTGGCAACCCACGGGCTTGCCTCGCCTTTTCCTTCTGACGCTCTTCGCACGTCTGCAGAATGAAGGTGGACCCGTGCGAAACAGCAGCGGCATTTTACACGTGCTCTGCATGCAGATCAGCCGCGACCCAGTGCAGGATGGACAAAAGCCACCCAAGATGGGCACTCGTGAGCAATCTGTGCCAGCGCATCATTGACTGGTCTTTAATTCCTCCTCCTCGCTCCTCGCTACTTTGCAGTAAAGAATTTCAATTTTAATTGGTCCAAAATATTTTTTCCTTACGTATTTTGGTGAGTCAGAAACTTCCTGGGCTTATTAGCCAGTTAGAGAAACCATCATCCAGCTACTTGAATCCAACAAAACAAGGCTAGCAGCCCTGCAAACTTGCCAATACAATGTCCGTGACTGGACTAACCAGCACTTATTACAAGTCCTTTGTCCAGGATTTACTTTTCCTTAACTTTAGCCGTCTAAAAGTTTCAAAATACACTTCTAGATTAAATTGTGGGATCAATCCCTGAGTCTGAAAATAATAATAACGTGGAAATAGTGCTAAGTATCTGCACCCCATCCTGATTTTCTTCTCTCCTTCCCATACTCCTGGCAGGGCGCAGGGCTGAGGTTTGGGTGCAAGGAGGTGCCCAGCCTTCTTTTGTTGTTCTTTTTTCATTGCTTTCTGCCTTCATATCAAAATATTTACCAAAGCTGATCTGCAGTGCCTCCATCATGTAGCTCGGGGAATAATTGCTGTACACTGAGATATCCAGCAGCTAGGAATATTATAATTTTTACAACAGCAAGCAGATAATTTGTTGTTGCTAACATGGAAAATTACAATCAGTTTATGATTTGGGCCAGTAACTATTTGTACAAGCTTTACTGTGTGTGTCTCAAATATGTACCGGACAAAACCATGAGCATTGCAAACATCAGCAAGAGACAGATGACCGAGGAGAGTGATCAGGCATCAGCGGTTGTATTATTGCAGTCAGATATATCGGGTACAATAAATGCACAGCAGCTGTGTTACCCAGGCATGGGTGCTGCAGGGAAGCATTTAGAGCTCAGAGTTGCAAGATTTTAGGTATTCCTCTGAAATAACGATAAGTTAATTGCACGGTCCTGAATGAATAATAGCATGGGGTGCTCAGCAGGGTGATGTTTCCTTTCCTGCAGGAAAAGATGAATTCGGGTGATGGTTCTGCATTCCCAAGGCACATGAGGGCCAGGAGATCAGCCCAGCAGGACAGACACCTGGTAAAGACCCTATTTCACCGTGGTGGCTTTGGGCTGGCCATTGCATACAAGCAGAGCCACCGGCGTGATCCCCAAGGGAGCGGTGACCCTTCCTTGTTGGCTCTGTCACAGGTGCATCCCCCCGGTGCCCCAGGAGCTCCGAAATCCCCATCTGGATCTGCGGTGAGTGAGTGAGACAACCTGATATAAAGTTGTCCTCAAACACATGGACATGAGGGAAACCCTACTTGCCCCTTCTCACCGTGCAAAATCATGATGAATCGTGATCAATCTGGGTGGGGGGGTGAAAGTTTGGTGATAAATATTAATAAATAAAGCAAGAAACAGCTGCAGGTGTGGCTGTCTTGCTTGGCAGAGCAGAGTGTTCTCGTATTTGGCAAGGGAAACGTGATGCTCACAACACGGAAGTGGGGAAAATCAAACTTAATCAATGAGGGAACATAATTACCTGGATCATGGAGAAAGAAGTATGAGACAGGAGTATTTTGTGTCCTGAGAGAATAGGAGATACTGGTATGTGTGTGTAAATGTGAAAATACTTGAGTGCATTTATAAATATGTATAAGACATATGTCTCTGACATACCTGCACAATTACATCTCCAAATTTAACATAATAAGCCAGAAATTGAAAGTGCAAAGAGTTGATTTTACAAGATTTAAGCGAGCAAGACCTGTCTCCAGGAGTTAAGGGTGAAAAATTCTGAGTCCTCGAGCCTCCTTTCCCATGGCTCAAGGGGTGAAACATTTCTCCACCTCCTCTCACACTTTTCTCTTTTCTTCCTCAATTCAAGACGTACCCAGGCCCTCAGCACCCAAGGAGAATTAAGGTACAGCGTGAAGCCCCAGGGTTCCTCTCACCCCAGCTGCACATGGTGAGGATGTGGCAGAATCCCAGCTCCGTGTTGTACCTGCAATCATTTTCTTACAGAAGGAGGAAACGGGCCAGCCAGATCCACCCTTGTGTTGCCAAAAGGTCAGTGCTTTTGGTTCAGTTTTTAATGCAGATACCCAGTGGTGTTGGGGTGAGTTGGGATCCCAGAGCATCTCCCAGGGCAGTCTCATTTAGAGGCTGAGAAATCACAGATGAAAATTGGCCAGGCTGGTGGGTTCAAGAGGTGGTAACCAATGGTTTTGGCCACTGGCAATGAGTACAGGACCTATGCTGGAACCTTCCACATCTGTTTCAGATATGTTTTTGGTGTTTTGTGCCTCCTCAGTATTTTTTTCCTCTGTGAACTTCTCTGGTCTCCAAACATGGTATCCTGGGACAGGGAAACCCTCAGCTACCGCTCATCTCTGGCCCCAATTCCACAATTTATCATCTCTCTGTGCATTTCCACAGTGCAGGATAGGAGGGATGGGTTCAGGGACAGCCCTGATCTGGTCAGGATCTGGTTGGGGTAGCCTTGGTCCACCAGCAAGAGGTGGAAAGGAGGTGGCCCTCCACTGCGGTTTGCCGAAAGGTGGTGCAGAAACAAGGGCAACACCCACATGGCCTAAAGAGGGAAGGAGAAATTCCTCATGCTTGCAATTGAAGGTGCTGTCTGTTGTTTTCCAGGGAGAAATGGGAGCTCCAGGAGCCCGTGGAGACAAAGGAGAAAAGGTAGCAATAGTGCTTTTGTAGTCTGAGTCTCTGAGATTTGGAGAAGGAAGCTGGGGACACACTGGTGGAGAGGACATCCAGGGTCCATGGGAGGCTGTGCTGATGTAAATCGGGATTGCTGCAGTCCCACCCTTATCCCTTGATCTGTCTGAGTGATTCTGCTCCCTCCCAGCAATGCTAACACACGTCTGCCATGCCTCAAGGGGAAGGCAGAAAATTCAGGGAGGTTCCTGACGTTTGTTCTGCTGGACTGAACCAGGTGACAGACAAGCGAAAGCCAGCCCTGGCACAAGGACAGGGATGGAAGAAGAGCTGGAAGATATTTGGTTTTTGTCTTACAGGGGCAGCCTGGAGAGATGGGGGAGCCTGGAGAAAAGGTGAGCTGCGGAGTCAGGATCAGCAGCTGGAGCAGGACAGTGATACCAGCCAGGTGGCCCAAATCCAGCACTGGGGATTGCCACGGGGAAGCCAAAACCCTGTCCCCTGTTCAGACCCCATCACCTGCTGGGTCAACTCAGTACCCCAACTCCTTCAGTACCCCATCTCCTTCACTTTGGCCCCGTGTTGGGGCATTTGGCTCTGCCCTGGCCACATGGACATTCCCCACCTCCTCTGGGGACATCAGAGGCATCTCTGTTTTGGGCACAATTGGAAACCTTTGCTCTTGCTCGGGGTGGCACTGAGGTTGTACTTCATTCCTCCTCTCCCACAGCCTTGGTAACTCTCTCTTCATTTCTCAGGGCACCAAAGGAGACAGAGGGGAAAATGGTCAAAAGGTAAAGAACGGCGTTGGTACCACGGTCAGGGGTGCCTCTACTGATACCAGGAGACCTTGTGTCCTCTATGACTGCTCTATCTCGTGACATCTTACCTCCCATCTCAGGGAGAGGTGTCCAGGTGATCTCCTGAGATGTGGGCTCAGCCCTGGGAGACACGGCTGCTGTCTGTTGGCTTGGCAGGGAGTCCTGGTGGCTGCTCTAGGCAGGGCACACATCTTAGACTAATGCCAGAAGGTACAAGTCTCACCCAGAATCTTCTGACACCATCTCCAATAATATTCCTGCAATTCATCTCCCTCTTTTCTAAAGCTCAGAATCACTGAAGGTTGAGGCTTGGAGGCACCTCTGGGTCCTTCTGGTCCCATCCCTGCTCCAGCAGGGCCACCCAAGCTGGTGTCTAGGTGTTTTTTGATGCTCTCCAAGGAGGGGACACCACAGCCTCTGGGTACCTGTGCCAGGGTTCCAGCACCCGCCCAGCCCCGAAATGCTTCTGGTGGGCAGAGGGAACCTCCTGGGCTCCAGTTCTTGCCCTGTTTGAGCTCTTTAAAAGTTCTCAGCAACTTTATCTCTCCAGATAAGGCTTCCCATCATCTAGAGGAGATGTGATGGTCAGTTGGGGCCCTTTAGACTGGCTGTCCAGGGAGCAGCATGAAGCAAGTTCTTGATGGACCCAGAGTGGAAGGAGTGGTCATGATTTTTCTCGACCTTCTTCTCTTCACAGGGAGAACCAGGAATTGGATTCAGAGGTCCTGTTGGTCAGGCTGGTCCCCCAGGATTTAAGGTAAACCTGTCTTCTCCTCTAGATAGGATCTCACTTGTTTTTCTATGGGTTTTACTCTCTGGAGTCCTTGCTGACCTTTCCACTGCTTGGTGAGAAGCACAGAGGTGGTTGGGTGGGCAAAGATAAGCCAGTCCCAACTTGGAAAGGCAGGAACACCAGCATGTGGGTTTGGGACAGAGGGAGAGCTTAGTGTCCTCCAAGGGACCAGTTCAGAACAGGTGAGCTCCAGAGGATAAATATGGCTATGAAAAAATCCAGGGAATTGTGGTCTCAGCAGAGGGATGTTTCTGCAGTCCCCTTGCATTTGGGGTTTGAGTTTACTGCACAGCTCTGTGGGTGTAAAGGTAAGTGTTCCCCACTCTAGCAAGCCCTTCTCCAGCCCTAGGGCTTCTCTGATGGGCCTGAGCTGTAGGGTTTGTCCCCAGTTCTATGTACCAGTCATGGGAATTCAATGAAACACCCCAGGCTTTCTCCAGGACCTTTGGGATTCCATCAGTCCCACCTAAGATCTAAATTCCTTGTGATTCCCTCAACAGGGTGAGCCAGGGGCCCCAGGACCTCCAGGAGCTCAGGGCATCCAGGGCATTCGAGGCAACGCTGGCACTCCTGGGACACAGGGGGACAGAGGGGCTCCAGGCCTGCCCGGGACACCAGGACAGAAGGCAGGTGGTGTGTGGTGAAGGGACTGGGCATGTGGTGTTGGACACAAGGTGAGAATGAGCGTGGTCTTCCTTAGATTGCATCAGGTGTCCACTTCAGGTCAGACCCCCACCTATCCAGGTCTCCTGAGCCTACACAGAGCCTGTGAAGGGAAACAGAGATAAAAGCTGGTTGTAAAAGGAGTGGTAATGGCATTGATTAGATAAACTGATGTGGTTGGGAAAAAAATAATAATAATAAATAAATAAATGAATTAATAAATAAACAGGCAGGGTTTGGGCCAGGAGGATGTTCTTCAAGTTCAAAACAAAAGCAGTGGAGCTCCAAGATAGGTGGGGACCCATTATTCTCTACTGAAACTTAATGATGTGACCTGATGAGGTGATCAGGAAGAAAAGGAGTGGTTTGGGGTTTGATGTTAGCAAGAGGGTTCGGGGTCATTGGAACATGGGGACAGAAGGAGCAATGATTGTCACTGCAAGGACAAGGAGGCTTAGTGGGTGGTGGGATGGGGGACAGAAACGTGTTTAAACTCAGGGTCTCTCCTCAACAGCAAAGAGGCTCCCATTGGGAGCATCCCAATGACTATTCCTCCTGCTTGCTGTGGTGCACAAAGCTTTAGGGACGCTGGTTTCGGCTTTCAGGCTGGCTTAAGGGGAAGCAGGGCCTTTCCCTTAGGGTGTTCTCCTTAAAGGATTTTATTTTCAAGGGTGAACGTGGGAAGAGAGGCCGGAATGGATTTGCTGGACCTGTAGGACCGTCGGGATCCCCAGGAAAAGAGGTGACTTTTATACCTCAACCCTTTGTCTTCTGAGCAATGCAGGGTTGGCTGGGGAGGTGGTTGAGGCCCTGGTACCTGGCATGGGTGTGTTTTCACCCTTTTAGTGGGCCAGGAGAACATCAAGGACATGCAAAAACAAAGTCTTCCCTCCTACTTTGTTTTCCTCATCCTACAGGGGATTCCTGGGACACCCGGACCCAAAGGCAACAAGGTGAGTGCCAATCTGCCAGGCAGGTCACAAGTAGCCGAGATCCTGGAGTAGCAATGGGACATCCACTGCCATCCCCTGGCTCCTTATCCCTGAGCCCTTCCAGGTGCTTTTCCCTCTTTTGCCCTCACGCCCTTCTTCCCCAAGTTTGCCAGAGCATCCTCCAGAGAGAGCAGCAGAAAGTCAATGGAAGTGTCTCCTGACTCTTTCTGTGGCTTTTAAATCAGTGTCAAGCCTATCAACAATCATCCCATGCGGTATCCTTGCTCCAAGCAAGACCTTTTTTGTTTTTGTTCTGCAGGGAGAAGTTGGGGTTGGAGCTGCTGGACCAAGAGGTCCTCGTGGGCTGCCTGGCCCTCAGGTAGGTCAATAATATCATCTCAGTGAGGAGCCAGCTCATTTTGCATGCTTTGGGGATGCTACCTGCAAGCTCGTTCCTTCAGAAATCCAAATCCAGCTTTTTTACCCTCGTTTCCCTCTTCCAGTCCCCCTGGCAGAGGGAAAGCAGCCCCTGTCATCCTCGGGACAGCAATGCTCGCTTTTCCTCACTTCGCTGAGAACTTTTTGGTCCCCTTCTGGCAAAGACCCCAGGGAGACCCTCTGGAGTTGTAATCAGAGGCCATGTTTCAATTTGCTGCGTCTGTGGCTGTTCTGCGAATAAACTGATTTTATGCTGCAATCCATTTAGACAAACTCCCCATCTGCTAGCAGAACGGTTCAATGAGGCCCCTGAGACAAAACACTTAATGAGAATGTCAACAGCTGTGAAAGGTCTGGGGTAAGCCTCGCTCGAGCTTTATTATCTGTAGGAAATGATGAAATAATGTTTCTGCTCTTCTGACTCCAGGCATATATCTGGAGTGAATCACAGAATCTGAAATTACGTTGGCTACACAGAAGAGGGAAAAATTTGGCCTCACAGGATGGTGCCTAAGTCTAGGCATCTTAAAGACAGGTAAATCTTGGGGGATCTACCTAGGGAGGTCATAAAAGCACTTCACAGACCCAACAGGACACCTATTCCTGGTAGTAAGGTTGAAAAAGAAATCAGTGGCATGCTTGAGGAGAGGCTCAGAAGAAGCACTAGAAAACTACAGCTAGGTGTGAAGATAAGGCTCACGTTGGTCTCCAAAGGCAAGGGTTTCTGCTGAGCAGCTGGCTGGTGGTATCTTCCTTCTGAAAGTCAGTGGTGTGGGTTCCAGGTGAATTCCTTTGCTGAGGTGAGGCCTATTGAAATCATAGGAGCATTGAACCATAGGAGCATCGAGGCACCTAATCCACGAGGCCATACAAGTGGACAAGGCAGGAGGACTCCCTGGAGGATCTAGGCTTCTGAACATTCAATTCCTGTTGTCCCCTGAGGGATGGTTTGCAGAGTTGGGACTGTATATGTTGCTTTTGTCTGCTGGTGGCCATCACTACCCCTCTTCTTCCTCACAGGGTGGTAAGGGCGCTGTGGGAGTCCGTGGCCCCGTTGGCATGATGGTGAGTGTTAACATAACATGCAAGACTGATTAACATGGATTACAGTGGCCCAGGGCCCACAGATAATGAAAAAAAAATGTAAATGGTTTGATGGTCTTAGTGGGAAATAGAGACTTGGGGAACCTGAACTCCTGGGTTGTGTTGGGATGCATGAGCGTAAATCCCGCAGGCAGCTGTGAGACACAAGCTGCCGTGCCAAGCGTAATCACTTTAGGCTCCTGTCCATTTGGCTGACTCATCTACAAGCTTCTGAAGCCCTCCTAAAATATCTCCACCTCTCGTTTCTTCTTCGTCAGGTCTGCTCGCCTGCATGAGTTTCAGGGCCTTGTTCTGTTTTAAATTCCCTTTCCGCTGATAGGGGTGAGTCAGGAGAGATGCAGATCACAACTGCTGCTTCAACAAACAACTTTTTATTTATTAAGCTGTTGTCTCGAATGGAATGAAGCTCTTGTTATGAGCAGAATAGGCCTTTATGAAGCTCCTCAGAAGGCCAAGGGTGGCTGCAGCACCACATTGCACCCTTGGTCTCATCCCTGAAGGGCTTGTTCTTGTCCAGGCTGTCCCTTAACCATGAGGGCTTGCAGAAGGATGTAGCCCAGTGGTCAGGGCAGCAGCACAGGGCACAAGGGGCTGGCAAAAAGCAGGTTTTGTGCCTTTGGGAAATATCTGTGTTCCATCTCCTCCCAGTCCATCCTGTCCCTGCCCACCGCTGTGATGAGCTGTCTGTGCTGCAGGGCGAAGTGGCCACCTCTAGATGTATTTGTACGAGGTCATGGATCACAAAAAGGGGTTATACCTGGGCTGACCCTCCAGGAGAAGCCCTCTGGCAGCAACCCTACACTCTCTGAGAGTCTGGGGCTTCATCTCTTTAACATTAAGCATACAAAAGTCTCAGTGTGAGGCTTGAAAAATGGGGCAAATTGGCCAACCTGGTTTAATTTATATATCTCCCAGGAGATCCTGAGTTGTAGCCCTGACCCTGTGCTGGGCAGAAATCTATGGCTAATTTTTTTCTTTCCACCAGTGTGACTCAATTTTGCTGTTTCTCACTTCTCAAATTGCTCTCAGGGGGAAGGAAAGGAGAGCTTGGGCTCCTGCACCCACCCCACCACCAGCTTCTCCACGCTGGAGCCTCTCCTTGGAGGCAGCCCTTCAAGTGGAGGCTGCTCTTTTACTCTTTCCTAACACCTTCCCCGTCTGATATTTCTCTTTACATCTTGTTTTATGTTCTTGCAGGGTTTAAAAGGCCTCCCGGGCATGAAAGGCGAAAGAGTAAGCAACAGTCACCTTACTTATGCAGCTCCTGAGGAGGAAGGCACCACTGTGGGGAGTCTTTATCGTGGAAAACTTGGGAGGGGGGAGAGACAATTTGCTCAGTGTGCACAAGCGTGAAGTGACATCTGCAGCCCCCAATAAGGACTGGGCTGAGATGGGGCCTAGGTGCTTGCTTTCTTTCTGCAGGCCCATTTTTTTGGTTGGTTGGTGGTTTTTGGGGGGGCAGTGGAAGGAAATTGGGGAGTTTGGACACCAAGGGACTCCTGGTGTACTCCGTTTGCATCCCCAAATGTGCAGGGCTAGGCTGGGGAGCAGCTTTCCTGTCCTGAAAAGCTGAAAAGTGCAGTACAGAGAAGAGCAAATCATTCAGTACAACATGCAAGTTTTGAGGGGGAAATCTGGGAAATCCTACGTTATGTAGGATGTCTTCCTACCCTAGATATAGCGTGGGCACATTTCTGGAGGCGTTATGTCCTGCTGGGAGGTGAAAATACAGGGACAGCTCCACACCATGGATGTGCTGAGCATGGAGTCAGCCAAACCACTCCAGTCCTGGATCTTTCTTTTTTCTTTTTTTTTTTTTTTTTTTTTTTGTTTATCATTGCAATAAATTCTGGTGGTGCGCAATCTCTTGCGGTAAGCTAATCATTTGGCCGAGTGCCCAGAGGAACTGGCTCCCAGCTGTGATAGATGTCAGTGTCTTGACGTGCAAATTGGTGGACTGAGCAGCACAAGAAGAGTGAGTAAAAAGGGAATCACTCACTGTCTTTTTTTTTTTTTTTTTCCTGTTTTCAGGGTGATCGGGGACTTCTGGGACCCAAGGGAGAAAGAGTAAGGACATTCCAGTTTGTGGCTGTCTGGGGCAGATGGGGTAAAAGGCTGCTAGGATTTTATAGTTACCTGTGAGCAGATGGACGTTTATTTTAGTGAGTCAGTGAACAGACAAGGTAGAGACATAAATGATAAGAAATACTGATGTGTGCTTTCAAATATCTGGAGGTCTTAGTGATGTTACAGGATTTGTAGGGTTACATATGGGGGAGCGTAGCCCAGCTTGCATGGGGTGCTGAGCAAGGATCCCAGCTGATGGTGTTCAAAGACTTCACATCAAAGGGGACTTTAAATCCTACCTTCAGTCCTCAGTGGGAACTGAGTAGTAAGCACCACGTGCCTGGATGAGGATCCCTTTGCCAAGGAAATTTGCAGAAATTGAGCCCACCAGTGTCTCAGAGCTGTACCATGTGGGGAACCGCTCCCTGGTGAGACCTTTTAAATTTAAAAAATAAAATAAAATCAGAGCTTAAACAGGACCTGTAATATCTGGTACAACCCCCACACAAAGCAGGGCCAGCTGCAAAAGCAGATCACACTGCTCATGTCCTCGTGTGCTCTTCCCTGAGCCTCTGCTCTGATGTTTGGCCACCCCCAGGGGAAGAAGTTTTTTCTTCTGTCTGATGGGTGGAACAACTGGTCCCTTCACTGTGCACCTCCAAGAAAACTTGGGGTCTGTTCTCTCTGCATTTTACACCCATGCAATGGGAGACAATGCTTAGATGTCCCCCTCCTTCGTGGGGTTCTCCAGTGGGTTCAATCCACTTTGTTGGTGTCTTCCTTGCCCTGTACGCAATGCTCCAGGTGGGGCTTGCACCATAGTTTTAATAGGATCCTACAAAAGTCATAACCAAAAACAGCAGAAAAAAAAAAGTCACTTCAGCAACTCTTTTCTGGGGCACAAAAATGCTTCCTGTGCTCTAAGGGAGGAAGAAAATTTCCACTGATTTTGGTGAACCAGCTCGCCCCAAAGCGTGCTGCAATCTTAAGCCTGAGTTGGCTCATAGCAGGTAATGCGAAAATAACACCCAGAGTGGTTCTGGAAAGTGCACAGAAAATGCTGAACTTCTGCCCAGTGTTTTGTTAACTTCCTTCCTGGATGAAATGGCTTGTTAGAAAATGAGTTTTAGAAAACCTACATGATGATTCTGCCTTTGAGTCATGCAGTATTAAATGATTATGGCCGATTTGTCTCTGAGGAGGCTACTTTCAAAAGGGACTCGCTCCAGAGACAAATCAATTCTTAATCTGCTTCGTGAGGAGGCCCCAAAACACCTCCCAAGATGAAGGAATGCGTAATCTGTTTTTCCAAAGAATACCTTAATAAAATATAAGGAGGAGTGTGAGATAAAACTGGAAGGGAGAGAGAGTTGGTTTGGGTTTGTTCTACATGATTGCAGCTCAATTTTCTTTCTAACTCTCTCTTCATCAATGCAGGAGTATCTGTGTGCATCTCAGGGCCAGTACCATATATTGGATTAAACTACAGCATGCTTATGCTTCCTTTTGTCCACAAAATTGATCAAGTCCATCCCCATCCACATTATAGATGCTACGGAGAAAGAAAGCAGGAGGGTGTATTAAGATAGAACTGGATCAGGGTCCCACAGTGATGGTGATGGTTATATAAAGATTGCAAAAGGCTGAAAAATATTATCAAATCTGGGGGAATATTAATTCATGCATGTTTGTTAAGACCCTAGCATCAATGCAGTCTCCCTGAACAGGGATATTTGTGATACTGAAGCGAGCTGGTGTAAATGGAGGCCTTTTCAAGAGGGCTATAATTGCCACAAAGGACTAGCAAGGAGAATTACCAGCCTGCAAGGGGTTAATTTATCTTTCAGGGGAATAAAAATGAATAAATGGGTTCTGTATGCTGCTAACAGCAATGGTGAAATATTAACAGGCTGCACTGAACATCCAAATCAGATGTAAAAGTCTTCCAAAGGCGAAAATTGCTCCTTTCTTCCTCTGTCCTGCCCACGGTAAAAGGGAATCACCTTCCCTACTGGGTCTGCCCTGTGTCCAGTGCCAAAACCCACACCTGCTGCACCTCCACGCGTCCTCCTAATAAATTAGGGTAATACCTAATACCCTAATTTTTATTAGGGTATGCTGCTGCACGCTGGAGGCAGGTGCACGCCGGCAGGTCGCAGTGCCCCGGTTTGAAGAATCGATGATGTTGAGGGTGTGGAGGTTATCCCATTACCCTGAAACCAGCCTTTTGCTGGGTTAGGATGAAACAGAAGTATTACCCTGTGACACGCAGCCTGCACAGCTACGGAAGGCTGTGAAAGACTCGGGTAAAGAAAATTTGTCTTAATCCCAAAGACCAAAATGAAAAAGCTTCTTAGGTAGCCTGCCATCTTCTCACGCTTGTCCGTATGCCCAGGGGCTCGGGTTGTGCCCAGAGGGAATTTTTCCAGCCAGGTTTTCCCTGAAGCTATTCGGAAGGTGGCTTCAACCCTCCTCCTTCCAAACTATGGGTGGCATCTCCTCCTTGGAGACACAACCGCTAATGAATATACTTGGCTCAGACATATCCATGGGGTTACTGCAGCCCTGTAGATACCAGGGTGGCACCTGGGGTGGCTGACCCTCAAAAACTACCTCAGAAGGATGGCCTAAGTCCCACTCACCTTCCTGAGCTCCATCTCTGTGCCCATAAAGGAGGGCACCCTGAGCCTTTGGCCAGGTCCTGCTCCTGGGAGGAGATGCAAACCTTGCCATCCTAAGTGACACGCAGGGATGAAGGAGCCAAGCCACCTCATCGGGGGTGAATTTGTCCCATCACAGATGGCCTCAGGTCAGGAATTGAACCTCAGGGTCCCATCTTCCCGTGCACAGCTCCACCTCCAGCCTTGACATCCAGACAAATGGGCCCCAACGTTTTCTGGAACGAGGTCACTGGCAAAACTCTTGGCTGTGAATTCAGGAATCACTGGGCATCTACATCTCTTCCATGTCTCCTTTCCCTAGGGTGATCCCATGACTGGTTTTGGACCCCAGGGCTATAAAGGCAGTAAAGGAGATCACGTAAGTTTGACTCTCATTGTCTTTTTAAGCTATCCCTTCCCCAGCATTGGTGACATCCACATAGGAAACAGCTTGGGACAACCACTGCAAACCAGCACTTTGGTCCAGAGCCAGCAGCGGAGGGCTGCATCCTTCCAGGAGAGAGGCACGACCCACTAATTTCTGTCTTGTCCTTCAGGGTGAACAGGGTCTGCCAGGTTTTGATGGAGACAAAGGCGAGAAGGGAGAGGATGGACCTGTAGGAGAAAAGGTAAGAGCATCCCAATGTGATTGAGCTGTACAAAAAAAAAAAAAAAAAAGGCACTGGCTGTGTGAGGAGGGGGCTATATGCAGATACTGTCTCTGCACCCTCCCTTCCCACGTTCCTGATGGGAAACAAGGTGCAAGGACACATTTGCCCACCTCTTCCCACAGACAGTGCAAGGATGCTGCTGGGCTGGTGCTTGGGGTTGTGATACTCATCCCGTTTGCCAGGTGTGGAGCCTTGTAGTTGTAGGACCATGTGAAGCTGGTGTTTGCAGTGTAAAACCACTTTGGGAGAAGTGTTCATTCAATTGCTGCAGCACTGAAGGGCCCCGTATCTCCTTCTCCCTCCAAGAGCTGGCCATGCTCCTTCCTTCAAATCCTGCAGCTCCTGGGGCAGTTTTAAGGCTCAGCCAGCTCCTCTGTTCCTGTCCAGAGCTGCTCCTCATGCAGGGCTGTCCCCCAGGGGGTGGCACAGCCAGCCACACACCCCTCTGGCTGTCTTTGCTCTTTGAGAGCCCCCCGTGGTGGTCTCAGGTCTCAGCCCATCACTCTGCTGGGAGGAATCGCACAACTCTCCCACTCTCAAACTGAGTCATGGATTAAATCTCCATATGCTAATCAACCCTATTTTGATATCATGTTAATGGGTTTTGCTCCAGAAGCCTGACCCAGGACAGGGACTCAGCTGGATAAATTTAAGTGTCTACAACAGCAGCATCCCTGTCTGAGCTCCTGTTACTTCCCATGGGCATAACTCCACAGGGCGGATTCAGGATGGGAATCACCTGAGCCAGAGTGGGCATCTCCTTTGTGAAAGGGCAGATCACCTCCTGGCACTGATTAGGTCCCCAGTGATGTTAAAAGAAACCCATGGAGATGCTCCCATGGGTGGTACCTGTGTTTTTGTCAGATGAAATCCCCCTCGCAATATCTGTCAGACTGCTCCCTAGTATGAAAATAATACATAAACATCTCCTAAAGACACAGCACCTTTGGGCTGAATACCTGAGATACTCTGGAGCCCCAGGGTAGTATCTCAAAGGTAGTATCAATTGTAGGGACTCAAAGGTGAAGCTGGCTCCAAGGGAGTCATGGGGCTTTTCGGAACAAGAGGACCGGTGGGACAGAAGGTGAGTACAGCGAGCACCTACAATAAGGTATCCTCTGCAAGAGGTGTAAAATCATGCATGAACTGATGTATAAAATTCTTTCATGGTTTCCTCGCAATAAAATTCTGTGCTCCCTCTTCAAAATTACTGCTTGAAATGTTATGGGGTTACCAGAGAGCAGAAGTTGTGCTCTGCCGGGAGAGCCCTAAAGATCCTTCCCATTTTATAAAGCACCTTCCCATTTTATAAAGCACCATCTTTCCTGGCGTCTTTCCTGGGTTATGACAGTCAGTAATGACTTTGCTGAAATGTCAGTATTTACATGCCAGGTATGAATTCCTGCCTAAGCTCCAGAATCAAAATGGAGATGTAGGGCTCCCTTCAGCTGCCCACCCAGGATGTTTAAAGGATCTTACATCCCAGCTGCTGCTGCAGAGGGTCCCTGACCCCCAAAGGTCCTCCTGTCTCCTCTTCCACAGCTGTAGGAATATCCTAAAGCAATCCCCATTCCCAGAGTGCGTGCATCTCTTTCTCACAGTCGCTCATCACTGCTTTCCTTGCAGGGGGAGCCAGGAGCACGAGGTCTGCCAGGCTCTGCAGTGAGTTGGAGCATATTTCTCTGCCTTTGGGATGCTTAAGCATGGAGTGGGGTTGGCAACACTCCTCCTCACCCCATGGCTCTCATATGGGTCACTGGGGAGGTGAGGGGATGGCCACTCAGTGTTGCTCCACAAAGCTCAGCTTCAAAGAGGCTTTGCTGGAAAACCAGCCATGGGCAGGGGGGGCAACACCAAAGGTAAGTTTTAATAGGAAGTTGCATTTTTTTTGCATCAGGAGACACATGAAACGTGTGTTTAATTATTATTTGTAATGCCTTTAGTACTTTAGGGAGCATTGCCAGACACAAACAGGCAATGTTTCATGTTCAGGTGGTTATGAATTGTGACCATAGGTTGTGTATCATATGAGAAATGTACAAATCCTTGAAAGACTCAACTACAAGTGGCTATTCCCAGTGCTTAGTGGGCACTGCTGCTGACCAGAGGGAAAAGAGTTATGCTGGAGGACCTGGGTAGTACATCCTGATTCCTGGCAAATTGCAACTGGGGAAAAAAAAATAAATATACTGCTACTACTAATAATAAACTAATTTTGGTTTTGCTGCAATGTTTTACAAAAGTGTTTACATGCTTTACAACTTTGCCATTTCACCTGGAGGAAATCCTAAGGTTAAAAAAAGAAAAGGAAAAGGAAAAAGAAAAGGAAAAAGAAAAGGAAAAGGAAAAGGAAAAAGAAAAAGAAAAAGAAAAAGAAAAAGAAAAAGAAAAAGAAAAAGAAAAAGAAAAAGAAAAAGAAAAAGAAAAGAAAGAAAAAGAAAAAGAAAAAGAAAAAGAAAAAGAAAAAGAAAAAGAAAAAGGTCTCCAAAGTTGTTCAAAGTGAAAAAAAAGTCACCACTGATTTGTTTTCATTGGGGAAAAGAAGGAATAGGACAGTAGGAAACACCAAAGGGCAACTAGTCATGGAAATATGAGCATGTTCAGTTGTTTCATTGCAACAAGAAATATTAGTATTTTCTTAACCTATTCCACTATTATGTCTCCTTGTGCATGAGCAGGTGGTTCTCAGCAACAGCCTGTTGCTGTAAAGGCTCCACGGCTGCTCAGCGCTGCCTGATGATTACTGGTCATGGATGTATGGGTATTTAAGAGTCCATAATCCAAACTGGTAATTGCTCTCTGAGGAAAAGGCCCTCATTCAAATAAGAATTTCATCTCCTGCATTGGTAGTACAAGTGGGAGAACAAGGATGGGTTTTGAGCAGCAAAGGAAGCTCAACTGGACTTCAGTAGGAACTGGCCATCCTGACCAGCAGCCATCCAGTGATGGTTGGGAGGTGTGCTGTTTTCTACTGGTACCCACAGGGGTTGTTGCATAATATAATTAACTACCAGAAATCGCTATCTTGACAATCAGTATTTGAGGAAAGCTACGTAATCCTTCTTTAGAAAATATCTGAGGATTTTGCTGGTACAGGGAACACTATGCTGTGCTTGGGGCTAGAATGAGATAACAAAGCTTGGTTTTCGTTTTTCATTAAATTTCTAAAATTGCAACTCTCACATCAAAGCTGGGGCCTTGACAGAGGAGCCTTGATATACAACAGCTTGGATGAAATTCATCTGACCTCCGGTTAGATGTCTGCCATGTTCGCTTTCCACATCTGAGCAGGCTGGACTCAGAGTGTTTTATAGACTGCTGTAGGGTACTCTTGCAGTGTGATTCACATCATCTATTTCAGACACCTGTGATGGGACATGACATCCTGACGTGACTTGTTCTCCACAAAACCAGGCTGGTGGTGTCTCACTTTATCTTCACAATGCTCACAGATACTTTGATTGTTTGCTCCTGAGTTACTCTGGAGTGGGAGGTTAGGCTGCCTCATCGATCATTCCTCAAGTCCTCTTTTCTCCTTCTCTTGAAGACAGATACTACTTGGTCCAGTCTGCCTGTACCCACTCATTCCTATGCAAAACCTCCAAAGTACTGCCTAGCAGTTCTCATTTTCCTTCAGCCCCCCCTAATTCCATCTGTCCTTTCTACAAATTTCCACCAACTCATTGCAAAAAACTTGCTTTCTGTCCTGCTGAATTCCCTCCCGGTTGATATCTGGGGAGACAAAAGTTCCAGCGCCGCCACAAATCACTCTGAATAATTTAACCAGCTTGTACAAAGTCTCATCCATTTACTCTTTTGATTTGATCTGCAGGAGTTCCCAACCAAGTGACAGTGTTTGTGTCTTCTCCCTGTAATCATTGCCTGGAGAATTTCAGTGGACCTAGATGAGTTTATAACTGGATCTCAAGGCAAATGAGTGTATTCTTCATATTCAAGACACCTCCTTTTTCCTCTTTTCTAAAAGCACTATGCTCTTTTACATTGATATTCCTGCCATACTTCATCCTTTAATATTAATACTTCAGACTGTGTTACATATATTAAGTTGTAGTCTTGATTATGTATTAAGACTTCCAGCTCCTCTTCTTTATGTCCCAGATGTAATTCATGCATTAAAATACCGGCAGATTAACCCATTATTCTCCTTAAAGCTCTGTTTTGAATATCCCTTGCCATTACTCCCTATTTTGGGTTTCCAGGATCTGCAGTTATGAGTGTTTCTGGGTCTTCTCCATTGTGGTGTGCAGTTTTCTTCATTCGGTGTACAAATAGGGTCCCTGAGTTCTTCATGTCCTCTTGTGAGCTGGGCTCTATAGTTGGCCAGCAGCCTGTGGATGCTCACCCTATAACTGAGGAAGCCAGGCCCCATGTGGTAACACCATCCACACAGCCATGTGCGTGTTCCCAGAGAGTCCCTCTGAAACTTGACTGGAGGGTGGGAGACCCATCAGACCCTTGGGTCTTCTGCTTTTGCTCCCACAACCATTTCTGATGTGCTTTATTCCTCAGTGCTCTGCAGGGCCTGAAAATGAAGCGACAACCAAGGCCCCTTCGCCTAGGCTGTGGTAGGTGTGGTGATACAGCACAAATTTGACTTTACCAGATTAATTAAAAGCCCTAGAGCTCTTGATATAGCTATTGAAGAGCTATTCAGGGTACCAATGTGAGGGTCCCACCTCACTACACCAGCTGCATGAGGACTTAGGTGAACCCTATGGCAGCACAGCTCTAAGGCCTGCTGAGCAGTGGGGCCACCTCAAGCAAGAAGTGAGGAAAGGTTGGGTGTAGACCTCTGTCCTGTGCTGGACAAGAGGTGCCCTGGCCACTTGTAGCATAAAGAGCCATCTTCTGAGTTGTTTTTGGCCCAGGAGGGTGCCCCGAGCACTTCTGATGAGTCCAAGGTGGCCAAGGAGAAGCCAGCCAGACCTTCCAGCCACAGGTGGAAATCTCTGCCCAGAAACCTTGGAGGCTTTGTGAGATGCATTACCTCAGAATTAATGCTTGTTACAGCCATGAGGACAAGCTGCTGCTTCCACACCAAGACAGGACAGGTATTTTTGGGGGGAGAAGGCTCCGGAGTGAAGCAAATAATTGCGGGCAGGATCGTCTAGGCACAGGACGCAGCAGGGAAGGGATAAAAACACAGCTGAAACTCTCAGGTTGAGACTCCCAGCTACTTCAGATGTATCATCCCATCAAATATTGAGCGCCGAAGCCCAGGAGGTGGGAAACCTTTTAGCAGAGGTAGCAGCCTACGCCATGGTTTGGAAATGCATTAGCCCTTTGATGTCTCTTCCCTGCTGCTTCCAACAGATTGCTCCTTTCGGGGTGCGATGTGTTTCTGCAGATGGATTTCATGCTTGCCCAGGGTGACCCAGCTAATTCCCCAGCTCCTCATCTGAGTGGAGACAATGAGCCTGGTGACGACACAGGCTCTTCCCTGGCTCCAGCCCAAATCTTCGCAGGAATTTGTGCCTGGAAGCAGAGATCCTCGGCTGCTCAAAGGCATCTTTGCGTCACGGCCAGCGCTCGGGACTTATGACTAAGCCTCTGCGTTGCCGTGCCTTCATGGTACCTGGTGTCTTTGCGGTTAAATGAAGCCTGTTCCAGCAACGCTTTAATAACAGAACCAAACAGCAGAAGCCATTTCCAGTATTCCACCATTAATTGCCTTTAAACTGCCATTTTACTAGCTTTTCTTGCCCAGCCTTTATTTGCCTGGCAATACACAGAGTGTAAATCTGAGGGAACAAATTTCCATTTGGCTTCTTTCCCTTGCCCACTGCCTGAACATTTTTCCTCTTCTTCTTGTTTTTAAATCCTCTTCCTTCTTGACCCTTTCAGCCATCATTTTCTTTCCCTGGGTGTAGACGGCCTTGAAAAGCATCATCTCTCTGACCCCAACCTCTGAAGGGAGATTAGACCCACTGGCATGCCCAAACCTGACTAAAAAAAAAAGCCTTCTAGCATGTATGATGAAGTCTGTTCAGCCTGTCACAGATAGAGCAACTACAATGAGATAAGATTGAGGTCAAAAACATATTCACTAGATAAGTAGGCATGCCTGAGACCAGCAATTTTTCTGCCTACCCGTACGTATCGTGAGCTTAGCTCTTCTTGAATCCACCTGAGCTCCTTTCAGGCCCAGAGCCGTCACAAGAAGCATCCCATATGTTAAAGCTAACAGAAGAAATGAGAGCTGGACATGGGCAGATGTGGGAAACACAAGAAAAGACAGAAAGGTCTCTCTTTGACACAGGAGCCCCTCTGGACAAATAAATCCAGGTGCTGAGAGGACTATTAGAGCTAATTGGGAAATCACTAACTAGTGTCAGGTTCCTTCAGGCTCAGGCAGTGCTCAGGAATAAGCTTTAGCCCATCCTCACAGGCACAGGTGTATAAATCCCTGGCCAGATGGGTCTGTACCTAGTTCAAAGCAATCTGAAAAATGCCAGGCACTTGAAGGTATCCTGGGCTCTTGAGATTTAACCATTGAACCAAAAGGTTTATTGCCCTCCAAATAAGCAATCTGTCCTAGTAAACAGAAATTCCAGTTAGCTGTGTTTTTTATGGCCCATTTATTTCCTCAGCCAGAACTTCATATTGATTGTGTCAATAGATAGTAACTGGTAAATAAAGATCATGCATGAGATGTTCGTGCCTGATCGTGCAGGCAGGGCTTGAGGAGCATGGACTTTACCTCCTCCAGACGTGACCGGCAGAGCCATGGAGGAACACAAATGCTCTCAAATGCTCCTCTTACTCCAAAAGATAAAAGGTGCCCAGGCTTGGGGAGGGGTTTGAGGAAGCACTCCCCAGAGAGGAGATGAATTTTGATATCTAGAGGTGATGGGTCTTGCAGGCTGACCTGCTGGCAAGGGCAGCACCGTCCCACCCACGTATCTCTGGGATGTTTGCTTGTCACCACGATCACTGAGTTGTCCATTAGCCACTGAGAGGATGAGTAATGATGTAGCTGTTTGACATACAGATCTGGTGGCTGTTTTTTTTTTCCCTTTTTTTTTTTTTTTTAATAAACGTGCTTCCTTTCAATAACTTACTGTAAATTAATTCCAAGGAGATAATGTAACCAAGTAGACAATAATAACTTGTTCATCTCCTGATCTGCTTAAGCAGCCAACTCACTCTCCTCCAAGAGAGATGAGCCCTGTGCAATCAAGTGGGGCCAAATCCAATTTCACCTCACACCCAGGTTCTGAAAACTTCAGTCAAAAGCAGCCAGATTAGATAAATGGACTAGCAGAATTGGCAGCCTTGGGAAAAAAAAAAAAAAAAAAAAAGAAAAAAAAAAAAAGGGCATTTTGAGTAACTTTCAGTTTGCTGTTGGAACAGTGAGACCCCAGAGAAAGAGGCCCTAATGCTGGATGATGTTGATATCCCATGCTGAGCTAAGCAGCAAAGTGGTTCAAGGACCTCCAAGGTGTAGTGCTATGGTGGAGCATCTTTGCCCTTCATTGCGCACATGTTTGGGCTGGATGAGGCTCTCTTTTCTGGCTCCAAACTCTCCAGGTGGGAGATCTTCTCCAAACTGCAACTGTGAGCAGCCCCGTGCTCAGAGCTGCTCTCACCAAACAGGGCCGTCATTCACCAAACTGAATTTCACTGCTGAATTTCTGCTCTGCTCCACTGGTTGGGGCTGAAACTGAGCTGCTGACCCAGTGCCCAGGACTGTGGGCATTCCATGAAGGAACTCACACAGCGTGATGCTGCCTGCTTATACCCCTACCTCTATTTTCAACTTCAGCCATCACCACCTCAGTTTTCTTTCTTCACACGTGTGGCTTGCAGGTTTGTGAAAAATGGGTGCTAAACCCCAGCCTTGTGTCTCAGTGCTGGTTTTAGGGTGGCTCCTGATCTCTGACCGTGGCCATGTGCCACCTGGGCTCTTACTATTGAGTTTCTATCCTGAAGACTCTCCTCAGCCACTGCCTTGCTAACACAGAAATTCATTTTGCTCCTCTTTGGCAGGGTGCAGCAGGCCTCGATGGGAGGAACGGAAACAAGGGAGCCAAAGGTGACAGAGGTCTTCAGGGACAGAAGGGGAAAGCAGTGAGTAGCAGGAAAGGATGCGGTTCGTTTGGAAGGCAAAAAGAGGCTCCGTGGCTTTCTCACACCCATATAAGAAAGAAGTTTTCTTCACTGAGGGTGGTGAGGTACTGGAACAGGTTGCCCAGAGAAATTGTGTGTGCCCCATTATTGGAAACGTTCAAAGTCAGATTAGCTATGAGTGACCTGATCTAGTGAAGGGGAGTTGGACTAGGTGATCTTTAAAGGTCCCTACCAACCCAAACTATTCTGCGATTTTATGATTCCATGAACTGCAAATTTTTTAGGAGCCCCCAGTGGTTAAAAGGACAATATAAATGCAACTGATGCTATCATCAGAGCTGCATTCTTAACCTGTCAGGCTATGTATGATATATTTTTTTGTTTTGTTTTGCTTTCATGTAGGGAGATAAAGGTGATCCTGGGATTGCTGGTGACATCGGGCGGAAAGGAACAAAGGTAGGAGATGGGTGAGACCCTGCTGAAATCTCCGTTCATGGAAATACTCAAAAGCTGTGTGGATATGGTCTTGGCCAACCATCTCTAGGTGATCCTAGAGCAGGGTCCAGCAGAGTGGTTGGACCAGATGGCCTTCAGAAGTCCTTCCAACCTCGACCACTCTGTCATTCTGTGAAATAAACATTGGGACAAGCAGAGAAAAGAACTCAGACTCCAGGCTGGAGTGGGGCTGATGGGGAAGGATGCTGTGGTTAAGGGAAGCTCTTGCAGCACTACACTGGGACTAATCCTGTGCACGTGCAACATTCATCCTGTCTGCCTTCCCCTTGATTTAACATCATTGCCCATGATCTGCTTTCTTTCCAGGGCTTACATGGGCTCCCAGGACGCACTGGCACGCCAGGAGTCAAGGGCACCAAGGTGAGCTCAGCCCAGCTTTCCCTCCTGCTCTGGATGCCCCATTTCCAGGAGTGTTTCCCACTCATCCCCAGGGTAACATCATGCTTGAAGAAGCCACCCTAACTCAGGGAGAAGACCCTCTCTGCAGGCTGCAGCACGGAGAGATGTGGGCACAATCTGGGGATTGTCAGAATTGATCCCCAATTTTGGACAATCTGGGGTTAAAAAAAAAAGAAAACAGACCCTTCCTCACGAACCCCTGCCCAAATCCTCTCCTGGTCTGTGGCTTAGCAACTGCCTGGGCTCGATTCACAATTACTGCCAGGCACATCGCTCTGATTGTCAGCACTGCTGGTCCTTCCTCTATAAACAGGGATAATGGCCCTTAATGGTCTTTTTATGAAGGGTTTTGAAAAGCTTGATAAGAAGCAAGGGAGCGCTTGATATCTGAGCCAATGGGCTATGTTGTTATTATTGTTGTTATTGTTGTTATTGTTGTCCTTCATCTGCCTTGGCCTATTGGGTAAATTAAGTCCTACTCAGTGAATTGCCCACCTACTTTGATGTGGGTGGGCTTAAAGTCGGGGCAGCCTAAAGTCTATATTGGTCTGAAGTAGGAATTTACATTAGTCTGAAGTAGGAATTTACCCGTATTTAGGCTTTCTGTTACCAGGAATGTCATCATGTCCATGCCCTCCACAGCACCACTTACCCACCTTGCATTTTGAAGCTAGTTTTCCACATATTTTAGACACTGTATGTACTCACAGCTCATTCACTGCTTTTGCATCCACAGGGGGAAATTGGCAGTCCTGGAAAACCAGGAATCCCAGGATCAGATGGGCCATCTGGACCTAAGGTGAATAATTATATTGCACATCTGCCTGCCAAATAGGAAGTTTCCTAAAAGCTTTGCAGATGATGGGATTTCACCTTGGCAATGTGCTTATTTCCATGGGAAACAAACAGGACTATTCCTAATCTGTTCCTACAAGCCAGCATCTATCTGAGTGGAGATGCTTGGACATCTCGGAGGTGGGGACCTCTTCTCTTGCCTCTGCAAGACAGCCAAATTCACCCACCCAGCCCTGAAGCTCCTCAAGCAATATTGCACATGCCAAGCACTGGGGCTTTTTAATGAGATTTCTTTAAGTCACCTTGAGTACAACACAGCCTGAGAGACCCTGATGGGGTGCACTCAGTAAATAACATTGTAATCTGAAGAAAAACAGGTTTGTTCAACAAATGCAACCATGCTAAATCTGCATTGGCCATGATTTTATCTTGGCTCCCAACAGGGCGAACAGGGAGCATCAGGTGACAACGGTGCCATGGGGATTCCTGGGGAGAAAGGAGAAAAGGTTAGTGCTCGCCACACTGCATCGAGCTGCCATTTTTTAAAGAATAAATCCCACATCCATCAGGTTGAGTTAACAAAATTATACACTTTATGCATCATAGGTACCCTTTCCAGAGGGCAAATGTCAACTGTCTGGAGCACTGAGGTTGGGATTGCAGGTGGAAAGGGCAGGAGAAGGAGGTCTCCTTAAATTCACCCTCTGCTAATGCATGAAACATCAAGGCTTATTGCACTTTCCAGCCCCTTCTTGCATTCAGCTCCACCATTTGGTCCCAAAGTTTTTTGCTTTTATTGATAAGTGTTGTGGTCCCCACCCCTGATGGTCACCTGTGTCAAATACTGTGAGTCCTTCTCTTGCCAAGCAACACCCCTGGCTCAGTGAGTTTCTGAGCTGCAAATGGTTGGAGGCTGGGAGATCAAGATATGGATGAGAAGCAGAAGGAAATGAGAGAGAAAATTTTGTGTCCAGAGGAGCTGGACAGGCTCTTATTTTTGCCTACATCAGAAATCCACCTTTAGCTGGGTCTTGCAAGCATCTTGCAGGCATCTCCTCCCGTTGTGTTTTAACGGGAGACTTTTCTGTTCACCACAGCTCCAGGAGAAAGCTCAATGGTGCAGATAAGTAGGAAACTTACAGGCCACCTCTTGGTGCCTCCCTTTTTCCTCCTCAGCAGTCATTGGCCTTTCTGGGGCTACAGACTAAAAGACTCAGTTTATATGTAAAAGGGCAGTCAGGCTTTAGAAGTTTTGGGGTATCATCCTGGAGATGTCCATGTCACCAAGCAGGGAGGTTCCTCTGGAACAGAAATGGTAGAGAGCAAAACAAAATTAATCTCAACCATCCTACTGATGCTCTTACTATGTGAACAGACAAAGGAGAGTGTCCAGGGTCTCCCTTTATTGCCAATGTTCATGGAAGTATCTGGGAAATACTTGACTGGCCCATCTCTAAAATCACCTGTGCTTGATAAAAGCTCTGAACCGCTCTCTCTTGCTGATTCTCAGGGGGCCAAGGGAGTTCCTGGCTTGGGAGGCTTCAAAGGACAAATGGGGTGGCCTGGAAAGACTGGAGCTGCAGGACCAGATGGACCTCAAGGGCCCCAAGGCAAACCAGGGCCACAGGTGAGCAATAAGTGTCATTATCATGCTGTGAACCCTAAGGAGATCTGGTGTGAGGATGGCTTGAATGATAAACTCTAATATGCTGGCTTCCAGGAGAACTAATTTTATCCTTACCATTGTAGCTATATCATAAATCTATTGATAAAGAAAAATCCTCTCCTCCCAGCTCCCGTTCAGCCAGGTCTGGATCTCCCACAGTGGGCAAACACCACCATGGTCCCTCTAGAAAACCCTATACCAGAGCTGGTGGGGCTGCCCTAGCAAGGATTCACCCACAGGCACTCTCCTCCAAGAACAGGATGCTCTGGACCTCATGGATTTACCTTCTGTGGGGAGCTCTGGTAGAAGTCCCATCCCCAGCTGCCCTCCAGATCATTGCACCTCACATCCTCAGTATGACATAGCACCCCAGAAGTGTCCCCCCTGTGCCACCATGCGTACATACATGCCCCCCTCTCACCCAGATTTCGGAGGGGTCTTGGTCAACTTACTTCATCTTGCGATGCATTTATCACCAGAGATATTTTCTTTCCTTTCCTCTCTCCTTTTCCTATCTGCAGCATAAGTGGTGACCTCTGAATGAAGAAAGGAAGGCTGATAATTTCACGTTAGCGGGGCATCGAGTGCACCCCTCCTGTTGCTAATTATCTAGGGAGCAGGATGCCAAAGTTTCGGAAGGAGCTGGTGGCTTTCAAACCCCATTTGTGGCCTACGCTTAATAGGTGTCTTTGCATGCAAGACATGCTGGGCACCTTTTGAAATGTAACAAAAAGACTTGGAAATGAGACATGCTAATACTGTTTATAAGCAGGAACATGCTGCCCCCAGATTCTATGGTAATGAAGAGTGTCTTGCTGCTGCCAACACAATGCAGAGGGACGACACTAGAGATTAATGTTAATCACCCACCCTTAGACAGCATCCATTAAGTAACGAAGAACTTTTCGACTGAAAGAGTACTGGAAATGAAAATACTCTTCTCAGTTGAGCATGAACATGAAAGAGCTGAGAACAAAAGAAAAGCTGAAGTTGGGCAACTACCTGAAAGACCAACTGCATCCCACCAGACATCTCAGGGACAGCCCTGTTTTAACTCCTGCAAGGCTGGCAGATATTTGGCAGACATTAATTGATCGATATATCCTTATAAAAATAAGCTTAAGGACTTAATGCACATGTGTGTGTGTATTTATATGTAGATATCGTGTGTATGCACATCCATGCGTTGTCTGTAAAACACTCGAGTTTGCTGCCAGATGGGAACTAGATTGTGCTGCTGTTTGGAAATGAGGAAAGGAGGCAGAAACCCTGGCAGGGTTTTCCTCTGTTATGCCCTGATGAATTTTTTCAGCCAAATAAAGCATCTCTGATGGTCAGTGAGTGGCCTTTGCCAAGAGCACATTTAAAGGATGTAGAATGTAGCTGCTGTGTAGCTGCATCTGACTTTACAGGTCTGTGCTGGTAAAGATACAGCAGTGGGAATTGCTCTTGCTGTCAAGGATGGAATTTGGGACAGTTCAGACCCAGTTTGGTGTGAACTTTCAAATAAATCTGGACCTCATTAGATCAGCTCTCCTGGGCCCGACCAAAGGTCTCCCTTCCCTAGAAAGCCTTGCAGGGCTTCAGAGTCAGGTGGTGTAAAGGCATCTATATAGGTTTTGTTGATTATTAACCTAATTTTCACCCTACACAGAGAAAGAGCAATGCATTTGGGGAAAGTCTGTACCCACAGGGTGGGCAAGGTGTAGGACCCCCTCTCTGAAACACTAAAACAGGGACTAAAACAGCCTCATACCATAGCAGCAGCATTCTTCTTCTTTTCCTTGCTCCCCAGGCTCTACCTGGCAATGAAAAATGCATCAAAATAATCATACAAGGGTGGAAGTAGCCAAAAGTACAAGCTCCCCTCATGTATGTTTAAAAGGCAGGAAGTTTTTATGTTAGCACTCACAAGTGGTGAATGCTCAGAGAGCCATGTGAGAGATAATAAATGGCTTTTGTCTGGACACTGATTAAAGAGGGACTGTGAGATGCCGCTTCCTACACCCACACTGCTACTTGTCTTTTCCCTAAATTAAAAGAGAAAGTCCCTGGGTTTGAACCGCAGCGAGGCCACCCCCGTTTCTGATGTGGGAGGGCGTTATCTCAGACTGCAAGCCCTTCTCCTCCCGCTGAGGCTCCCTTTCTTAAATTAGTGCCGAGACAGAGAGCTGGAGAGAGAAAACTGCCTTCTGCCCCACAGCACCCGTGCTTTCTGCAGGATGGGACCATTGGAAGCTCCTTGTGGTTGCCCATATGGGCTCTGACCGCTCACTATTTGCTCCATTTGGAGAGCATCTGAGATCCAGAGAGCTCTGAGTACATTCTCCTACCCATGCCCAAGTTGGGTTTTAGGGGGAAAACCCCAAGCTGTGGAGCATGGGATCTCCAGAGGTTGCTCAGGCATCACTAACTGAGCTCTCCTCATCCTCTCCAGGGCCCACGAGGAAGAAGAGGGAGACCTCCACTCTGCCTCAGAGGGCCCCCGGGCATGGACGGGCAAAAAGGAGCAGCGGTCAGTATGGGGGTGATCCTGCTGTCCTGCTGAGACCCCACTACCACCCTGCAGCAGGGCTCTGCATTAGGGCTGGGTGAACCCTGGCTGCCCTAGGTGGGGTTTCTTGGCCCTCCAAATTTTGCAACAGCAAGAGCACAAAAAGCTTCTCTGGGAAAACTTTGGGCCAGCACATCCTCAGCTGTGCTTGGTAGACCAGGAGACCAATTGGTAGACCAGTACTCAGTGCAGTACTTCAGTACAGAGGGGTAATGCTCAGCCTTTCATTGCTCATCAGAGAATATAATCAAGAGCTTAATTTCAAGATACTGACCTGCAACCCATGTCCCAGATCAGTCCCTACATGCTTCGGGCCCTACCAACACCAACTCACAAGATTTTTGCATCAGGAGGTGGCATTGCTTTACCTCCCTGTGTCAGTGGAGGGTAATGTGATTTCTCCCCAAACTCCAGCACCTGTAAGCAAGTAGGGAATGAAAAAAATGACCATCAATGTTTTAATTTAGGTCACTTTTCCCATGTTCCTTTTCCTTTGATATTTTTAAGTATACGTAATCAACAAATCCAGTTCTCACCAGCTATGAGCACAAAAATTTTCTTTTCAGAAAGCCCTGTTGGCAAAACTCAGCATCTCCCCAGTGCTGGGATTGCAAACCTGGCTTCCATCTTCTGCGTGGTCTGGTCGGGGTTCCCAGAGGTTCCCTGGAGGCCAGATCCTCTCCACATCCTCCACCTCAGCCTTTGTGGTCCCTTACATATTCCAAAGAAACCTGCCTTAAACCGTAGCTGGTAACATCCTTAAAGCCCTGCTGCCTTGTTATAAGTTAGAGGAGTCACACAGCTCTTCAAACTCAGTGGGAAAGCAAAAAAAAACAACCCCAAAAAAACTGTGAGCCTGCACCCAGCCCTCTGAGACACACTTTTGTTCTTGTTTCCCCGCACACGGATGAGACCGTTCCTTCCAGCTTAGCCAGCTACCCACCGATATCCCTTAAATTTATGGGAAAACATGTGAGCATTTTTCTCCATCTCCATTTCTAGAGCATCCTCTCCTCACTAAGGTGCACTTATTCTTGGAGCATTTAATGGTCAATCTACTGAGCTTTTGTAATGACTTAAGTGTTTTTAACAGGGTGAAAATGGGCCGGCTGGCCAGAAAGGAGAAAAGGGAGATCCTGGTCTTTCTGTGAGTACTTTAGTCCAAGATGACATCCTATTACACAGCCCTGAATAGAGAAAATAGGACAAACTGCCCCTAAGAGGTGTAGAGAAGGAGGGAAATGGTGAGAACAAATTCATGCAGAGAATATCCAGGAAATGAGAGTGTTGGCCATTACCCAGAGACTTCAGATAGGCACGAGCTGGGGCAAAAGCAATGCTGGGCAGTCCAATGCCAAGTCCAAGCAATGACCAGGAGTTTGGGGCACAAAATTTGTCACCCCTACAAGGTGGAGAGCCCATCTCTGTCGGTCAAGCCTGCAGTGTGATTTCAGCAGATCTGTGATGCAGATGGGCTGACAAAGCTTCTCAAAGGACATCTGAGGGACCTTGACTCCAGGGACAGTGCCAAAAGGGTGCTGGTACTCACTGGAAAGCCAGCCTGGGCTTGAGGTGTCCCCACAGTCCTCATGGCTGGAGATGTCTGTTCCTCTGGACAAGAAAGAAACCATCGCTAGGGGAATCATTTTCCTGATAAGCCAAAAAAATGAACCAAGGTCCCTATGACACCAACATCTTGGCCAAACCGAAGTGGAGGTGGCCAGAGACCACCTCTGGTGGGGCAAGGGGAGTCTGGCTGGGATATAAAGCAGAGGGAGATGGAGCCTGGGTAGAAAATCTCCTCTAACCTCTGCTTTTCCCCCTGGGGCACAGGAGGAAGAGGTGAAGGAGGTGGTCAGGAGCGAGATGAGAGGCAGATGCGGTAAGTCGGCTGGCGAGCCGCGCTCGGGGCCACGGCTCTGACATCTGCCGGCGGCTAAATTGGAGCAATTTGAGCACCAGCACATGCTCGCCCGGCAGAGCAAATATCACCCCATTAGCAGCCAGCGGAGACGTGTCACCTCGCCAAGCTCGGAGACGAGCACGGGTTTCTGGGCCCTGGGGTCTCTGTCGTGGCCCTGACCTCCTACTCAAACTCTTAATATTTTTTTCTTCAAACCCTCTGTCTTCCCATTTTTTCCCCGGTGGTTTTGTCAGTAAAGGTTTCCTCACCGGTCACCGTTTCCCTGCTGATCGGTGAAAGACACTGGGTCACGAGGGGAAGTTTGGAGCCGCATTTTGCCAAATAACAACCTTTTAATTCCCGTCTACTTCGTGGTGCTTCTTGACACACAGACCTCTCTTCTGCAGCAGTGAATAGCTGCCAAGCAGGGCCATGGCAATAACAAAAAAAAATGTGGAAAAAATACATTTGGAGTTGGTTTTACCCCATAATCCCCACATCAAAAGGGTTTTAGGGTTTTGTGGTCTTGCTTTTCTTGCTTAGCTTCCTAAGCACCACTCATGTCCCTCTCCCTGGAGCCTTCCTGTGGCCAAAGAAGGTTTGGGTTTGCCCCCTTGCACTTGCCAAGATGATTAAGCCAAACAAGTGCTTGTTTCTGTCTAGAGATATTAGGAGGTGTTTGAACGCTTTTCAGGGGTAAAAAAAATGGAAAATAATCCATGAAAGCATGTGCTACCTGTAAAAATAATTATTTTATTGGAAGAAAAAACTGCATTTCCATAGGGAAGGAATAAATAGAGAATAAACTTTGCCCTATCTTGTGTTTACAGATTGTGGAGGTGAGTTGGGAAGGACGCTTGTGGAAAGGGGTAAGGCTACTAATACAGAAATGCATGTGAATATATAATATATATATAATACATATATTTCTAATATAGAAATATATATTTTTAATATAGAAATGCATGTGAATGTGCACTGGAGTAAATAGGGTGTTCTCCCTACCCCAAACAGTCTGAAACTGTGAGTGAAAAGATATTCATAGATATTCAAGATATTCATGACCCTGGATCACTGAATGCTTTTAGACCCTGGCTCCTAGAGGGACTTTTTTTGAGGGAAAGATGAAAAAACAAGGTTAAGAGGGACACCAAGAAGTCTCCTGCTTCCACTCTGCACTGCAAGACAGAATCAAAGCTATTCTTGACAAATATTTCCAACACCCAGATGTAAAAGCTACAGCCACAGGAACTCCTCTCCATACCCATGAAACAGATCCTGTTATTCCACCATCCCAAACCCTTAACACAATAAGCTTTGGTGCCTGTATTGTGGGTGTCTATGTGCCATTTAAGCTCCCACTTTAGGGACCTAATGGTTATGGTCCATGGAATATGGAGGGCAAATCTGCTGGTACGGAGGTAGACCCATTTGGTCAAGGATTCAACCTCTCTTTTTTTTTTAGCCTTCGTAGCACATTGTTTTATAGTATACAAAAGCAGAGCATTTCACAAAGCTGAGACTTTCTAAAGAGAGAAATAGGTCAAGAAGCAAATAGCTGGGATACTTGGCAGCATCCTTGCTCTGGACATGAGGAGCCAGTACAATCACAGACACACAGCGTAGCTGGGAACTCCCTTGGCATGGGACATTCCTAATTACACCAGACACAATATAGCTTTTTCTGGGCTCTGTTTCCCCTCCTGCTCTGTATTTAGAAAACAAATCTGTCAGGGTAGAGAGCATCTCTCCCTGGTGTCTTTCCATGGCCCCGTACCTGGGATCCTGCCCTTGCACCTGCCTCCACTTTCTCCTGCAATGCTCATAAATCACAACAAATGAATCCTGCACAGTGAATGTTCTTGGACACAGAAGAATTCATGCTCCTATAAAAGACAGCCCTTGCTGACGTGTTTTGCATTCATGACTCAGGTTCTACCCAAGGGATTTGCCTGTTATCCAGCTGGTCAGTCCTTCAGCCAGGAGCATTTGGTCCTCTCTCCATTACTCCTGTTCAGAGCATCATTTAGACATAGCTCTACATTTACAAAGGAAAGCAAAGCTGCATCAAAACCACAGTGGACATACCACAGAATATTAACCTGGGATGGGTTTGATCTGCTGGCCCAAATCTCTTCAAAACGTGTTTCTGGGTTTGCACAGAAAAGCTCCACCAGATTTGCCATCCTGTAACCTCAAACACTGTACATACATACAGCCAAAACTCCTAAAATATCATACATAAAGCCAAAACTCATAAAATATCTGCCTCACTAATGTGCCTGCCAGCCCAGTCCTGGTCAAAATCCCACCTGTCCCACATTTATCCTTTTTTTTTTTCCTTAGTTGGCCTCATCTGAGAAGACCGCAATGCCCAACATTTTAGTGGATCCACCCCATAGAGATGCTACAGGTCCCACAGAATTTAATTATACAGGGGGCTTTGATCACAGCTCCATCCCAAGCGTCACTGCAAATGTGTCCATGCAGTGCCTGTGGTGATCCCAAGGAGTCCCACCACACTGGTTGGGAACTGCTTCCTTTAAAACCAGCTTTTAGTCTGGATAAATTTAGTATATCCCCCTGCCTTTGTTGACAAGACAATAGACAGCATGATCTGCCCCTAAGTACTTGACTTTCTCAAGAGTATGTGTGATTTGGGTATGGTTTCCTACCTTGGTCCATGGTCTGGAGGTTATGGCCAACAGAACATGGCATTGTGTTGAAAACTACAACTATTTTTCCAAGCACGGGGGGGCTTAGCTGTAAAAACCATCATGCCAGATTTCATCCTCACTGACCCAGCAATTAAATCCACAGGCCTGGAGGCAGCTGAAATCAGCAGGCAGCTCCCAGGGTATTCTGAGGAACAGGAACACCCCGGAAGGGATGGTGAAAGCCAGGAAGAAATGCTCAACAAAACCCAGAGCATGACCACGTTAGCAACATTGTCGGAGCCCTTCATGGACCCTTCACTTATTGCAGGTAAGTGCAGCTGCCTGGATGCACGCTGTCGGTCTTCTCTACCACAGAAATAATGCTTTCACCTCTCTTAGAGCACACCATGGACCCTGTGCTAAATCTCTATCATGGACAGTGGGCAGAAAGGAGGCAGGAAAGGGATTTCCAGCAAGGGCTCCTACACAAAATCCCACGTGCTGGACAGGGCTGAGTTGTGGTTCAAAGCCAAGATGATCCAATGCTCCTACAAAGGGCAGCAGATGAGGGAAAAGTGGCCCCAGTGATGACTGCCACTTTTGAAAGGACATTCCTAAATTCTGGAAGGAGGCAGCCAATGTTTTCGGGCTGATTTTGTCCCACTCACGTCCTTGCAACTTCTAGTAAAGCTTCCTACCAGCCAGAAATTACATCTCTGAGACCAAACACTTCAGCTATTATGGACTATTTCTGTCCAGGGCCTCATGAACCATTTAATGGGTAAAACTTCTGATTACAGCTAATGGGAAAACAACCAGCTCGATTTGTCTCTCTTTGTGTTGCCCAAGAGAGGGGGGGAGACAGAACAGCCAAGGACCTGCTTTGCAGATGCACATACATGACCTGCCCATACATAAACACCAGTAGGTCTATGACATCTCCTCATCTACCTGTGCACCAGCCTAGTGGGATTGGCCACATTTTTAGGAATTATCAGTCTCCCCAATAGGATCTGAAGCAGTGCTGGGCAGCTGAGATGCAGCTACTATTTGGGGAGGATGAACAAGCTGATGGGGTTGTTCCCCAGGAGGCTCCAGGACCACATTGGGATTCACTGGGATGGTATCCTGGTGGAGAAGCTCAGGAGATGAGTCAGATGGACACGGGGAAATCCATTAGCGCTTGGCTGAGAATGGCCAGCTCTTCAGGAAGAGGATAGGACGGGGCAGTTTTAGCTGCATTTCCAATCACCCAACCTTTCTTCTGACCGTGAACCATGGAGTGAGTCCCTGGGGGACTTCTTGGTCCAGCCAGCTCACCAGCTGGCCAGCCAATACATCAGCAGGCCGATCAGCTCTGCTACTTTGGAAAACGTTAAAAAATAAATTAAATAAAAGTCACATTGCACTTTTTTAACATGCGAAACCCCCGATGTTACATAATTTCAAACCTCAAAACAAGTGGTAGCCTGTAGAGGCCAGTGACTGCAGTTTAGATATGTTCACTTTTATTACACTATGGCACTTTCCCTGAGCTTTGGGATGCGTTTTAAGTCAAACCCATTGACAATGACCCCAACTTTTCGCCCATATAATCTGCTCAGGACCAAACAAACCCTCCCGAATCCAGCTAAGCCTGAAGCCAGCCTCCAACCATCCCTCAAACTCTCACCTAGCCTCTGCATGGCACTGCGAAGACGTCATCCATCTGGGTTTAAACTCACTTTATACCAAGGCAGCATTCGGGATCTGGGCGGTTTCAGATCGATGGAGCGTACCACGCGTTATCGAATCACAGCTGCCGCCGTCGCCAGCCGACAATCCCATTAAAGCCCGGGTCTGAGGCAGGAGGGCTCATAAATCGCTCGGCTAAGTGATGAGTGCGGATAGGCGCTCGAAATGTTAACAGGATTCTGCAGTCGGAGGGTTATTACCGCCAGATTACAATCGCTCCTGGCTTTTCAAAGCTCCCAGATTTACAAAACTCCGGCCTGACATTTATCTCCCGCAAACAACCTCAAATACTTCCATTTTCTCTGACTAACACCCAACCTTTTTGACTGAGTTGTTTAACACCATTAAGAATTTTATTGCCGCCGGTTCCTCCCCCCGCCTCGCCAATCGCTTCGTGACATTTATTAAGAGAACTTGTTAGCCGTTGGAAAGCCATGCAAGGCTCCGGTGATCAATATTTAAATTATGGCTAATTTGTTTGCGTGCCCTCATTATGTGTAATTTCCATTTGCTTCCCCAGCAGCTTCCAGCGTGCGGCAGATAACGGGGCCCTCTCTGCACAAGCGCCGAGAAGCCCACAGTCAATTACCAGGTGAAATACGCTGAATTAAGTGACATTTAGGGAAGTCAGCTCCCTAAATGCTTTCTGGCCTTGAGATCAAGGGGATGTGGGGCTGAAAGTGTTACACGTTCCAGCACACAGCGGCTCCAATCTCAGATTTGAGCTCGCCTTAAGGCAGCTGCATTTGTCCCCACCCCAAAAAAACACGGTGAGATTCCCTTGTGCAATGTCCCCTAATACAACCATCACTACAAAGACCCCCACCCCAAGAAATGGGGGTTCATTGCCCCCATGCAAAGCTCAGAGACCTCCTTGATGGGCAGCCAGTGCTGTGGAGCAACAGGGAGCTTTGTGCCCATCCCACTATTGGAAACCCACTGCCAAATGCCCACCGCTGGTCCTTGCTGCCCCCTTTCCTCCTCCAGCCCCATTTTTTGGGGTGAGAACCCAACCAAAGGGCATGGGCAGCTCTTGCACCAGCCCCATACATTTGCCCAAGGTGGAACCAGGGTGGCTTTTGCCCACCCGGGTCCCTTACCTGAGTGGTGTTGGGGTCTCCCTGCAGCCCCCTGCCTGCAGCCGATGGACGAGGGCTCCTGCCGGCACTACGCCCTGCGCTGGTATTTCCACCCCGCGACGAATTCCTGCCGACCCTTCATCTTCGGGGGATGCCGAGGGAATGGAAACCGCTTCGAAAGCAAGTGGGAGTGCGAGCAGCACTGCAAAACCTCAGCAGGTGAGGCAGCCCCTGGCTCTCCTATCCTCCTCTTCCTCAGGAGGAAGCAGGAAAACCCATCTGTGATCCATCCAGGTGCCTCTCTGGCCTCTCCAGCCACCAAGGACTTGGGGCTGAGTTTGAAGCTGGAGGAGCTGCCTTGGTCTAGCCCAGCTTGTGAGCAGTCCCGAACATCCCTGCGTGTGTTTCATGTCTCACCAAGGGTTCAATGGGCAAAACTCACTCCTGGAAGACCAGTTGGGCTGCTGTTATGTGATGTAGGCTTTGGAGGGTTGGTTTTCCTGGTTCTTCCTACTCTCCAGGCACATGGCAGCGTGCCACAGGGGAAATGGGCTCCTGCTGGCCCTGGCAGTAATGCAAACACCACTACTGCCGAGCAGGGCATGAGCTGAAACACTTTCCTAGAAAGACATCCCTCCCTCAGCCTTTTCTCTGAGTGGAAGAAACCCCTCTGGGCAGCAGGAGAAATGCATTAGCTCTCCACAATAAATTAAAAAAAAAATACTGGTGAGGTTTACCTGCTCTGTCTTCAAAGGCATTTTATGAAGACAAGGAAATTAAAGGTGGGGATATACACGTTCAGGTCCCTTTTGGAGTTTTTAGGTGGTCCATATTTGGTTGGTTGATTTTTAGAACTGGCATCTGCTATACTTAAAAACAAGACCATTGCACAGGGTGTTATCATCCGGTTGAAAACTCCTGATAAGCAAGGGGTTTTGCACAGCCTGAGCTTCCTATTTTGTGAGGAAGAGGGCAGTGCAAATATTTGTTTATTTAGGACAGGCAATGCCACCCAGAGAGCTAAAATGTTCCTTGAGGAGTATGGATATGGCTTGACCAGCCAGGATGGGGAGATTGGCTGCCCCAGTGCAGCCAGAAGCCCTCTTTGCCCCTCACACAAAGGGTTGACATCACTCCTCGGGGAGCCCATCCTCATTTCTTGACCATGAGGACAGCCAAGGTAGACCAGTTGGCCCATTTCACCCAGTCACCACCCACGTTTGGTGGCCTGCCCCTTGCTATTTCCTACACGAGGGGCAGTCACTCTCAGGGCTCTAAATCCAGTCCCAGCAGCACTGGGTAAGAAGTAAACCTCTTTCTGGACAATGTGGAGGGTCCAGGCTATGAGTGTTAGGCCACAGGGTGGGCTTCCCAAAGCAGCTGCAGGTATCTCCAGAGCCACACCTGCACTCCCTCTGTGGGGACAAGCAGCTGCTGTGGAGTGGGATTCATCCAAAATTAGCCCAGGCCCCTGTGTCCTCCACATGCCCACTTCTTGCTGGCCCTAAAGAGTGTCCAGAGCTGGCCCCTATCGGGATAGTTGCTTTATGAGTACCTGACATGTCATGATATGACCAGGCAGAGACAATCCCATGGCGTTAGGGCCTCCTGAGCCAGTCCAGACGTGGGAGGCCCAGGACGAAGCCCAAGTTACAGCCAACCTCCAACATCCCCTTTGTTTCCTCTTTCCTTTCAAAAACCAGACCGAGGGAGGTGATCGGCTGCAATCCACGCCTAAATCAAAGGGAAACAGAGCTGTGAGAAGTGCCTCCAGAACATCTTGGAGACTGGACAAGTAAGACAACCCATTTAGCATGAAGAAGCAACAGAGGTTGGGGAAAAAAAAAAATCAAAAACTAATTATGAGCAGGAAACAAAGCGATATGAGGAGAGCAAAGCACCTGATTGCTCCGGAAAGCTTTGTCTGGAGGCTCATGACTGCACCGCTCTACTCAGAAAACTGCCGTGCAAAACCAGACAACGCCCACCCCCGAGTTTATTTTTGTAAAATAAAAGTGTGTTAATGCTGCTGTGTATCATCCGAGCTGATAATTCACGCGGAACCAGTAACCCTTTAAGAAAGGTTGATGGGAAGCTGGGGGTTTCCACTGCCCCGTGTCGTGGGCAGGCTGAGCCCCATCCTGGTGGCAGAAAATATTTTAGCTTAGCCCTGACCTCCTCAGGGCCTTTAGTGAGTCCCAAATTGTATGACAAGAAAAATAATAATTTAAAAAAAAAATGGATTTTAAACCAGGCCTGGCTTCTACCTGCAAAATGCCAGCCCCAAGACTTCAAGGTGTGTGGAGGTCCATTAGGTGGGAGGGTAAAGCTCAGGGTTTGGTGGCCACATGGACCCAGCTGAGATCAAAAACATCTCCAAGTGCACTCATGGGACAGCACGCCAGCCCCTGGAAGGGTCACAGCAGCTCAAACAACACAAATTTTCCTCCCAGGTCCTCAAATATTCAGAATTTGCCAGAAAAACAGCAGAAGTGAAAAGTTCTGCCTTCCTCACAGGTGAGAATATTGCTGCCGTGTTGCAACCAGGCAGGAAATGTGGGGTCTGAATGCGATGCTTCTCATTGCATCGTGTCTGCAGGGGTTGTGCTGGGAATTGCTTTTTTTCCCCCAAATGGCCTTGGTGGGACCGTTGTGGTTAGATGAGGGTTTGTGGTGGAGCAGGGCTGGAGGCGATGGCTAGGAAATTATCGGTGGGTTTTATTAAAAGTTTGGATGCTCATTTTGGTAAGACTGAGATCAGGTTTTCCTGGCTGAGCAGGGTTGGCTCATTGCTACCCTGTACAGGCAGTATGGTGTACAGGCAGAAGTACAGGCAGGAGCAGGATTCATTCCCTCTAAATGAAAAAATAAAAATTTAAATTTAAAAAAAAAAAAGGATATTGGTAAATGTTGGAAATGATACAGGTGCCATTTTCAGCCTCTCCTCTCAAAAGGATGTTTTGCATCAAAATGTATTTTGGCAGGCAAAAACACGCAGGTGCTGCATCACAGCAAAAAAAAAAAAAATACTCCCTGAGAAAAGAAAAAGTATTCCTGGCTGAGCAAAACACTGGCTGCAGGCTCACCCCACCCAAAAAATAATGATAATATTTTTTAAAAGGCCTTTTTGTGCTTCCAGGTAAGGCCATGGCATCGAGAAACAAGAATTTCTCATCGAGAATGAGCCCTAACAGAGTGCATGACCCCAGGTTCATCCATGACCCTGGTATAAAAATCTCTATTTAGGAGGGACATTGCCAAGGGGGATCAAGTTGTTGGGCTCTCACACTTTTCAGAGCTCTAAAAGAGCTGGGGGAAAGAGATTCAGCCATAGGAAGGGCTGGGGATGCATCCCCAGAAAGGTTCACCCACGTCGACCTGAGCTGGGACATCTCTGGTTGCAACCTCCCCGTGCCCCAATGAGCCTTCCTGATGTAAATCAGTCTGTGGCTGGACTGGTGCAAAAATATCCATATGGGCACATGGGGACCCACTGTAAACACAGTTAAAATGAACGTTTTAACAGGTTCTCATTCCTGCCTCTTCCTACTGAGCCCACACGTGATTGCACCATCTCTGGTGATATGGGATGTGTCCTCATCCTAGCCTCCTTTGGGTCCCTTCCTCCTTTGGGTCCCTGCCTCCTTTGGGTCCCTGCCTCCTTTTGGTCACCAAATCCTCCCAAGACATCTCCTCTGCCCCCTGCCCTATCTCTGCCCTCCCAATGTGGGGTTTCCACCAGGAGCTTCTCTCCAGTTCAAGGTGCCCTCTGAGGGACTACCACCACCAGACAGCTCACTAATATCTCCAGGTGGCACTTATTTCCCAAAAACAAGAGCAGGAGGCCTTCCTCCATCCCATGGCTGCTCCCTCAGAGACCCCAGCCCCACATTTCCTCATCCACCTCCAGCTCTCAATTTTACCAGGGCTTTAGAGATGAGGATGGTGCATTTCTGCGGGCCAGTGAGGCACCTGGCAGGCATAAATGTTAAGTTGACATAAAGTCTGAAGAGACAACAAGCTATAGGAATTGCCTGAAGATAATTTTTATGGCTGTGAATCAGCAGCACGGTGAGGTTTGGAGGCAGCTAGAGGTGAGCAAATGGACCTGGAAGCATGGACCATGGGCCTGGGACCCACCTGAGAACATGAGGAATTTTTCTTCTGGCCTCATTATTCCCAGGACACTGAAGGAATGGGCCAGCACACTCAATTTTCCTTTTAAGCCCACTGCCATCTCTTTAAATAGGGCTTCACTTCCCCACGTGTGGAATTCCTTGGCAGCTTTGGGCTCCAAGCTTGGCCCAAAGGAGTGTCCCAAAGCCAAATTTGGGGAGCAGATTTGGCCACCTGGTTTCGTGGTTAAGCCGTAGCTGAAGGAGAGGGGCAGAGCCTCTGTGGTGTGATTTGGCTCAGGACCCTTCACCATAAACCATGCCCACAAGGGCAGCCAAATCAGCAGCTCACGGGGGAGCTGGGGGATTTAATTCAGGGTTGCAAAGCACTTGGAAGACTTCTCAAGTGGGAAGCAGCACTGCAGGCGAGCGTATAGGATCAAGCTGTTCAGTCCTCTGCTGGGTGTATAAAACGCAGCTTGAATTTCCCATCAGAGCTCTGGGAGCTTGGGCATAATGGGAAATTGATAACTCGATTTTTTTTTAATACGTCTAACCTTAAACGTTCGTTATTGATTTGCCATCTGAACCGCTTTGGCAGGGCCAAAATATTACCGGAACGCATCCTCGGTGTTTCCTTGGAAATGTCACGTCACTCTAATTGAGTTTCTTGAAATGATTTGATTGCAGGGTAGGGGAGACTTTTAGGGCCGAGCGGTTTGCTGGGAGCCGGCTGCTTTCCAGGTGCAGGGAGCTGGGGCTGCTCCAAGCGGGGCGAAGCCAGAAGATTCCTGAACATCACAGGTTGGAGAAAAGCCATTAAAAAAAAAATAATAAAAAAAAAAAGGCGAGGAGCGTGGCTACAAGCCCCAGGCATAGGAAGAGAGGCACAGGCTGGGGCTCTAACGCACGTAAAACCAGCTTCAAAAATCCTTAGTTTTGCAAAGAGGAGGGGGACTTCAGGGCATGGGTGACCCCAAAACCCCGTTCGCATGGATGCTATGGAGCTGAGCATGTGGGACTGTAGTATATGGCTGAGTACCTATAGCTGAAGCATGCTCAGCCCCTTATATTTGGGATTTCAGTGCTGCCTTGCACATCTGGCCAGCGGAGCCTTGCGAGGAGGTGAGGGAAGGAGAAACTTGCCCAAGCGCGGCATCCGATGTCAGCGGGTAGTTCCTAGGCAACCCTGACAAAAGAAAATGGATGGCGAGAGATGAAGAGGCTGGGCCGGAGTAATTGAGTAATTCGATAACGATCCGGCCCCTGAAATGGCCGCGAGCCCCGAGCATCATCCAGCCTCCTCTGGCTGCGCCGGCAGATTGGAGCGGACAGGCTGACGGGGAGGGAGCTGACAGAAGTCCTCGTCTTCGCTCCTGCCAGAGTCAAAAGCAACAGAAAAGTTCATCGCCGTGTCACCCATCTGAATTGCATCCGGCTAGGTAAATTAATTACCTGGTATTTTTAGAGCAGGAGTAATTTAGGTGCTGGAGAAGCTGCGGAGGCAAACGGACGTGGAGCTGATGCAGGGCTGGACCCGAGCTCTGGCAGGACACGTCTTGCAAAAACACCCAGATTGGCTCATTTTGGGAGCAAGAGCAATTACTGCATTGTTATTTTGGTCTACAGAACCACTGCTGGTAAAAGTGAGGATGCTGCTGGTGAGCACCATTCCCTGCCCATGGCAAGGGTGGGATTGCAGCCTGATGGCTGTGGCATCCTGGGGAAGGAGGGGAAATGGTAAAGAAGCCCCCAAATCCTTTGGTGTTGGGCAGGCAGCTCTGCCTGCTGAGATGGGGTGAGCAAGAGCAAAGACTGGGATGGTTTCACCCCCCAGCATCATTGCTGGGTGGGTTAGGAGCAAAACCAAGCAGAAAATCTCCCCATCCAGGATCCTGCAAGAGCTGTGTCGGTCTGTCCTGCCCCGTTTCACCCCAAAACAACCTAGGAAGTCCCTTTTGACCCATAAAGTTTGGGTCACCCAACTCCTGCCTGAGGCATCCCCTACCCAGCTCCCTGAGCCCCACCACCAAGTCCTCTGAGATGTGTCCCACCCTGCCCCTAAAGCCACCCCAAGCACCTCCACGTGGCTCATGAAGCCAAGGGGCCACCCCTTGGCCATGATCCTTGCAGCAAATAAATGCTGGAGGAGCAATATAACCCAGCCATGGAGAAGCAACCGTCATATTTCTTGCATTTTTCTTGATTTTGGGTGTTTCCTTCCAACGGGAGGCGTGGTGGCCATGTAGCTGCAGGCACACGCCCTGCACATGGTGCAAGTGCCTCCTTGGAGAAGGGGTAGGAGGTGTGATAGGGATAGCAAACAAAAACGTTGCTACAAACACATGGGGAAGAAAAATTAGAGGATTTAAGAGATTTTTTCCTTCTCCAATGCTATATTTTGTCCCTCCTTTAGAGGGAAAGCATCAAGAAAAAAGCTTTATTTCATGCCCAAAGAGCTGACAGAGGTGAAGTCTGGCAGTTTTTGAGAAGGTGGCTTGGTCGGTGACAATTTGACCCCTGCAAAATGAACAGCCTCCTCATTCCCTATCCCCTCCTGTCTCTCTACCAAGGTCCCAGCCCAAAGCCACGAGGCTTTCCAAGCCACCAGCACCTTCTCTACAGCCCCTTTGCAGATAAATGCAAGGACTTGCTGCTGCTGAGCTGCTAGCAGAAGTGAAACCACCCCTAAAATTTTGTCGTGGGGCAGAGAAACCCACATAAAAAATGAGTTTTGGGGGAGAGGAAGAGCTGTTTGCTACAGGGTTATGGTGAGATGGAGAATGGGCAGTCCTGAATTTCCAGCACAGCCCTGAAAATGCACATCGTGTATTAAAAGTTATTAAAGATGGGTCAAAACAACCCAGAAAATTCCTTTTTGCCCATCTACGGACCTGCAGTGCCTCCATGTCCAACTTTTCTCTGCAGCCGTGGTGATGGAGATACTAAAAAGGACCACACGTGGCATTGCCTTCTCCTCCCTGAGCCTGCCAAAAGTTTCGTGTTGGTATTTGGGGCGTGCTTTTCACTTTCAAGGCTTCTGGTCTGCCACGACCACAAGATGCTGGGTCTTATTTTTCCCAGTAGTGGAACGGTTGTGGCGATGAAATTTTAATAAGATCTTCTTCAGCTGCCCACATTTAGGCTTAAATGATGATTCAGAGAAGGAAATTGAGCTCGGCAACTGCAAGAGAGGCTGCGGAGAGGTGGGAAGGTGTCCTGCTCCTGGAGAGACAGACGCACAAGGGGTACCAGTGAGGATGCTCGTGACAAAGCCTGCATTTTTTACAAGTTTGGTAATTTGGGGAGAAACTTTGGGGAGTTTGGGTCATACTCCCCTCTGTCTCAAATGAGCTCCCGAGAGTGTCTTTTCTCCAGGGTCAAGGGTTATTTTTATGCCGTGATATTTTTAATTTTTACAGCAAAATCTATGCTTTGAGCTCTGCAAAAAAGCAAAGAGCAAAGCAGGGATCAGAAAGCTGTGGTAGCCAGCCGGGGACAGCTAAAACAGGGTTTAAAGCAGACCGATAGAGATGTACCAGACAGTTTGACTTCTTTCATCTTTTTTGTTTTTCTTTAGTGCTGTTTTCTCTTTCCTATTTTCCCCTAATAAAATCACCGTGAAGACTCCATGTCTGGCATGCAGATTTGCCTCCTGCAGGACACTGTCCTGCACCGACCCTACCGAAGAGCGAAGCATTTTATGGGTAAATAGCTACAGAAATACACCCCATCATCTGCTGATGGCACAGGAGATGGAGATAGGTTTCCTTTCCTGGCTCCAGTGGTGATCTGCAGGATGATGGGAAATGCATTTGCCCTCATGCTCCAGCTTCCTTCTTGGAAAAGAAAAAGAAAGAAAAAGTAAAAAGAAAAAAGAAAAAAAGAAAAAAAAGGAAAAAGGAAAAAGGAAAAGGAAAAGGAAAAGGAAAAGGAAAAGGAAAAGGAAAGGAAAAGAAAGGAAAAGGAAAAGGAAAAGGAAAGGAAAAGAAAAGAAAAAGAAAAAGAAAGAAAAAGAAAAGAAAAAGAAAAAGAAAAGAAAAGAAAAAGAAAAGAAAAAGAAAAAAGAAAAAGAAAAAGAAAAGAAAAAGAAAGAAAAAGAAAAGAAAAAGAAAAAAGAAAAAGAAAAAGAAAAGAAAAAAGAGAAAAAGAAAAAGAAAGAAAGAAAAGAAAGAAAAAGAAAAAGAAAAGAAAAAGAAAAAGAAAAAGAAAAAGAAAAGAAGAAAAAGAAAAGAAAAAAAAAGGGAAAGGGAAAGGGAAAGGAAGAGAAGAAGGGGAAAGGGAAAGAGGGAAGGGGAAAGAGGGGAAGGGAAGGGAAGGGAAGGGAAGGGAAGGGAAGGAAGGGAAGGGAAGGGAAGGGAAGGGAAGGGAAGGGAAGGGAAGGGAAGGGAAGGGAAGGGAAGGGAAGGGAAGGGAAGGGAAGGAAGGGAAGGGAAGGGAAGGGAAGGGACTTTCCTTTCCTTTCCTTTCCTTTCCTTTCCTGTCCTTTCCTTTCCTTTCCTTTCCGGGAAGGGAAGGGAATGGTAAGGGAAGTCCTTCCCTGCTTTTTGGTCTGGTCTTGCGTCCTGTTTGCCCGAGACCTTTGGGATCCACCACCACCATATCTCCCCAAACAAGGATAGATTCAACCCCAAGTGTGTGAAGGTGAACCCACGCTTGCAAAGCTGCCAAAAACTGGCAAACATCCCCTCAGGGTCCCACAGGGGGCCAGCCCTTTCCCAGTGTCCCCAACCCATCCCACTGCAGCCACCAACCAAGAAGAGCTGACGATCCCATTCCCAAAAATGTGGAGCAAGCACAAGGGCACAGCCTGAAGTAATTGCAGTGGGTGCAAACTACAAGCTGGCATGTTCTCCCTCCATCTCACACGCTCTCCTTTCAGCCCCAAAAAACCCTCAGTGAGAGGGGACGACCACTCCACCACAAGGGACAGCCCAGTTGAGGTGTATCAGCATCACTTCTGTGAAGACAGCTCCACAGACCTTGCCCCCATCCCAAAATGCAGTCTTCATATAGTTCAGTTCACTACAAAAATGTCCCGAGAAGACCCCATCACTTCTGGGAGAAAGTGGGCTTTAAGGTGGCTTAATTGATCTGGTTTAACACCACTCCTTTCCCTATCCTATATTCCCTTCCCTGGGTGTCTGAATGATGGGTTCCCAGCTTTTGGCAATAGCAGAGTTTCAGTTTTGACCTGAAGACCTGAAATTGCTGGAGGTGATCAGGGCCATGAGGTCCTCATGTCATTGGGTTGCTCCAGGATTTGGTTTCTGGGGTGCCTGTTTTGCCCTACCTTCAGTCCCAGGGGATGCCAGACCCAAACCCCATGCCAGGAGCAGTGCTGCCCTAATGATCCCCAAACAGGTGACAACTGAGCCCAAAATGCCACCCAGTGGATCCCCCGGCCCTTTTAAAACTCTCCTCTACCTCAAAGAGACCTGGGATGGTGACATCCCCCTCTGAGAGGAAGAGGGACACCCATTTTTGAGTGCCCCCACCCCTTTCATAAAGCACCCATTGGCCAGGTCGGCACCCAGAGCCCCCATCCCAGATGCACCTACAAGCTCAGCCCCTTTCTTTCACCCCCAGCCCCACAAAATTGAGGGAAAGAGAACACATCTCTCCAAGGAGGCACGAGGGGATAGAAACACTGGTGAAGCTCTCACCATTCGCCCCAAGCACCCACAGGAGTTGAGTTGGAACCTCGAGGTGGAATTGCAAAATTTTAAATGGCTTTAAATAACTTCTTCCAAGCTTCAGGGCCGTGGCACCACCTGGTCCACCAACGCTCATTAAGACACCAGCTGCTGCTGCTGATTCAAGCCCTTCTCGCCCCACCAAGGATGAGGAAAGGCAGGACACGACCCGAGCAAGCCGAAGGTTGCTGAGAATCAGCACTCGCCTATCTGCAACGAGAGCAAAGGGAAATCATTTTTAATGGAGCTCCACCGCCAGGGACCCTTCGGAAATAGCTCCATCCATCACCGCTTCCTCGCCACGCAAGGTGAGCTGAAGGGTTTCGGCAGCTTTGGGGACCTGGAAGCCCTTCGAGGAAGCTCATCCTGCTGCAATAAATGAGCCTGCAAGAGTTTGTTGGAGCTAGAGGAGCGAGGACTGCAAGCCGTGGCTTCCCTCGCTCTTGCTGGGAAGGAGCAGGGTGGTGGTTCCCTCCGACGATGTTTCCCATCCAGGTTTTTGCACGGAGATCTGCAGGCAGGTTTGGTGACCAAAGGCTCCACGGATTTGCCTTCCAGGTCTCGTTGAAAAAGGGGAAACGGAGATGTCAGTCCAGGAGATGGAAGCTTCAAGAGAAAATGAAAAAAAAGTGAGTTGCTGGGGAGATGGGACCGAAGTATCTCAGCCAACAGCTGGAGGTCGTCAAGGGGAAAATGTTCTACCAGGGATTGAAGCCAACTGGGGAGCTCCCACCCTCACCAGTCACCGTGATGGGCAGCAACCTCAAGGGCTGGATGAGAAGCTGGGAGATGTTCATCCAAGAAGATCACGGCTCCGTTTCTCCAAAAAGCACCCGTGACCACTGCTGTGGTCCAGGAGTGAGAACATCTCCCCATCATCACTCCGAGCCCACCCAGAGGCACTTCTGGCTGCCACAACTTTTGGGGGGGGTCTTAGAGGGTTTTCCTCACGTTTGGTGGGATTTGTACCTTCCCTGATCCACCAGGAGCCCCCAGCCCAGCCTTGGGAGGATCCTGCACCAGGAACCTGATTTTTTGGGGTGCCCCAGCCCAGGACCATGTGGAGAAACCCCATTTCCAGCAGGGAGATCTCCATCCCCATCCTCTTTGCAGCACAAACCCATTTCTGCTCGCAAACCAGCACCGTGAGGCATTGCAGGAGACCTCACTGACCTCACCAGGACTGGAGCAATACTGGGACCACGAACTGTTGTTTTTTGGGTTTTTTTTTGGCTGCTGCCTTGGGGCAATCGGAGTTAATTCTGCTGGACCTCAGTGGGTCTGGGGAGTTTGAAGGGCTGTGGATGGGGCTTTAGGGCACTACACTGGGGCAAAACCCTGCCGAGGTGGTACACCAGCCCCACGCATCAAAGAGAAGCCCAAATTATTGGGATAACGCTGCTCATCAACGCTGAAAACCCAGACAGGCTTCCTTAGGGGCCACAAAAACCTTCTGCATTTAAAATACCCTTGCAGGGAGTGCTCAGCTACCTGGAGGAGCGGGGGAAACGTGTCTGCGTGATCCTGCAAAGTCCCAGCGCTGACGACAGCCCCGTTTTCGGGTGACTCTCAGCGGGTCGTCGGGTTCAGAGGTCTTTTTTGCCCCCCTTTTTCCTCTTTCTGAATGGGGAGAGGCACCGCCGGCCCCGTGACGTTGCCAGCTCCCTCTGATTTCATTTTAATGAAATCATGCCCAAACGAAGGCTCCACGTCTGGAGTTACGACTCAAACCCCGTGATCACTCATTTTTATATATACACAAGGGAGGGGAAAAGCGTTTCCATAGAGAGAAAAAATATCACAGCCCTCTTAATAACAATAAAAGAAAAGCGAGGGTGCAGAAGTTCAGGGGAAGGCGCCTGATGCCTCTCTCCTCGGAGTGAGACAGCCGAGCGAGCAGCAGCCCCTTCCCATCCCGAGCACCGAGGACTGCCAGGTGAGTGCCTGGATTTCATTTATTCACCAGCAGCCGGCTTCATTTGCACAAACTTTAAATATTTCAGTGCTTTCCTTGGGAGATCAGGTTCCACGTTTCTCTGCGAGGAAGAAAAGAAAAAGAGCAGGGTAGGGAAAAGCAGTTCAAAATCCTGTAAGAGGCTCCCCACCACCAGTGAAATGTCTTTTGGGTTATTATAACAATTTTTGGAGGTAGATCAGGCAGGGGAAGGGTTTGGAAATCTGGAAGCGGGGACGCAAATCGCTGCTGATGTTAAAGGGGAGAGGGGAGAGGAGGGCACAGCCCCGTCCACGTCGGGTCAGCCTGGATTTCGGAGCCCTGGGAATCAGCATCATCAGGAGGCATTCGTTAGGGAAGCAAAAGCGGCGTCAGACAGAAAGTTTTTAAAGTCTTACAGGTCTCATCCGCTCTATTATTTTATTCTAGACTTACTTTTTGATGGGAAAAAAAATATATATATATCAGCTTAATGCTCCTCTGCTGCCGAGGAGCAAATAGCTTTGTCCCCAGTTTGCCAGAGCTGCCCTGCTGGAGTGATTTACTTTTCTCTCCGAAGCCAAGAGGCAGAGCTGTCCTGCCGGGGCTGCCGGCTCCATCTCACCGTAATGCCTGGAAATCTCCCACGGGCATCCCGGCAATTTCCACCCTCCGGCAGCAGCAGATTTAACTCCGAATTCCTCAACCTTGCCGCAGGCAGATTTTCTTCTTTTCCTGCTTTTTTTTGGGAGTTTAGGGGGATCCTCTTCCAGATTTCTCTGGAAGCAATCCAAAAAAATTTCTGGCAGGGGAGCAAAACCCCTGTGAAAATTTATATTTTATATATTAAAAATTAGCTCTTGCTGCCCGGGCGCTGAATTTCCTTGCTACTTTGCCTCGCTTTTTGTCCTGCTTTTCCTCTCGCTCAGCCGAGGTTCCCAACAAGTTTTGCTGAGCAGCAAATGCCCGTGGAGCCAAACCGTGGGTACTGAAACCCGTTTCAGTATCGGTGGGAGGCAAGGTAGCGGGGAGAGGCTGCACGGAGAGGGCAGTGGCTTCGCGAGCCAGCTTGGCTCAGCTCTCAGAGCCGTCCCCGCTTTTCGGATGGCAGCCTGGGGACACGCACGGTCCCCCAAAGAGCAGGGGCTGCAGGCAGGGGTGAGGAAGGATGGAGATTTCTAAATTCATGCCTTAATTCCCCTCATACTGCTAGCAGGGACCACAAGGAGTTCGCTGGGGTGGCTGCATCTTATGGGGCTGAAGCAAATCTGCAAAGAGGGACGTTTTGGGGTGGAAGATGCTTGTCCTATTAAGCTTTAGCAAGCAAACTCTAAATTTAAAGATTTAAATTTCACATTTGGGGCTGAAGGAAGGAGAGCTTCAGGCTCCAGGTCTCCGTCACAGGGGTGTTGTGTGCCCGGGATTGGTTTTGTTCCCCCATCCTACAGCGACATTTTTGCCAGCATTGCCCGGGTCGTTTCCCATCCTTCTCCTGTCTGGACACAGGGCAGAGTTAAGGGGACAAATCTGCCCCAAACTCCCCCAGAGAGGGGCAACGAGGGCAGAGTTAAGGGTACAAACCAGCCCTGATCTCCAAAGGGACAGCAAATTAGAGGCTGAAACTCGGTGACAGGGGAGCAGGTCCAAGGTGACAGCTCCTGGGGATAAGGGGGTGATCGGATTTTGGGGGACACCCACCCTAGAAGGACCCAAGCGAGGTCCCCGTACCCAAGGGGACTTGTCCAACCTGGACAGGGCTTGTCGTGCGGTGAGCTTGCCACAAGATGGGGCCAGAAGATTGGGAATGGCATCCCACCTCCAGTCCTCGGTGGGGACACCTGTCTGTCCCCTACAAAAGCAAAGACCCCCCGGAAAATCCCTCATGGACTTTTAGGGGTGCCCTCTCGAGCAGATGGGTGGGTGTAGGGGGAGATGGGTTGCTTCCCAGAGAGGCAGGACTTGGAAACAGGGAGGTTTTGCACAGCACGGGGGTTATCCTAAGATAATCAACCTCCTCGGGACACCAAAATGACTGTATTTTGGGCAGAGAGGAGCTGAAAGGAAAACTCAGCTTTATAGCAGCTGGTAGCACACATGGTGGAGGCATTAGCAAGGTGGAGAGGGCTTCCCGGGGACTGCAACGGGATTGCCCCAGGCAAGGAGGTGCCCACAAGAGAAACAAGTCCTCCTACAACAGGCAGTTGACAAAGAGAAAAAAAAAAAAAAAAAAAAGACAAATCCTCCCCTCCACAGAGCGTTCAGCCTTGCAAAGCACCTGGGACATCAAACCTCACACCCCGTACCCCAAAAAAAACCAAGGGTTTGGGGGTTGCACCGTGGAGGAGGAGGCCCTGAAGCAGCTCGTTCCCCGTTGCCCTAAGCATTAGCTGGGATTTTGGGTGGGATCCAGGAGGATGGGACGTGGGAGGACGGGGGGATGATGGTGCTGGGACCCCCCCCGGGGAAGTTTATGTCCATCTCTGCCCTCCCCTCGGTCTCTCCAACCGGGCAGGCCACCGCCATGCCCCACGCCAAGCTGCTGCTCCTCCTCGCCCTCCTCTGCGCCAGCGAGACCAGCCGGGCCCTCCGCCTCTACAACGCCGCCTCCATCTTCAGCTGCCTCAACGCCGCCCTCGCCGAGGCCCAGAAGAGCCTCCCAGAGGAAAACGCCGTCTTGGACAAGCGTGGCTACGACTATCACCCCTCAGAGGAGGCCTCCAAGGAGGAGGAGGAGGAGGAGGAGGAAGGAGAGGGAGAGGAAGACAGAGGGAAAAGGACATTCCCGGGGGAAGGCCATTACAAATACAGCTCCCAGGCGCAGGTGAAGGGGAAGACGTACCAGAACCGGGCCAAGAGCGACCGCCGCACCAAGGTCACCCTCTCCCTCGACGTCCCCACCAACATCATGAACATCCTCTTCAACATCGCCAAGGCCAAGAACTTGAGGGCGAAGGCGGCGGCCAACGCGCACCTCATGGCCCAAATCGGGCGGCGAAAGTGACCCCCGCGGGGCCGGGGGGACTCGGAGCAGGGCTGGGAGCACGGAGCCACCACCCGGCCCCTGGCCTGCCGGCCAGAGGGGACTGAGAGCCGTGTACGATAGCAGTGTTGTATATTTTTGACCCATAGAGCTACCTAAATTTCATATCTCTTCTTCCTCCTTCTCTCCTTCCCGATCTCCCTCCCCAATTCCTCCTCCTGGACATTTCCACACCTGGGGAAGAGGCTGGTGTCCGCAGCAGGGCAAGGGGACGTGTCACCGTGGGAAGGTCCCGATTAAAGCAACAATCTCTTGAGTTTCCAACGCGTTGTTGTCCCATCACCTCCCCCAGATGCTCATTCAGGGCTTTTCCAAAACCTCCAGCTCCACCTCGCCTGTCTCAGCCCCTACATTTTCCCAAGTCCCCCAACACACAGCCCCGTACACAATCATTGCTGCATTGGGAAGGGAAAAGTTAAGGGGATCCCAGTTTGTCCTGCTGGACAAAATTTTAAGGTCTAGATTTTAAGGTCAGCCTGCAACCACCCGGTTCCCCACCAAAACCTTCAGCCAGGAGTCCATCACCCCTATCTACGTGGTCCTTCAGGGAACATCCCCAGGATGTGGGGTGGCTTTGCCTCTCTCCCCAGTTGTTCGAGGTGAGTTTGGAGCCCAAAAGTTGCAGGTTCCTCCCCAGTCACTTCAGACCCATCCTTGGGTCTGTCCATGTTGTCCATCCCCACCACTCTGCCTTTCCAGGTACTTGGGGTTCCCCTTCACATCCCTGCCAGAGCTCACCCCGCTCACCCTCGTCCCCTTCATCCACCCTCCATCGAATTCCAGCTCACTCAGCGCCCACCCCTTCACCTTAAACTTCCCCCAAAACCCCTCCTCTCTTCACCTCCCAGCCCACCTCCAAGATGAAATTCCATCTCCTGTCCTCCATCCCAGCACGTGGAGGGAAATTTGGGAGATGGAGAGAAATTTGGCCCTCCTTCCCCAGGAGACATTTGCCAACAGCAGGAAATCTCCCACCAGCCTCATCTGGGAAGCCCCCCAGGGGGGACATTGCAGGGGACAAGGTTGGAGGGAACCTTGGTTGAAGGGTTGGCAGATGGACCCACCAGACATCTGCAGGACATAGGTGGAGGCATCTCCTCTCCATCCTTCCTCTGGGCACCCAAAGGAGGCAGCAAATCTGGATTCATCCCCAGCAAGCCCATGTTTGGGTGGCCAGAGCTCCTAGCTGGTCACAACTCTGGGACTTAGGATGAGAATTTGAGGCCTGAAAAGCAAAAATTAAATAAATAAACCATCATCTCCCCCTCGTACACACATCTCCAGCAGGCAACACACCAACATGATAACAGCATCTCTGTGCCATGACCACCTCCTCCCTCCACCCTGGGGCTGAGGACGGACCAGTGAGGTCTTTCCTCATTGCAATCTCCTCTAGCCTTGAACTATATGACCCTTTATATACATTTATATACAGCTTTATATATTTTACGGCCCGAAAACCTACATGTCCATCCCCTGCCAGTACACTGAGCTCTTGTTCAGCAGTGCACACTTGTTGTCCTCGTTTTACACCTGGGGAAACTGAGGCAAACATGCCCACGTGCATCTGGCCAGGCAGACCAGGGCAGAGCAAGGTCAGACCTGGCCAGACACCCGGCCAGACGTGCTCTTGTCCCTTTGTGGGTTTGGCCAGAGGTGTCCCAAGCTGTCTGGACGCAGCCTTTCCAATGCATCAGGCTGTCTACAGGAGCCTTTGCTCAGGGTTAAGTCATTGCTCTGGGTGGATTTCCCCTCTGCTTCCCAGTGAGCTCCAGTAAAGCACTGGCCCAGGCTGGGAAGAGGCTTTTCCCTACCCCCAGCTCCCATGGGGTCGGGGTCCAAATGGCTGTGATGTTCCCAAAGGGATGGGACACACTGGCCAGCAGCAGCTTAGATGAGGGGAACATCCCCAAGTTACTGTCTGGAAATCCTAACATCCCATCCCTAGGGCTCACATTGTCTCTTTCTCCTGCTTCCCATTAATGAATTAATTAACACTGAAACCACACCATGGGAGCAGGTGGACCCAAAGTGTTTGCACACATCTGAAAAAGTGTTTGCCTGCACATCTGAAGCTGGGATGGGGTAGTGATGGAGAAAGCAGAGGTCCTCTGTCCCCAGCTGCATCCCCTTGGGGGATTCTCACCCGTACCCGGCGCTGTCGTGGACAAACCTTTCCAAAATTAATCCTTCTTTTTGCTCGGAGGGGACGAGACACAGGCAGAGGTCAGAGGAGCCAGATTTGCTTAGGAAGCAGGACTGAAGTCTCCACCAGCCACCACCTGGGGCTGGGAGCGTGGGGATCCAAAGCTTAGGAAGGGCAGCCTTGCAGTTTGGGTGAGATGTGAAAAGTTTGGAGAAAGCCAGGTGAGGATTTGCTCTTTCCTGCCACTTCGTGCAGGGATGAAACCCAAAATCATGTATTGCACTGGAAAGGGTGGGCTTCCCTCAGCAAAGTGTGGGTGCACGGCTTCTGTGGGCTCACTCAGACCAACAAATCCTTCTGCTTCCACCAGCAGGTCCCTTCCAGCCTCTCCATAATCCCCACCCAAGCATCCAGCTCTCCCCTGGCCTCCAGGAGCTCCCCAGCCCTCTTTCTCTTCTTCCACGTGCCAATGCTCACATGCCAACCCACGTCAGGCCAAAGCAGAGGTGTTGCAGGGATTTTGGCAACTCCCCGAGGACAGCAGGTCCTGACCACCCTCCTGGGATCAGGGAGGCCCCATGCCCATCTGGCTGAGGAAGGAATTTAAGCAGTGCAACTCAACAGGCATTGAGGATTTGGGCCAAAAATATTCTCCTGCTGAGTGGGACGGTGCCTTTGTTCATGTCCATGGGGTTTTGGTTAGAAAAAATGAGATGATTTCAAGCGGTGACCATGGGAAGAATTGTCCCAAGGCACTTGGGGACATGGTGAACCCAAGAAGGTGGTGGGACAGGGGGAGACCCAACCATGCCCGGTGGACCGGAGCCAGTCCCCATGTCTGGGCTCTAGCTCACATTTTAAAACGTGTGTTTCTGGGACATCCGTGTCAGTGAGTTTCTTGCTTCGGTGTGTGCTGTATAGAAAATAAAACCGTTGTCCATTTGCAGTGTGATGGTCTCATTGCTGCCTCCCCAGCGTGGTGCTGAGCCATGTACCATCTCCACGGCTCTTTCGGGTCCCCCAGGACATCCATCAGCCCCACGTCACAGCCTCAGCATCTCTGGGGATTGATTTTTTTGCCATATAACAACTGCTACCCCTATTTTAGTAGGGGAAACTGAGGCACACAGCAGCCCCCTCTGGCATCAGGACCTAGTCCCATAGGGGTTCTGGGAGAGCTTCAGGCCCTACACCATGGATGTTTTGGGATCAAGATGTGGGATGCTGCAAAATTCAGGCATGGCCAGGGGAGCCACGTTGCTTTTGTGGCTCAGGAGCTGCCCTGGAGCTGGGAGAGCCCGGATTTCTCATGGTACCAGCGCTGGAGAAGCCACCCCAGCCCTGGGACATTGCCTTGAGGCAGGAGCCCCAGCCTGCAGCTCCTCTCCACAACCAGGTGATCAAGGAGATGCAACGTTTCCATTCAGAGAATTGGGGTGGAGGTTAGGAAGTGCATTTCCAGGCCTAAAAATTGCAAAGAAATTCATAAAAAATTAACATCATTTTTTTCTTTTTTTTTTCATTAAATTAACCAACTCAGATTAACCCAGATGCTCCCCCCAAACAAACATTCGAACGTCTTCTGAGTTTGCAGAAATTGCAAAAAGACAAGAAAGAGCAAAAAAAAATTTTCAAAAATAAACAAGAAGGTGCAAAAAGATGAGAAAAACCTCCCAGGAAAAGCTAAATGAGGATTTAAAAGGATAAAGAAAGGTCGAGCTCCCCAGGTGTGAGTCCTTCAAAGCTCCTCGTTGCCCCACACCTCAGTCCCAAAGGATGGGGGGGGGGTGGCTGGTAAGGGACCGAGCTGGGTGTCCCTTTGGTGGTGCTGGGACAGGTCTGGAGCTGGGAGTGATGTTCTGGGTTTGGGGAGATGGGTTCAGCACCCCTGTGCTGGTTTTGGGGTGGGGGCTGTTGAGGCTGGGGCTGTGCTGAGGCTCCAACCCCATGTCCTGCCCAGGTCCCAGCTAAAAGCACATGGGCAGGCTGTGGGAAAGCTTCAAGTAAGCTTACTTAAATATCTTCTTAAATATCTTAAATATCTTCTTAAATATCTTCTTAAATATCTTACTTAAATATCTTAAATATCTTCTTAAATACCTTACTTGAATACCTTCTGGCTCAGAGCTTCTCCAGCTGGATATATTTTCCTTTACTAACCCTCTGTAGATATCTCTACTACAGTCTCTTTGTACCCAAAAGTTTGACTTTTTTTTTTAATAGTCTCCTGTGTCAAGGAGTTCAACAGTTCCCTACACGCTATGTGAGGTCTTCTCTCTTTGGCTCAAGCTGTGAGCAGTTGCTTCACGGGGCAATTTCTTGGCCTTGCCTAGAGAAGGTGAACAATCAGTCTGGGCTCCTTGATCTTTAGATCCCCTCCAGCCAGCAGATCCTGCGTGGCTGCCTCTCATCTAAAAGGAGATGAACTGCTCTGCATGTCAACATGTGGAGCTCGCCAGAAAGGGGCCTCTCCTGGCAGGGGTCTTCTACAGCCACCCAACTGGATGGCGAGGTCAGCCTCTACCTCCAGAGGTCCCTTCCAACCTCCCCCTCTCTGTGAACAGAGGGATGTGTTTGCACCAAGGCTGGTTGAGCTGGATCATGCCCTCCTCCCCAACTGGGAGCACTGGGTGAAGCAGCTGGGAAGGCCGTGGTGCCCTGCCTTCTGCCCCGAGGCAGGGTGAAGGGAAACCACGAGCAGCTCGACTCCACAGCCGTGGTGTGCTGCAGATCCAGCAGCTCTGCTCTGCATCCTCCTCCCCTCCTGGGAACGGGGCTGTTGTGCAACGTAATGACAGCCCTGGGATGCATGGGGACCTACCGCAAGGCCCTAATCTCTGCATCTCATCTGCCCTGGTGGGAGGTTGCAACATCTCTCTGAAGGGCTAACGTGTAGTTCTTGCTAGCCCAGTATCTCTCGGGTGCCTGCTGTGGAGAAAATGTCCTGGCTGCCACCAAGCTGGGATAATGTTCTTCTTATACGTAGGCTGTGTGCCGTATGTTCCATAAAAACACCCAGAAAATTAAGTTTTTGCCTTATTCCTCAGTGTAGACTCATGACCTCCTCTTCTCTCCCATCCTGATGCCAAGGATTTCTATCCACATCGACCAGGCTGGCATCCAGATGGGCAATTCCTGCTGGGAACTGTATTGCCTGGAGCACGGGATCCAGCCAGGTGGCATCATCTCCTCCGAGGCATCCTCAGGGCAAGCAGACTCTTCCTTTGGGACCTTCTTCAGCGAGACAGGCTCAGGGAAACACGTGCCCAGGGCAATATTTGTTGACTTGGAGCCTACTGTCATTGGTAAGTGGTGGAAGGTCCCCAACCCTCCTACTGGGGGGAGCGGGAGGGTGTCACCTTCTCTGATCCGGCATGCACTGTTGGCCAGCTAACCTCCTGGTGAGCCTACCAGCTTTCATATTCAGACTAGTTTAGATGTGGGTTCATAATCTGGTGGACAACGCTCATGACAATCATGAGGTTGTCAACTTGATCTCAACTTCTTCAAGATTAGATCAGGGCTGGGACCTACCGCATGCTCTTCCACCTGGAGCAGCTCTTCAGCAGCAAAGAAGATGCTGCCAAAAACTATGCTCGGGGCCACTACACTATTGGGAAAGAGATCATCGACCCTGTCATTGATAGGGCTCATAAAATGGTAACAAGTGGTCTTCTGCATTAGCCCTCTGTTATTGCCTTGGCTGTCACAAGAGGCAATGTTTTTTTGCCTATAAAGGCTCAGAAGTGCTGGGATAGTACAAAGATATGCTTGATTTGGGTAGAAAAACTTAGTGGCCATCAAGCTCTTCCTCATCTTCTTGACTGCTTAGTCAAGATGTTAGGAGTCTCTGTCTGTCCCCAAATGTCACTCAGAGCAGGCTCCAATCTCTACAAAAAAAAAAAAAAAAAAAAAAAAAAAAAAAAAAAAAAACTGGCCTTAAACTTGATACTGAATGAGGTACCTGGCTGCCCTGGAAAAGGATTACGAGGAGGTTGAAAGGGACTCAGCAGATGGAGAAGAGGATGATGAATAAGCTCTGTGAGGAAGCAGCTTGGATTGTGAGTAGGTTTTGTATTTTTTTTGTCCTGCAATTCCTTCCAGAGAATGGAGTTGAGGACTGGGTCTGAGATTTTTTTTTTTTTAAGTTACGGGTTGGCTAAAAGCAACCTTTTGGTCAAGGGTTGTGTATGCACAAGTTTGGCTGAATAAATGGTGACCTGTAGAAACATCTCCTGTCTTGATGTGCCACCAGAGATGCTCGTGGTGGGATGGGAGGGGGTTTTCTGCCTTGGCCACTGCCCTCTTTCTCAGGAGGCTTTCAGACCTGGTGATGCTGGGCTGTGTCCTGCAGTCTGGGGCGGGTGACAGCAGGGCACGAGCCACCTCCCCTGCAGGGGAACTGCTGGGCTAAGATGAACACTGGGATGGTGATCCCACTCACTGGCTGCCTGGGGCTTTTCCCTGTCCAAAACATTGCTGGCTCTGGACTTTGCAGCTTGCAGCCCTCTCCGAGGCAGCGGGATCAGCTTTCTCCAGCCCCCCACCACCACGCAGAGCCCTGCTAAAGCAATCCACGTCTGGCTGCCAGGGCTGGGCTTGCCTGCGAGTCTCATTTTGAGTCTGGAGATGAGAATTCAAATGCTCCAGCTGTCTGCTGGCCCCTCCAAATGCATCTGACCCATGTCCTAGCTCATGCTCAGCACCAAAGCAAGGAGCTGTGTCCCCAGTTAGACGTCTTTCCTCTTGTGCTGGGTGAGGGTTGCCCCCCCAGGCACAACAGCATCATCCCTGTTGACAGGTAATGAGTTGGAAAAATGGGTTTTAACTTGATTTCTGCAGATCCCTGGACCGGGACAGGTTATTACTCCGCCGGGGAGCCTCCTCCCAGTAAGTGATCCAAGAAAAGGAGCTGGCTGGGATGCAGCGGGGAAGCTGGATCTGCACTCAGGCTGTAATTGAAGGGCTGACAGGGTTGGCTCTGGGTTGCACTGGAGGAAAGTTTAAACAACCTGAGGTGGGGGGGAGGAGTTGTTATTAGAAGCTGTCTCCACTTGCCATTACTCAGCTGGGCTCCAAGGGGTGGCAATCTCCCAAGGACAACACGGGGGGGGGAGCTCCCAGGGGTTGTCTCACCTCCAGCCGCCCTCTGCCTGGGGGGAGCGAGGTTGTTTGGGCTGGCAGGGTTGGGAAGGAGCTCTCCTGGAGCTCCCGGGCCTCCAGATGTGGTTTTATGTGCTGGTTAATGCCACCCTGCTGCAAAGGGTGTGCCTAGACCCCCAAAGTGATGCTCAAACCCATCACAGCACAAAAAGGGGGAGAAAGCAAGACGTACAGGCAGGTGCAATGCCAGCTCTGTCTTCCCCGCGTGGGTATTTGGCTGGGAGTGATGGTAGCTTGCTTATTTTTGGAGCCTTGTCTTCTGCTCAGCTTAGATATCCTGGTGGAAAGGTCGTGGTTTGGGGTTTGTGGTCAGCACGCAGCTGCAGGGAGGAGAAACAGCAGCTGAACCAAGCCTGGTGGCCTGAGACCATCATTTTTAATACTGTGGAGGAGCTTAACCTGTAAGGATGTGTTGAACCCTTTTCACGGGACAAGGAGTGATGGTTTTAAGCTAAAAGAGGGGAGATGTAGATCAGATGCTAGAAAGAAATTCCTCGCTCAGAAGGTGGTGCTACAAGTAGAGAAAATAAAGCTGAAGCCACACAATGAAGGGTGAAACACTCTTGGAAGAAGGTCCTTAGGCTTGTTGAGAAGACAAAACATCACCTGTGACCATCAAGGCAATGATGTTGCTTCCCCAAAAGTCATGGCATCACTCCCCCCATAAAGAAAATCCTTCCTGGCCCTCCCTCCCTGCATTTGTGGGAAGGGCCCGAGCAGAGCTGTGCTGACGGATGTGCCCAAGTCATTAATTGCAGTAATAAATAACCTCTTCAATTACAT